GTGACAACTATATTTCCACTAAACTCGGGCGAGTTCATTTATAGTGGGAGAACTCTCTGATCAAAAGGATTTGGGAGGAGCGATTTAGACCTCATCATACAAAGTGCTGAGAACTTTGCGAACGACCATCTTCATAGACCGCAAAACAAATCTCGGGTTGTCGATCACCAAAGTATATCCAAGTTTACTAAGAAAGTCGTACATCTGGTATAGACAACAGCTGTAGCGAAAAGAGCCCGGAGAGGTTTGCAACTCAGCTTAAGGACGAGTCGACCATGGCTAAGGAGAGTATGGATCCATAAGCAACATTAAGCCATAAAGATTGCAAGCGACGCCATCGGGGCGAGCAAGCAAACATTATAAGAAACGTGTTTTTGTTGAAAAGCTGCATCAAGCCCGGCTGTGTCAAGATATCTGAAAAAAAGCATCATTACAAAAGGCAATTGTTCAGACCGAAAATTAGAACCGGATCAAGACAACGAAGCTAGCCTTAAGGTAGAGGTCAGACAAGGTAACTAGTGTAAACGATAAGGAAAAGTACAAAAGCCAATCAGGAACTGACAGGACACAAACTTTGAAGGACTCAAACAGGGAATCAGGTCAAGGCACAAGCTTCAAGACAAGACCCAAGCAGGAAGACAAGTCAAGGCTCAGGCTTCAAGACAAGACCCAAGCAGGAAGACAAGTCAAGGCTCAGGCTTCAAGACAAGACCTAAGCAACCGAGATGAATAGAATGCCCATTTTTAGACCCAGTTCAACCCTCAACGGACCATCAACTGCAATTGTAAGCCGCCTAGCACCCTTAGGAACCCACTTTCCAGTTTATGGAGAAAATATTGATTATGCTATTAGAATTGTGGAACACTTTATGCATTTGCTGCCTGGAGGTAAGTCTTTATTTCTTTTTGTTCCTTACTTAGGGCAATCGTTATCAAGTGAGTTTCAGTGTTATAGTTAGATGTCCACTTGCTGGCAGCCTTTTACAACGTCATTACTCTAGCCAGCTGTCACTGGCATACGACTCAATATTATTAATTCTCGAAACTCTGATAATTTTATAATCGGGGCAATAAGCGGCACAAGCTTCTCTGGTAAATAGTATCAAGTCAGGAAATGGCTGAGGAGAAACATTTTGGCGATCTGTGCCGGATTTAGACGCAGATTACTCTCTTAGATTTTATAGGCGGTGCGGCGGCTTTTTTGTTCAAGGAATGACATCTACCACTTGGTATATGAAGGTTATATTTTAGAAGCTGCGAGTCTGAACAAATCATTCCAAAAGCTCCACCTTGACACATTCCGTTATCTGTTCAAGATCATGGGTCAATTTGTGCTCTTTCGTAATGTGTAAATTTTTTTATGATAAAACCAAGCTGGGTCGCGCTCCAATCTGGCTTACATATGGTGATACTAGAAAGTAGTTTTACCGAGAAGAAAAACTTTCCATTCCGCCCAAATGAACAATACACTAGGTAGTAAAATTTAGATGGAAAGGACCTCCCACCGAAGCTCGTCCTGACTGTAAACATTGATTTGACTCTTGTCGCATCCATCAATAAAGCATACCGAACAGAGTTTGGGATAAATTTAGAAAGTTATCACGGATAGTTTTCAGCTTTTGGTGAAAATAATTCATACGAAGCTTCAGAGGGCTCTAGGCATGCCTCTCGACAAGCACTGAGTGCGCTAACGATCTCTTCAAGCTAATGCTCTTTGTATGAAAATCATCTACTGCTACAGACTGGCCAACAGTGCAATAGCCTTTTTTGGTTGTGGGGGTTCAGGACTTAAACAAGTTACCTGCCATACACTGCTATTTTCAGTGTTCATTTCCTCAATATTCAACTGCTCCAATTTCGAAATCTTTCTCTTTATTTCATGCTTGGACCTTGTCTCTCCTGAGCATACAACCTTTGGAAGTAGCGATCTAATACTGCTTAAGTCAAAATTATTTTAGTTACAATGAAGTCGATGATAGGCAGGAGCTCCTATTATAAGCAAATTACCAAATTGAGCGAGTGTCGCCACATTAAGAAAGAAAAGCTTTACTAGGGGAGCAATGAATTGTTGATGTTATTTGATCTCCAGAGCGGACTCATTTCATAATCTATAACCGTTATAGAATATAGATGTGAGGCTTACATAAAATATTGAAAGTTCTTTTTCTTTTTAAGAGCTCACATGTTTGCGAGGACGTTTGTGTTTCTTCCGCTTATTATAGCTGGTCTATCTTTTCGGGAAAGTCTGCATTTTGTTGGTAAAAGTAACTAAAATTTGCATTGATCAATAAATATCTGTGCTCGACGAAACTGGATGCTTTATAAGCCAGAAAACAATCATTATAACTTTGAAATTAACAATTAACATTTGCATCGGCAAATGACCGAAAGCTGCTATATCGAATGGCTTTCAAATGTTTCTAGTAATACCAAAGACAAACGCAAACAGAATTTGCGTCAATTGAATGAACGTCATACATGTATGGGATCCTTTTATCCCTGTTATCGTATTTGAAAAGCCTTTCCGAGCAAATGAACCGAGTATTTCTCCTACAGAACAATTTTTTTGCTACGCAATAGGGAAAACACCTACTTTAAATTACTTCGGTCATCATTAGGCAGTCATATGACAAGACGAAACGGAAATTGAAAGCTGGAAACTCATTCAACTGTGACTTACAAATCCATCTTAATACCAAAGAAAAATACGACTTTGCTTTAATTGAATTAACGCCAAATATGCTGCTTCACTTTTGTTCCGGCTCACGTCTTATCGTGCAGACAAGTTGGGTATTTTTTTTCCTCTAAGACAATTTTTCGCTGCGCAATAGGGGATACCCCAATGTTAAATTACTGTGGTCATCAGTAGCCAATGATATGACAAGACGAAACGGAAGGTTATATAAACTTCGACCTCATACCAAACCGGACAAACCAGTAAGCTTGTCGGGACGTTCTTTCAGTTAGACCTTTAAAACCGGTTTGGAAGAATTCAAATCAAGTTTTCTATTCTGGAAAAAGTCACCCTCAAAAAAGAAGGGGAACATGATTAGTTCCTACTCGATTTTGTCCCAAGGGAAATCGCAGCCGACGGCGACAGATGTAGATTTGTCTGACATACTTAACTTCCTTGACGAAGGTATGAAATATCTCGGTGAGTTCACGTTTTGCTGAGATTGCAAAGACTTGAGTAAATTAATCTTTCGCTATTTTAGTTGCCGAAACAAACTTGCCAGAAGAGCACCAAAGGTTCATATACCCCGGTGAAAATTTTGATAACGCCGTTCAAATTGTGGAGCACTTTTTAAGCACCTTCCTCCACCAAGGTAAGCAGCTTTAGAATATGTTACTAATACAAAAGCTAGCCCTTCTGAATTCCTAGCGTGATGCTCTAAGGATTTCATATCCACAGTTTCACACTGATTCAAATACCTTTCTTTCTTTAAAAAAGTTTGAATGAAGGTATGGAGGTTTCTTTTCCCGTTTTACTCTGTTTTACCTGAATCATGCGCGCTCCTCGCGCCTGTTTTCCTTCTTATGCAAAACAGGTTCAAAATGTAACAACCTATGTATTCACACGGTTTGTTCAGTTTTAATTGAACCAACTCTTTCTTTTCCAGTTGACCGCGCACATTATGTTAATATTTCCGAATCCTCTTGTATAGAAACATCGTTGGTAAAAAAACAACATCTTGTGATTTCCAGTATTTTTAATTTTTTAGGCAGAATTAGTGAAGTGCAGTATCACGGAAAAGCCTTGTCCGCGCGCGTTTACTCGCTTCGCGCTTTTTATATTTACCTCTTAAGCGAGTTCTAATTAGTCCTGTCACTAAAGTACTATTTAACTTTTTTGGAAAAAGATACAGGATCACTGCTAAGTAGTTATTTGTGATGTCCAAATCCACGGAAAGGATACATATGATTCTGTCTTCAGATGAATTTTCCATCAATCATCGGAAAAAATTCATAACGCATCGTATACTATTCGACTACTTTCCCAATTGTTGCTATATCGGTTTGGAGACATTTTAAAACAGCAAATGTTCATCTGGTCACTGTAATCTTAGAGAACCGACGTGCAGCAAGCTTTGTTCAAGAAATCTTAAAACTGTCGAAGCGATTTTACGAATAAATCCCACGCAAATTACGAATTTTCTCGTTCATCTTCCCTAACAACTAAACATTAAATCGCAAAAACGTACGGGAAACAATAGAAAACTTGAGAACTGATGAAAACAATAGCAAAATAATTGAAAATAACATTTTTTTTTTACACTCAAGCGCAGTAATGAAGAATATTTAGTCTTCTGACGCATATTTGGACGTCATAGCACTTCTGCGGTTTTTTTTCATAAGATTTTAATAGTTTCAGTTACAGTTGCCAAATTTTACATGACAGCACTACGCTGAGTTTGAAAATAAATGATTGCCGTGCTATTTACAACCAAAACAGAAGCGTCTTCAGAAATAATTTCGTCGACAGTGGAAGAAAATTCCCAGCTTTATCTTTGAAAATTTGGAAGAAACAGTTTTCTCGAGTATCATCATAAGACCTAAAATAAGTAAACAAAACGTACAAGCCAAAGAGGCCTACTTTTTTGAGACGTGATAAAAATTAATTTTGATCTTGGTTAAAACACATGTTATTGTTATCAAGTTTGAGGCAAAATAAAGCAACATCATCCTTATCATTCACAGACAGACTAAGCTTGACCTGCCAATCAACGTCATGTCAAAAACCTGTTTTTGTGGTTGGTCTTCTGGACGTTAAACCGGTAATAATAGAAAGCAATTTCCTGTTTCACATTCCAAACATTATGTAAGATTAAATTACCCAAAATAGAAACCATACGCATGCTCAATGTGGCTTACAGCTGCGCAATGAGATCCATTCCTTATTTAGAACGTAGCTGTCAATATTAGCCAATCATGCGGCGACATGCAGGCAAAGTCTATATAAACACCTCAATAGAGGTGTGGGAAACTGAATTCTAATTGTCAAAGCAAAAGAAGCGAAGGTTTACGTACGGCGCCAAACAGAAACCGGTCAAACTAGTTTATTCCGAAGCAAAATTTTCCTCGCTAGACTTTCCAACCGGTTTTCAGGAACTTCAATTCAAGTTTTAAACTCTTTTTACGAGAGGTCTGACCATGGAAACCGACACAATCTGGCCGCAGATGAAACAGACGACGGCCGTTAGCGAGTCGCTGGCTCCGATGAACAATGAAGTCGCCTTCACTGATATAGGTATGAGTACTTGTTCGCTTCGGCGTTCAGTGACACGATAAATTAAAATTCTAACCGTACTGGTGCACTATGTTTGTGCTATTTTTCCTTTGTATCATACTTTGAGCACATCTAAGCGAAAATTAACAGGAGCGCGTGGCGAAAGTTCGCGAAGAGGAGCGTAATCCTTTGTGTTATGGTGACGGTTCAGGTTGCTGAACAAGGCGGAAATTTGCATATGGCTGTCAGACACCGCGATCACTGCGTGGTTGAATAAATTATAAGTACAATCAAAACAGCCCTCTTCTGTTGTCAACGCAATATTCCAAGATATATGACAAAACGCGCGCTCGTCCCGATTAGAACGACTAACATGGCGAAGAAAAGGTTTGCCCTTTCAGATTTCAGAGGTTATTCGGTAACTTTAGATGATACCTGATCACCTATAGTCCGATGCCACGAATTGTTCCGTAACTAAATTAGCATGAACCCCACTGATACGCTTCCTCGCTCTCGCACTCTCACCGCAGGGTATATCTTCAAACCATTGCTAACCCAGGGAAGAAGTGCTGTACAAGATTTATTTTAGGATGCAACCACCTATACTAACTTTTGATCCGTTTGAAATAATTTCTTGAAACGCGAAATTTACCTTTTTTATCCATCGTGTTATATTTGTCTTCATAATATTTTGGCATCTGCCTCACCTGGCTAGTTCAATTAAGGTTACTTTGCCAAAATTAGACGAAGCGTGTTACAAATATGGGATTTTATTTATCTGAGAGGCTCCGGCGCGACACAGTCCAGTAGACACTCAGTAGAACTTATGTATTCGTCTTAAAGGTGTGGGCGTTTAATTTTGCGGATGTTTAGAAAACTCACCTTAAGGACCTTAAAATATTTAATTGGACTGGGTAACTATTAAATGTTCAAAACTAGGCAAAACAAAACTTGAAAACCTCAGGAAAAGAGTTGAATATGTACAAAAAATTCAGTGCACTCTTACGAAATGCAAACTCGTGACTGTCTCAGAAAGCCGCATCACAGCAGCACGAAACCGAAATTTAACCCCCAGGAAATACAGAGGGAAAAGTTTAAATACTAAAAAAGCTATAGTACAAGATTCAAATACAACTGAAGAAAATAAAGATTTAAAGTTCATTCTAGTTTACTCAGTCCCGTCAATTTCCCAGGATCATTTTGTGACCGATTGAGGAAAAACCAGGGAGCTCGTCTCAATCATGGAGGTCTTAAATTTCAGTTTTAAGTTCTGTCTGTTCTTTCTCCCCGATGTTATCTTTCCGTTTGTTTTGGACCAGATGGAGAGCATAAGTCCTCTGTTTTATTCTGATTGTGTTGCATGAAATAATTACTTTATCGTAAAAGGTTTTTGACAGACAAAATACGGCAGAAAATGCGTGTAAAGAGAATTCTTAATTTGCTGTCACATTTATTTTGCAGTTTTTTCTAGACTGAGATAAGTTAGGAGTCAAAATAATAGTTACACATAATAAACAAAGTACAATAAAATATAAAAGAGGGAAGCTTTCTTTGGCGAGGGAAAATTTAGACAGTTTCAAGACGCAATTTGTGTTGAGGGGGACGGCATGAAGTTCGCCAATGCGGCTAAGAGCCATCTGGTCACATTACCAAATTTGGAATGACGATGATGTCATGGTCTTGAAAACCAATAGGCGGAGCCAAAGATGATTGATATCTCCCTGCAGGCCTCGCGAGAGTTATTTCTATGGAGGAAGGCGTGTAGGAAGGTTTGTAGCGGGCCTAGACGCGACCAGTACTGCACGTTGTCCTCTCTTATTGGCGTTATTTTCGATTTCGGTCGGCTAGAAACAATTTTTGGCATTAATTTATGGTCGGTTTTACAGACTGAACAGATAAATTTTTGCCTTATCATGGAGTTCGGAGAGAGAAATCCGTTCGAAACAGGTATGTGGCTGGTATGCGAAATTGTGGTTAGCGCCAATTTGAATTTAACGCTTTGTTAGCAATATATTTTTAGCTTCGTAGTGGTATTATTGAAAGGAATGTAGTCTTAAGTGTTTGCACCGAAATCTGTAGTGGTTTGCTTCGATAGCTTTCGTTTGCCGGAAAAATGAAGACGGTTATCAAAATCACATGTCTCGGCGACATTCATGCATATTCAAACACATTAAGTTTCAACATCGCTTTTAGCGAGTCACCCGTCGGCTGCTTTTAGTCTCCATCAAGTGCTGTCAATCTGTCTCTCGAGAAATCACAATGAAGGCAGATATCATATTTGTTTTCGAGGTTTTTTGTTTTTTTTCTTGTTTTTTTCAAAGTTCATCACCTTTCGGGTCATGCATTCAGCTGACTGTCGAGTAAATTGTTTTTTTCGGTTGTTTGTTGTTTTCATACGTTTGCTTGCAGCCAACTAAGCATAAACTATTAAAACTGGACTCATAGATACTCAATTTTGTACTCGAGTATATTCTCCTATCTTAATTCGCAGTTTCGTAACTTGTCGAAAGACAAAGCTCTATCATAACCTTTCTGCAATCTTCTTGTTTACCCAACTTAGCTAATGGTTTGCACTTGCTTTCAAGCATCAAAGCCGCAGAAATTCTTATGAAACATGGCGAAATGTAGAGAAATATCGACTTAGAAAATGCACAAATATTATTTTCACACCTAGAAAGGAATGTACAATTGTGAAATAGCTAAACGGATGTGCTTTGTCGAACTTTGAACCTCTATGGCCTGATTTGTTTCGGGGAGCTTTGTCTTAGAGCCTTTATTGTTCTTTTCCAGATCAATTTTCATCAGAAACTCGAGATAAAGAGATTGAGATGTTCAATCCTACGCAATCTGGTGGTAAGTTGATATTTCCTGCGGCAAAGGTCATCATGTGATTTTTCTGGAGAATTTTTGCCTCGACGGACGCCTATATGCTCGTTATCCTCTCTTGCGGTTTTTTTTTCTCCGTTTAATTTACGCTGTTGAAATCAGCAATGGGTCAGCTGCTGATTCCAGAGTTTATTTGGTATTTTTCGATGTCTAATTGCCCGTCGTAAGAATTTAAGGGTTTGAAAATAGTTCGAGTTGCACAGCGGTTTGAAAGAACAACTATTTCATCATCCTTTGAGATTTACCTTTGCCCTCTGCTCTTCAAGCCCTATTTGTATATAAAAGTAGTAGAGCCTTTTATCCCTAGGGTAAATTAAAAAGGACGGTAGGTGATATTACGTAACTCTTGGAACCTGGATTCAATTAAATCTGAAATTCATATTATGTAATGCACCAGTGGGGATTGACATGTAAAGAACATGATAGTCATCTACCACTGAACATTTTTTAACATTTTTTAACACTTCTTGTAAGCATGGAAATCATGGGACTGGCATTAAATTGAAACTGGTCTTACTGCCATTTCCTTAGTTCAAATGTTAGGTAAATTAAAGCTGTAGTCACAATAGCAATCTTTTTTGCCATTGTTTCCTTTATCCAAAAAGTGTGTGCATAATGACCTATCTGGGCTGTGCAGAAGTCTTTTCAAATGTTATCAACAGAGGAAATCTCTTGTTTAAGAAAGTACAATAAAAAATTCCTTCAAGAATTTGTCATCAATGAAAATCTCTATACAAGAGGTTAGTGCATCTGTGATAAAGCAGTGTTTGCTTGTGGTCATCTAAGAGATTTACACGAAGGTGGGGCAGTTTGAAGTTTTTGTCAGTGATAATAAATTGTTACTTTGTGCTTATGAACTCCATATACTAGTTATGCAACTTTTTCACTGGTCTGAATGAAACTTTTTTTCTCATTGCATTTTTGTTTTCTTTGTGTGGCAGATTTTGTTCCAATGGAGGGAGTTACAGATTTCCCAGTTGATATTCACAACTTCTTGGCAGCTCCAGGCATTCCGGATTGTCCACCAATCTATGAACCTCTGCAGTCACCAATTGATTCTGATTTGTCTTGCCCACCTTCTCCTTCACCAGTTTCCTCGCCATCACCAAATTCCTCCTCATCATCTTCTGAGTCTGGTATTGAAGATGTTAGTGACATGGAAGAATCAACATCTTTTCTGGCTGCAAATGGATCGCTGCTTGTCAAGATGGAAAATCCATCCTCTCCACTGAATGGTGTGAATCTACCTGTTCTAAAGAGACGTGCTATCAAAAGGCGTTTCAAGAAAGAAAATGACAGCTCTGTCTTGGAAGAGCTTAACAAACTTCTTGTGGAAACCAGTGTTTCTCTGGCATTGACTTCAACGGACCAGTCTTTATCTCAGCCATGCCAAACTCAAGCTAAACTTACCAGTGAAGGGAGCATTCAGACTACAGCTTTACCAACCTCTTATACTTGCCCTCTTATTGTTGAGGCTAACCAAACCACAGTTGCATCTGAATCTCTTCAACTGTCACTTTCCAGTCAGACAACAACCACCTCTACTCTGTCTACACTTAGCACCCCACCTCCAGTTGTCTCTCAGTCTAGAACAAGGAGTAAACCAACACGGAATCATAAGAAATCTGATGAACCCAAGATTGTGATTATAGAGGAGCCTGAAGAGGTATTTTTTTCTTGGATTCCCAAAGTAATTCTCCTTGTTTTTCTTTTCATTCTGCTCAGAATGTCCTGTGCATTGCAAAGTTCTGTTTTTCATTATTTTTCATTTTTCAACTTCAGCATACTGACAATTCATTTATCCATTTGTGCAGAACTACAGAGCCAGATATGAAAGTGAAGGGTGCAGAGGTCCTATTCATGGCTCTCAGGACAATTCTTTCCCTGCTGTTAAGGTAAGTTGGCTGTATTTTTGAATAAAGTTTGTTTTGTGTTCCCAGGTGGGTTAAAAAGGTTTTATGATATTTGAAACTGTGGTTTTCATTTTTAGATTACAGGATATGATCAAGCTGTATGGATCACAGTGCATCTGACAACTAGTAGTGGCATGCCACATTACCATTCCATTCATGGACCTGGCTCTACTAAGGTACCATGTAAAGAGACTACTCTACCTGGTGGAGTACCTGCTGTTCAAGTTATGGTTGCTCCAGATACCAATATGACTGCAGTGTAAGTACCTCATGAGTATAAGTTTGTAAATTAAAAAAAAAGTTTTAATCTTGGTTACAGCAGTATGATACCTGGAAACACCCTTTGCTAACTATTTCATGTTTCGACATGTCTCAGGCTTGACTCATTGAGCATCCGTAGACTGCGAAACTGGGAAGGTGACAGAGAGTTGAGGAAAAGAGGAATTGATCCAAGAACCTGGAAGAAAGAACGCAAGGAAGCAAGACTGTTGTTTCAGGCAGAGTTGCCAGAGAACAATGGCCATCCAGCTGTTAAACTGACGTGCAAATCTAAGGTGTTCCAGTGCAGTTCTTGTGAGTAGTTTCTTACAATAATGGAACGTAATGAATTTTGTCTTTTTGAAAGACTCTTATTCAAATTTTAAGTTTTATTGACAACCCTTGACAGTATCCATCAACCTGATGAAGTGTCTTTTATTTATTTCAGCTGGTCCTCCTGGTAATCCAGAAATTTGGTGGGCCAGTACAAGTGAGGGTTCCGTTGAGGGTGGTGATGAACTGGGTCTGATTGGAAAAAAGTTTCAATCAGGTAAGGCAACCATTATTTGAAAGATGTGTGGAATTCTTGTCAAGTAAACATCCACTAGGGTGCTCATTGGGCAGGCTGATGGAGATTTTTCGGGAACTATTTCGGCTAAATTTTGGTTGTTTGCTCTATATGCTCTTGTTTCTTTGTATGATTCTCCTACCAAGAGATTTCATGATGAAAACCCCTTTGTAATAAAGGCCTCTTTATTTTTTCCATTTCCAGGTTTTAAAGTGCGATTCTACTCGGTGAATTCCTCTGGTAGGCTAAGTTTCTTTTTTTTGGTTAGAAATGCAGATGAAAACTTGATCACAAGAATGAAATCAAGGTGTTAAGTTCACACATTGTTTGCTTTTTGTCAGTGATGCTTCACCTTGAACATGAGCAATGTATTGACTGACTTAAAGCAAATTCTAAGAATGATAAACTCTTTGCTTTTGTTCTTGTGATTACTGGGAATGAAATTACAATGCAACATTACAAAGATTGAATTGGAAACACTTAAGGAACAAAATGTCACTTAGTCCATTTGCTTGCTTGTCAACCCATGAAGTTTGCAAACCCAGAAATTACAGTTTAAATGAACAGAAACACCTTCAAGTGAGAGACTGATTGGCATTGTACTTTGATATCCCAGCTTTAAATAGGTGTAATATTATCAACTGACATGCCTCATTACCTAAATTTGTGAACTTGAAACTGGAACAGATAATCATCTTGCATTTATTGCAACAAAAAAATTCTCTATTTGAGATTTGTTTATGACCTGAGCACTTCAATTCTTTCAGAATGAAAAAGTTGTTAATTGTTTGAGCTTATTTCTTTACCAGTGGCTGATCTCAGTGAAATTCTCCTTGGGGTGAATTAAGTTCACTTGTCATTTGATGCTGGGATGGGCTCATTTTGGGAGGTTGGGTGACAAGGAGTATGAGTTGGATTTTATAAAATATTAAAGGTGTGCACTTATTTTGGCTGTAAACACAAATGTTTTCAATTGTCACTTGGCAAACCAGTTATCATTGCCCTACATTGCTCTTTCATTATAAACAAGTTGATGCAATGCCAAGCTCATCTGCATAGGTGCAGTACTTTTGGTTAGGAATATAGAACTGAAACACAAGCTGGAAGAAACTGAATTTTCTTCAAAGGTGATTGGCCAGTTTTAAAAAAAAATACTGTAAGAAATAAAGTCAGGGATCAAACCTCCAAGATTGCTGTGTTGATCAGAGCTCTTTAATAGTAGTCCTGACAATAGCACTCTGCCTCAGAGTGAGCTTGATGCATACCATCAATGTTGGAAAAAATTGTTGAAAATTGATATTTGAACATGTAAACCAAAAAAAGTTTTATAATGAAATAAAAATTGGTCTGTTGATGGTTACCCTTTTCTGCTCCCTTTTCATCTCATTTGTGACATTTCAAACTCTTAATCATGTGCAGTCTGTCTGCTGTCATTTCACATCATCCTTTGCAAGCCCAGAGAATATAGAGTGAAACAAATTTGATTCAGTGAAGCTTGTGACTGTGTAGTAAATATGAAGACCTAATTGCAGTAATGTTGTAGCAGAAAAAATACTAGAAAAAGAAAAAGCCTAAAGGAACTTATTAGCATTAATTAAACTACCTCTTGCTTTGTACTAGACAGCTAAACAAATTTCACAGAATTTATTTCAAACTTCTTTTGAGTATCAGATGTGCTTTAGAGAGTTCAAGTGATTCCCAAAAAAATTTTTGGAAATGCTTATGCTAGATGCTAATTACTTCCAATTTGGCCCTTCCTTTTTTGTGTTTTTCTCTGATAATGTTGCTGTAATTAGGTGCATTACTTGTGGAGAAATGAGGAAAGAACACTTTAGTAGTTCTCCCAGTATTTTTTTTTAATTCCAGTGTTTGCCTACTCCTGTTTAAGAATATTCAAAGAAATTATAAAATGACAGACATTTTAAAAAACGTTGAAGATAAATTTACTGAGCCGTTTCTTTGAATTTCATTCTTGGAGTTTTTTAGAACACAGGTCCCAGAATTGGCAGGTTGCTATGAGAAATAACACCCTTTCCTTTCTAAAAAAAACACATTTTCCTAGGCTTTCAAATTGTTACATGTCTTGAATAGAAACCAATAGTTGTTTCTGAATCAAATGAATATTTAAAGGCCATGCAAAATGAAAATATAAATAGCAAAGTCTGGCTAGAAATTATTTGAGCTCTGTGGGTGATAATTTACTCACTTTGTGGCATATTTGAAAATATTTGTGAAATAAAAAATGTTAGCTTTTGAAACTTGTTTCAAGAGAAGAAATTCCATTTGATTAGAAGGCTGAATTCTCTTTGGCTTGTTGTATTCTTGATTTTAGGGAAGAAAGCACACCAAGATAAACACTGTTCTTGTATTCACCAGAGACATTCCAAGTATCGCCAACTTAACTGTTCTTAATGTGGAACATGTTAATTGTGCTTGTATTTATATAGGGGATTTTCAATGGAGATCAGACACAGAGGCATGTCAGTTACTTTTGGGTGTAATGTCAAGAACTTTGCAAAGCCAATCGTAAAATAAAATGTACCTCAAAGCCTTGCAGAGCAATGCTTGGGTTCCATTTTCTTTGAAAGCTGAAGAGAATAGTCATCAAAATATGCAAACATTTTCTTGTTGTCATTGTCAAATTTCTGATTTGTCAGAAGGAAAATTAGCTGGAAGGAGCTAATAACAGGTTGGCTGTGCAAAGTACTGTCTTGGGGTTGCCATAGGGTTGTGGGAGAGGGGGTTGTAAGGTTTTTAACGCTGATTGCAGTTATTGCGCTTCCAGAGTTGACACTGTATTGACCGCAATGGACATTGCTCACATAATTGCTTTTTTACCGGTGGAAGCTGTGTTATACAGGTGCTCGGTGTCATCTATCTCTAAAATCGTTTTGAAATAAAAGTAGTTTGATTGTTCGGCCTGCATTTCTGTAGACCAGAAACCTACTCTCATATTCAAGAACTTCTCTTCTCCTTTAGTTTTCTTCTCTATCTTATCTAGAACTGAATTTCAATTTCATGGTGCTTCATATGTGCAGAAAGAGATAATTTTGATGCAAAATAAGTTGATGTTCCATTTCGTGTAGCAAGCTGTATTCTAATGACCCTTATGGCATGCATGAAACCAAACTTTTGATCCTTTTAGTCTCACTGGTGTCAATATGACCTGTTTTTCTCAATTTCTGTGATTGTATCAGGATTGTTTCATTTTTGGGCTCCTTTTGGGAGCAAAGGGTGTCAAGAAAATTAGGAATAATGTTTCAGTTTCATCAAAACAGTGTTTACCAGGCTTCTCTTCAGTGTGACTTTGAGATTGTTGTTCCACCCCTTTTTATAAAGAAAACAGAAATAATCAGAGTTAATTTTGAAAGATGGTGTTCCTCAATAGCTGATTTTGGCATAATCATTGTTACTAGTGGTTTGGTTGCGTCACCACTGAACTGGAGAAAACTTGGGTAGCAAGTTTATTAAACCCTGTGCATGTTGTCAACCTCCTGCATGTTGCTAGGATTTGGATGAGGATGCAACACTTTTAAAATAAAAATGGAGATGGCAAATTTTAAGCCCCGTTATTAGGGTCAATTATTCTGTTGAAGTAGTTCATGCTAGGTTTGGAAATCAGGTGTAAAGTTGACCAATATTCTTTCAAAAATCAGTTTTAAAAAAATTGTACAATTTTTTCAGAGTTTTGTAGTTAAAATTTTAATCCTTGAATAACTTCTGATCATACAATTGGTTCAAATATTTTTCACAATTTCAGTTTGATAATAAATTGTAGACAATATAAACAAGTAACCAATTATTTACTGAGAGGTGCCATAATAAGGGGATAATGGAACTGCAACACTCAATTGTATGCTGCTTTGAAACAAACCATTTCATCTGTTTGACAAAAGAGTTTAAAAACATCTAATAAAGAAATGTAAAAGCAGTGCTTTTATGAGAAGTCATGGTAAACAGTGTTTGTTTAAAGCAATGTGTGAGCAATTATTGCGGGTCCAGTCGACAACCTAACACTTCATTACAGTGGAAGACATTTGCGCATGAATTTTATCTCCACAGTTGCACAGTGAGACAAGTATTTTGTCTTTTTACTTTGTATTCGGTTTATTTTCTTGTTTGGAAATTGCTGTGCCTTTGTAGAGGTGTGTTCCAGCTTTTACAGGGAGGTTTCTTGAAGAAAGTGTAATCACCAGTTGATTTTACAATATTGAGGCTGTGCTGATCAGCATCCACACATTGGCTTCTGCAAATGAAGTTTGAGAATTATTCTTTCTTGAAAATTCATACTAAATTGTCCCTAGAACAGTTTTTATTTTGCAGATTACGTGACTATAGTTCAGTTTTCCCGGTCAAAATATTCCCTACTTGAAATATGGTGAACAGGGGCATTATTGTTTGGCATCCTTGTGATGAAAGTTTGAAAAAGCTGGTTTCACCCTCTATCAAAGGCCAGAGCATATTCCGTGTTTATTTTCATTTATCAGCAGTTTGAACCAAGTTGTTTGTGACACAAGATCGTAACAGTAACCAATCTGTGTGGACAAACTATACTGGTTCAGACTTCTCAATTGCCTCTCTTTGTGTTTTGCCTTGGGACTGGAAAGTCTGTTTCAGAAATATACATTTTGTCTTGAAATTTTGATTGGCAAATTTTTCCCATGGCTAAACATGGAGAGATCTCCTTCTTGGCACCTATGTAGAGGATGGATAACCAACATTTAGCCCTTATTAATTGCACTATATTAATGCACAGTCTCAACCCAGTGTAACCTGCATGTAAGTCTCACTTGATTTACATCATTATGTTCTTTTAGAGACAGTGAGTGATGTTGGTTGTTAATCTTCTGTTAGTTGCCATTGGTGCATGAAGGGCTAGGGGAGGACCTCATTATTCTATTTTTATCCCCATTTTTACAACTTGTACTCCTGGCCTTGCAAGGAATGGCAGTTGCAAACTCCAAGGCATATGTCCTCAGTCGAAGAGCACCTACTGTTTGGACACATAAGAAAAAGACCAATTGAAGATGAACCCTGAACCCAGATACCAGATAATTCCATTAAATATATATGCCTTGGAGCTTATGGACTATTGTGGTGGTGTGTGTTGTTCTTTTGTGCTGTGTGTTAGATTAAAGTTGTTGTTTTATGGATTGAATTAAGAAACCATGATGAAATTGAGACAAACTTCCAAGGCCAATTTAGTTTTTGCTTTTTTTTTTTTTCCATGATCATTTTTTATCTCCAATCAAATTATTCCTATCATGTAAAAAACAAACAAGCTAACAAACAGAAATGTGATCCAATAAAAATATCCAAAAATATAACTGTTGTATTGATTTACCATTTCAAGTCATGCCTTTATTTTTTTTCTTAATAAATTTTCTTCATTTTTATGGCTAAGTAGGTGTATTGTACAAGTTATCTGCCGTCCTTGTAGTGGCTTCTTTGTTAGTGTGTTCATGAAGCAGCCAAGCTTGCAGCATTGAATTTCTGCACCCATACTTTCACTTGGCTGCTTGATGATGACTAGCATGGTATCCTCTTTGCCTGGGTGGGTGCTGTGGTGGGTGGGGTGGGGAGTTTAAGGGGAGGAGAGGTTTATTAGTGCCATCTCAAGTTTCACAGCAAAACACATTTTTGGAACTTAATTTAAATTGTAAACTTTTTTATCATTTCAGAAAATTGGGAGAGTTTTGCTGAAATTGACAAGAGTAAGTCACATCAGGTGAGCTTCTTGAGAATCTTGAGGCCAGCTAATTGGAATTTACCGGGCACGATTAAATAAATAGATTATTCAAGCATGGTTCTTGTCTCGAGACAAAGCCTCTGGGGTTTAGTGATGTAAAAGAAATCTTTCTGATTTTGTCAAATATGCTTATGTTAAGAAATGAATGATTAAATAAATGTGTTTGTCTTCAAGATTATGTGAAAATCTAGACAACAGGAATTAAACCATTAATGACTTGATTGCATTTAGATGATAAAACATTGCCAATAACCTTGTGTCTGCTTTTTATTTTTCAAGGGTGCTGCAGTGGTTCTCACTCCAGCCTACTGTGATACTGAAATAACCTCTCCTGTCACTGTTAACGTAGTGGTAACATTTGGAAATGGCAGAGATGCAAAATCAAGTGAACCTATTGAGTTCACATACAAACCCAAACCTAGGGTAAACTTGCTAGTTGAGGAAGTAGAAATGCATCCAAGCCTTCCCATTACTGCTACAGAAAACGTTATTACAGTGGATCTGTTTAACCCTATGGTTGAGCAGGTTGTGATGGACAACCTGCCTCAAGAAATCGTGGAGCCTGCACCAGTGCTAGTGCCCACAGTGAATGAGGAGCAAGGTAAGGCATGGGTTAAAGTAAATTCTACCCAATTTTTGGTTTATGAGTAATATCATGGATGTGTGTTGGTGGTGATTTGAGCATATGAAATTCATTGGCGCAGTTAACATATATGTGAGTGGTACTGTAGGTGAATTATCTATCTCTTGAACCTGGATAGCAAGGATGCATTTCACCTGTACTACTTCAAGCTCATAGTCTATCATGGTTAAATCTGTAATCTTGTTTTCAGACTGGCAGGCTTTGTGTGTTCAAATTGGTGAGCTACATCAAAATGGAGAGCTTTCTACAGAGCACGTCAAGGTACTTGAGCAGTTAATTGTCAGCTTGAGTGGTCAGTGAATAAAAGGATTTACATGGTATTCCTAGTAGGCTAAAAATAAATTTGTTTCTAGGAATTATGTGAATACATCAAAAGAAAGGACACTCTACTTCTGCAAGCCTTTCGTTCATCAAGAACTGCTGGCACCAAGGAACAGCTACAAGTGAACTTCAAACAATATCTCTCAGGGATGCTTTGTAATTTGTAGGTCACATTTGAACATGTAAATTAAATTATATTAATTATTGTTATAGAATTCTTATAGGCAATTTTATTATAATAAGTTTATTTCTTTCATAATTAAAAACAAACAAACAAAAAAAAAACAGTAAAAGAGAATGCTGACGGTCTGTATTTTCACTGCACTGTTTACAATAGATAGAAGCATGTCATATCCCTATTTGTTTGGCTTGTATCTATTTTCAACAGTGTTTTGTTGGTACAGATTTCACTAGACAACATCCACTGTAAAGGTGTTATATATCAGTTTGAAATGAAGGCAAGGTAGACTTGTTGGAAGAATGTATATTGATTATTTACTTTATTTTCTGCTCGTACAGATGTTATACACGTGAACTTCAGTGACTAACGCCAATCCCTCCTGTTTTCAAACAACACTTTACTCGATCTCTGCAAGACTTTTCTTAGATATGAGCTTAATTGAATTTGCCTGACCTTTGCAATCATTACATCTGGTGTTGGCAATGTCAACGTCTGAAATTTATTTTGTAATGGGAATTAGTCACTTGTTGTGTCCTTCTCAACCTTTATATTCAGATAGTTTTAAGTACTGAGACATTTTACCATGTTTTGATGTATGAGTTGCCACTTAATTGAATTCACTCAGGGTTAGCATGCTTAGTCAATTTGTAGATGTGTAATCTCGCTCCTGGGAGATGAGTTTTCTAGATTCTTAAATTAAATTTTGTAGCTTTGGGTAGTGTTGTAGTTATGCCCGAGTGTGATTTCTAAACTACTGTGGCTACTTTTGTAGATTCTTTGAAGTGTAGCTATTACCAGGAGTTACTGTCCACCTTCATTAGTTATGTACTGTGTCTGTTAGCACTTAAACTTTTGTTATACTGGTTATTGCAGGTGGAACAATAATGTATGTATATGTATCAGTCAATATTTGTGAGAAAACCAAACTAAGGTAGTCGGCCTGCATTTTGTTTTGCATGCTTTCCTGTCTGATGACAGTTGAAAGCAAGCACTTCAAAATGTCATTCTTGAATTCTGTGCGGTGTACATCCAAGTTAGTCTTAACCAGGTTGAAAGCTTTAGCATCTTGACTCTTGAGGATTTTTTAATCTGTTTTTCCTACAATGAGAAGATTCCACAAGGTATTGTAAAGGTGCAGTTGGCTTTTCTTGGTGGAAAAACTGAAGGAAATTATTAGCCTTGTTAAGACTATACATCATGATACACAGTCTGATTGTGTATGGCTCTGGAGTAAGTTAACTGTTCCTTTACTTATCTTAAAGCAGATTAGTATTACATTAATATTATGCACAATTTTGTGTGCGTTGTTTTGTAAGATGAGTATTGTCAAAATTAATTTTAATTTATTGATATAGATTTCTCATGTTGAGTTAATGTCGTAATTTGAAAGAAATAAATGCATGATCAGTTGATTGTCACTTTGTATTCAGAGGTGAAAGTTTAGTAAAACAGGTTTTCTCCGGCAAAGTTTCGTTTTTGTTGTTTTCTCACGTAAATATCTTTTTAATTCCTGGGAGAACTAATGGAACTGTACTATATCTTTAACCCTTTGCACCCTGACATCAGTATGCATATTCTCCATACTGTTATCTACACATTTCCTATAGAGAAGATGAGGAGAACTTTTCTACTAATCAAGTGCCTCATTGGTTGGTGTCATTTTCTTGTGACCTTAATGGTGAATTTGAGGTGATATTGTAAGGAGAAATTAGATGCTTGTCACTCCTAGGGTGGATGGGTTCACATTGTAGGACATCGAATGTAACATTTCTGTTTTCTGCTTTGGGGAGTAGTTGTTAGGTCGCTTAATTTTCCCAAAACAAATGGTTAAAGGTTGTTAGTTTGAGGCATTCGTGATTGGGGGGTGTGGCCTGGCTGATAAGCACGTTTCCAACTTTTTCTCAGATGCGGGGATCATTTCCTGACCAAAGGATGTTAACTCAACCTTCCTGACTCGCGTACCCTGTGTTATTTGAATAGAATTGTGATATTGGTATAAGTTTTCTCAGGGGAGGGTAGAGTTGTCATTCTGAATCGAGGCAAATAAATACTTTGCCGCGCCAATTAAGTGGTTTGCTGCTCCACCTCGACAGCCAAAGTTCAAATAACACCATGACCACATGGGTCATTCGTGTTTTTCCGCTCTGGAGAAGAGTTGTCATGAATTTTTAAGTCGTGCATGCCATCGTGCGATGCTTTTCTTCGTTATGAGTGGTTGGTTGTAATGGTTTAACGGAACTGGGTCCGTTTCTCGAAGGTCGCGGTGACATATCGGACCCGTAAAGCTAATCTGTTTTCATTCAAAATGGGGTTTCAAAAGATTTAAAAATTGCATAGGAAGACTAGCTGCTAAAGAAACAAAATGTACTACATGGCTTGGGTGCCAGAGCCTGCCTCTTTATTCTTTAACTTTTTATTTTCAAATATGACTTGGGGCCCTTAAAGTCAGCAAGACTTCAGAGAAACGGGCCCCTTTGTCGAGTTTCGAGCGAATTGCAATTCAACGCTTTTCCTGGCACTGTGCGGCACAGATCCAACGAACTTTCCGGTTAAAAATTAGAAATGAGCGTATTTGCATTGATCCATTTGTTGCACCAGTGAACACGTATCAGATACTCAGGAGTCGTGGCTATTTCATCAGTGAAAGTCACATCTATTATGTTGGTGGTGTGTGGCAGCGGGAGCCCATTCAGTGACCCTTCTATGGAGGTTGCAAATTTTGTTTGCCTGCCGCTAGTTTACTTAAATAATAAAGGAATCACGTGGAAAGAACGCGCTTCCTTTTTTACGTTCCATCTTCCTCCATTTTCAAAACCCTCAATATGGAATTTTGGCGTATTCGCGAGTTCAAGTGTGATAGTTGGCTTTATTAGAGACTGGAATTCGATCTGAAGAAGCAAAGCCTTTCAGAGTAATATACCTCTTCTAGTCTGTCTAGACACTGAAATTCACTTTGGAAATAGCCAAGCTGTGCTGTCAGCAGCTTGTTACTTCTGGTGTAATGGAAGGTCACTCCGTCACATTTTCCATATTGATCAGAAAATCTGTTCTTAGCAAAGGATTTATTTATAACAGTATCAGTCGCTGATAACAAATGTACACTGTAGCAATTTCATGTTCAGCCGACTAACCAAATTTCATATCAAGGTTTACCGAGCGCTGCGGCCCAATGGAATGACTAGCTTTCTTGAGACCTTTTAAAAGGCAGATATCTTGATAGTTTATAGTTCTACTTGATGGTTCTGCCCTAACTCAGAAATTATTTAATTTACTTTACTATTTATTGCCTCAGAAAGAAGGAAAATTGGATTTGAAGTATGGCGCCTGTCGTCTCTTAGTGGATTTTGGAGCAAAATAATAGGAATTGACCTCTCTTAGCAAGTTGATAAACGTTAGATTCCATTCTATATTTTTGTTCTTTATGGCTTGTATTTACTCTTAAACGACTCCCTGCTGGTTTTGCGCGACACTAGGAAAAAGCGAGATTGAACAAAGCCGGATGTCTCAGTTTAATTTCTCGAAAAGTATTCAATTCACCGTATCGGGGACGATTCAAAGTGGAGAATAAGAAAGAGACACGTTTTTTTTACTTTGAAAGAAATCAGAGCATGAACAGGATGCCATTTCTTCACAATCGAGACCCTCTGCATGTTGTGGAATGAATCAGCTTAGCAAATTTGTTGGATCATTAGAAGTGAGGAATTAATAGTGATGGTATGCTAAGACATGCGTGGTCGAGGATGACAAGAAATAGCGGCATATTTACAGCAGCTTAATGTTTATTTAAAAATCGAAATCTGTAAGGTAGATAAATTTAAGTATTCGGGCAAGTTTTCAAGTGTATAAGCTAAGGCTGAAAGAGCTACTTGAGAGATTTCTCGCGGAGGAAAAAAGACGCTACAAAATTCAGTGCTGTAAAGCCAATCTTTGATTGAAACTAAGTAATGACTATTAACTCAGCAAGAACACTCTCACACCGGAAAATAAGGTCTACTTAAATAAAGGTTTAATGAAAAAGTCATTGCAAGTCGTACCGTTTCATGCGATTTCCTTACAAAAAGTTAAAGAATAAAGGCAATCAACTATAGGAATACGTACACGTTAAACTAGAAAAGTGCCTTTCAGTGAAATATGAATTTGGATTGTTTGAGTGCTGCTGGAGTTCAGTAAACCTGAAGCGATAACGAACAAGGACGAAGATGGTAAATTGCAAATAACAAACTTGATTCATCCAGCCTTAATTTTCACCGGCAAGATCGGCCGACGAATGGTGGCGATTCACCTTTGAAGTCTGTGTCGATTACCATGGCTACGTCATTAAAAATCTTGGAAAATTGTGATGGAGTGCACCGATAAGGATATTGGTCTATAAAATAGTTGATATTCTGCATTAAAGTGCGACACAGCATATGCGAGGAAAACGTCATTTTCGGCAGCATTCATTCATCTGTGCGATTAAACGAGTGAGACTCACTTCTGAAAAAAGCAGGGGCGTGAAAGGAAGTCGGAAGTCAGCTCGGGAAATGAACGGCTCGGGAAGTAGGGCTGATTTGGTTAAGATGGTTTGGGTTAAATTATGGATGCATTTTACGGTCTCATGCATATTTTCTGCTGTCTTCCGGATAATCTCACACGTCCAACTGAGAAGCTAGTGCCGAGGAGTAATTCAGCCCGAGTAAGCCTAAAATTAATTAATTCACGTTGAATTTTTTCTTCATAACTGCTTTGGTCGAAATCCGGCCTTAGCTACAGATGCCACCCTCTCTCTCTCATTCCCGTATATTCCTCACCCTACAACCCACATAGCCTTAAAAACGCCGTATGAAAAAGCTTTCCTTAGAGAGAAAGAAATTGTTATCATTCAGTACTATTGCAATCAATGGATAACTTCCCTCGGCGTTATTTGTTTGGTAACTATGCAATAAATCCTTCTTTTATTGGCATTCTAGTCTTTCAGATAAAACCCTATAAGATGTAAGGAGACCCGAAAATTGTGGCTTTGTGGCCAGAAAAATGAGCTAGATAAAAATCCGATCATATCTACCGTTCTTCCTGCTCCCAGCATGTTTAATCTTGCAGACGCAAGACTGGATGGATTTTGCTAAGCTGGCTCTTGCACTGCAAGGTATCGGTGATCGTAATTTAATTCAGTTTAATCAGTTCATGTTTTTCTGTTGTTTTGGCTTTCTGGCCACGCTGGTTATCGTCTTAGACTGAGTCAGGATATTATTTGGTTACCATGACTCCTCCATAAGTATTACTGACATTTGCAAATACCAGCGGTACATGTTGCTTTGAGTAAGACAAAATAAATTGTTATTTACCAGGTTTGAACCAAAGTGCAGGCAAAGAATAAATATGAAGACATCTGAATTCAAGCATGCCTACGACCTTTTCTGCTGTTAATGAATTAAGAAAAAACGGGCGCCTTGTTACTCAAAATTATCAGGAAGAGAGCATAAATAGTTGGAACTGAATATGTTTTCCGCTCGGCCGACCCTCAAGTCTGAGAGCCAAGAGAAATTACCTATCACATTCTTTTACAGTTTATTTTGTTAGATGGCGTCTCTTTGGAATCACGAAACAATAACTATTTGTTATTTCTTGCTGAGCGAAAAAGATCGGTCACTTTTAATTTCAATGGTAAATTCTAACATCCTCGTCTCTCGTCAACACTCAGGTAATTTAGTGATAACAACTGAGTTGGAAACGTAAATTGGCCACCGTAAAGAGTTAAAAGGCCGACCGGTTTCGAGCGTTAGCCCTTCGTCAGAGCGATTGTCGTCAATTTATCATTTCTCTCGATAGATTGTCGTCTTGTCAACACTGCTGCTTGTCACTGATGTTCGCGCACGAGTTTAAGTCAAAAATCCACCTGTTATCAGAGAGAGAAGTGATGTAAATGAATAAAAACATAAGTACGCTGTTCTTTATATTCTAAACAAGGTTGAAATCAAACCACATCACGTAAGTACAAACTGCACTCCAACTTATAGCTTTTGTAATATAAACATGATAATCACAAAGAGAAACGATAACTTGTGCAGGTTGGAAGGTTTGAGCTAACAACCACATTTACGTATGAAAAGCAAGGAGAATCAGACTTTGTGGATCAGGAATGCATTCTAGCGAAGATACGCATGATTAGCTGGAATAATGGAGGTTTTCGGTCAAGGGCAGACCTTGGACTCCCGCAACGGAAACTCTTTTAAATGCATTATGTAAGCGACTAGTTTTCTCGAGAGTTCTTGGGCAATAAATACACCACAGAATCTTATTTAGGACAAGGATAGTAAACTCTTAGAGGCTTCAAGCTGATCGATGGTTAAGCTTTTTTTATCTTCAGTAGTTGCCGTTAACGATAACCTTTAGGGTCAAATATGTTTTAATTTTTTTTATTAATCAATTAACCTCGAGGCTTTATTTTCCAACCAGAAAATTGACAGTAGTTAATATGACAAAAAGAACATTACCTCCACTGGAAACTGAAGTGGTAATATATCTTCTTACAATTAAGTTAATAGCCATGAAAGCACGCAAAGTTTTGATTATCAGCTACGCTTGTAGTTCATCATCAAAATGAGTTTCTCAACCGATGAAAAGTTCATCGATGAAGGGAATAAGCGCGTAAGCAAACGAAATAGTTTGCACGTACTTTCGTGTCTCGTGCGTGGATCCACGAGCGGACTAAGAAATGTGCGTGCGCGTCTGTTCACCTTGGGCTTAAAATAGAACCAGAATTGATTTGCGAAAATCACGATTGTCAAAGCTCTATTTATGATCATTTTTCTCATTAAGTTCACATTGTTTGAGTGTTATCAAGTGTGATCATTTGCGGCCATTAATTTAGCGGTGTAGGTAAACGACTGTTAAAATCAATTTCATCGCTTTTCAAACCTTTAAATAGCTGTTTCCGCAATCACCAGCTTTCGTGCAGTTAAATTATTGTCTGCGAATATTTCAAGGTTGAACAGTTTGTCAAGTTGCGCGCAGCCGATTGATTTCGTTAAAATCCCTTGCTCCAATTTTTTTCTCGCGTGGAACTAAGGCCCTTTTTAGGCACCGGGTGCCTAAAAAGCCCATCCATATTTTAATCCCGTGGATCCTGTTTCTGAATAATTTCTTTGTTTTCGCATTTCTGTTCTGTTTAATATTTTGTCTTCTTCTCCTCTTGATTTTCTAATGTCTATGCCAAAAGGATCTCAAGTACTTGACATAAGTCTCAGAGTCAAAGTCTTGGCAGTTGATAGTTTATTGTCATCTCTTGGAGTAACTTTTGTATCGCAGTATTGATTTTAAGAGTCTACTGCGATGAATTGTGCACGAGTTATATGCTTGTTTACATCGAATTTTGTGTTGTTCCACGAGGGAGTGTTCCAAAGGATATAAAGGTAGTTTTTTTACGTAGGCAGTAATCAGGGAGGTAGGAAATTACGTTGGGGGTCTGTAGTAAACAAAACTTTCCGTGCCCTGAGGCTTGTGTTGTTTTTTGGTCTTACAAATAACACCCGCCGCAAAACCACAAATTTGGGGAAAAGGATAGTGACAGAACTTGCTTTAATGGGGTTCTTATATTTTGTTGTATTTACAGATGAGTATTTTGGTAATACCGACACTTCACACCTAATTTACGCCTAAGATACGTTATCTCCGATCAGCCGGTCGGTTTTACAAAGTGAGCATTGAAAAACTTTGAGTTTGGTTTTTCTTTTACCTCTACGCTGGCCTTTGGTCGATGACGAACGTATGACGTACCTTTGCGGTACTCATAAATTTTTTAGCATAAACTATGTATGAGAATGGACGAATCGATCACTTTTTACAGTTTAAGTTTGCTAGTTAGAGAAAATGTATACGGTAAGAGGAGAGAATTATAAATTAAGTCTTGAGATTTACAAGGTTATAAAGAGATCTTAAAGCCTAGTTTGTATATTAAGAGCCCGGCAAAATTAGCAACAAAAAGATGAAAGAAACGATTAGGGGTATGCGGTAGAAACTTCTCGGTTACGTCGGAAGTGGCTTTGTTGGGCGGAAAACAATATTACTTCATTAGTTAATCAAAAAAAGTTGTTTTCTCGTGATCGACGGAAAAACCCATTGAAACCAAAAGGTGTGGTCACACATGTTGTGTTTTTTTTTTTAATTCATACACAGCGCTGATTATTATCTTAAAGTTTAAATTAGATCTTCCGTCCAGTCACGCGAAGGTTGAATGTTGAGAACGGTTTTTAAATACAATTAAATGTTGACCAAACATGCCCTAGAACACTGATTAACACAAACAAAACGTAAAGAAGCCGACAAACACACACGAGATCAACTCAAATTGGATGAGATTGAACTAAATGGGTTACATACATAATAACAGAGTTTGTCGAGCTTACAGCAGAGTGACTCTTCATGCACGAAGAAGTGATTTACTGAAGCCGCCGTATAAAATCGCATTTATTCACTTTGCACCTTAAGATCTCAAAATAAATTGATAAGTTTGATACTTTCACACGGGGCTGGCTTGTCATGTTTAGAACAGAGAGGAATAACTCTTGACAGTCGTTTACCGATCCGTGACCCGCAGGCAATCCAGGGTTTAGTTTCCATCCTCTGGGAACACGCGATGTCATATTCAAAGTACAATTCTTTGAAAGTTTTGTAAACGGCTGAATCTTTGTAAAAGGGTGCTTTTTTAGCTGACGATGTTTCTTGAGCTATCCGTCAATTTCTGGTTCAGTCCTGAACTTTTAAAAATGTCAGCTCCACCCTCGTGGAATGGATTTGATCTCAGCCACATTCCGTTCGAATTTTTGTGGAAGCTAGTTATTGAGAGATAATACATCTCTCCTACAATTTTTCATATTAATTTGACACATACCTTTCTGTGCTAAATTTAAAGCCTTTTAACTTGAAAACTCCTAAATTTCCGACAACTCAACGCCCCCTAGATAGGAAATGATCTCCATGTCTGTTTTCGCTTACAATGAAACTTGCAACGTTCCACTCAATTAGTCAATTTATTTAGATCTGTTCGATTGATGCTTAACAAATATATGATTTTGAAAACTAAGAGAAGCCTGCTCTATCAAATTGCAAATTGTGGACTCACTTATCGATGTTCAGGGCAGAAAGTCAGCCATTGTATGCAAAGTCCTTGTTCTTCGTAACTTTTAATACCTTCCACGCCAACACAGATTTCATCCTGTGGCATGAGTGTCATCACATGGTATATCCATCAAGAGATTTTGTAAAATGTAACAATCGAAAGGAAATAGCCAGAGCAAGAGCGTTTGGAAAATATCACCACAGCTCTCGTTTCGATTTGATTTTTAATCCATTGATTAAATAAGAGGAACAGAGTGAGTGCGTCAAAAACTGAAACGAGTTCATAGTATACTAAATTCAATCGTCTCTTTATTTTCTCGGTAAGCAAAGCAAATGATCTGCGGAGCTGTTTGGAATTCCTTGTCACTAAAAGAACATCTGGTTCTGAAAGGAATCTGCCGAAATCGCAGTTAAGAGGGATACCGAGTTTCAGAAATCTGATGTAGCTTATTTTTTGGTCTGATAAAATTTAGGGCATGGGCGGAGCGGTGAAGCTTTGGACCATCTCCCGGGGCTAATCGAGCACATCTCTCTTGCTCGTGTCAAATCCGCCGAGTCGCACTTTATTATCGACATATTAACGAGGTAAAATAGCCCTGTCTATAGCCTCAAATCTTATTTCAACTAATCTCCCGTGCTAATGAGCTTGTCTACTGCGTGAAAATCTTTGAGCAGCCTCAGTTTTGTCGTATAGGACGTAAATAACTGGAGAGAAAAGTAAGGCGAGATTCCTTGTTCAGAAATTCTACCTTAAATTCCCTTAAAGCAGCCTTCAATAGAACAAAAAGAAAAAAAAGGACTTCGTCGGTAGTCTGTAGAAGGCGTTTCGTTACAGTTCAACGTGGAGAGATTTTTTGTTCACTATGCCCTGTTGAAATTGCGAGCTTCCTGCGGTGATAATGAAAAAAAGATGCGAAAATTTAGTCTGCGGTTTCCACATGAAGGTAAACAAACCTTCGGCAGCCGAGTGTGATTCCGTCACCACTAGGGAACTTTTGCGCCTCGCTCTTTGAATGGCAAATTAAATACTTAATACATGGGAGGTTTTCTTGAACCCTTGACAACAACACAAAGGATACGCAAACAATGAGAAATATCATTTTATTTTTATTGTGTTTTTAAGCCGAGTTTAAGAAACTTATCTACGTGGTAACTCTTCAAGCGCATTAGCAGATGTTTGGCATATTTAGCAGCGTGCGCTGGCGCCGCACAAAAAAACGAAATTTCAAGAATCGAAGGGATTTAATCGCCGCCTAATTGACTGGCTTATTTGTTGGCCTCACGGCTGGGACACAAAGAGAATTGAAAAATCGTTTCTCACAATCCCTAATGCTAATAAGAGCGTGACAGTTAACTTTGCCAGACATTTATTAACCTCGTCTAGAACCTGATATTTCCCAAATGTACTTCCGTTCATTAAGCCGAACTCAGCAGCTATAACAGCCTTAGGGACTGAGTTGTAGCGTTATTCGACTGAATAGCGCTACCAGGTGGTCTGAGCGAGTTTGCATAATATTTTGCCAACATACTACACTCAAAGTGCGACTCGACTAGCCGTGTCAATTTGAGGTCCGGCAGATAGAGGTGTAAATTGAATCTTTTTGAGCGCTGATGTCCCAGATATAATAAACTTTTGTTCAAGTCGGTTTCCGGTAACATCATTAACCCGTGGTAGAAAGTGTTTGGTCAAAGCCATTGTAAAGTGAAGGAGAGCAAGACTCGTGGGTGACCGGGGCAGTAAAATCACAGCTAGTAGAGTCGCAGCATCTCACGAGAGTCAAAAACAATGTGCGGAGCCCTAGGCCTATTACGTTTTGCCTTTCTACTCAAGTTTGTGTTAGAATGCCGTGGATTTCGCCTCGTGGCAAAGTTGGAGCCGATAACTGTGGAACTGGGGCGATCTGTGTTCTTGGATCCAGTGCGCGATCTGAAAATCACGTTCCCTGAAGGAGCCACATGTAAGGTTGAAGTTTTAAGAACTGACCCCTTATCGCAAAGAGTGGGGTTTCTCTCGCCAGACACCTTTCCATGCGATTTCTCTCTTGGCGAGGTGCAATATTCACACTTGGGGTCCATGTTTTTCATGCAAGACTTTGTTAAACTACAAATCCGCGCGGACGCCGACACACAAACTCGTTTAATCCCACTCAATCTTCGCGTGACGGTTTCGTTCACAGACATGGAAATCGTCAAGAAAAATCTTCCCATCAAAGTGTTTGAACTCGGGGGCATTTCCACAGGCATAAACAACGACGTGCTCGAGTTCAAAGACGACGTAACCAAAACATGCTCCGTTACCATTCTGAACTTCAACAACGGAGGAGTAAATTCGCGATACGGAGAACTTGTTAATGTTACAAGGGACCAAGGGAAAACGGCCAGCTTTGAATGTAGCGATTTCTTACGATCCAATATTCGCTATCAACACAAAAAGCTTTCATCTTCTAATCGCGATTTTATTCCACTGGTAGTAGAGCTTATCGATGAAAATACTCATCGAATCGAGAGGGAATACTTTCAAATAATCGTGCGTATAATGGAGGCACGATCGAACCAAAGACCAGTGGCTTCTTTTGAAGCTTCTCATACCGTGGAAGTCAATCAATACACGCTTGCCCCGATAACTTCTGATATCCTCGCTGCCTCTGACGCGGAAACCGATGCTCGTGAGATAATTTTTAATATCACTCAAGCGTTACAATCAGGCGAAGGTTCGCTGGTAAACACCGATGACCCTTATCACTCGCTGACAGCTTTCTATCAGAGAGATGTCGAACAGTTTAAGATCGCTTATAGGCCTCCTACCGCTCAATCATCGGAGCTGCGCATGTTTCAGGTCAGATTAGAGGCTGTGGACACTGAGGGCGCGAAATCTGAACAGATTCTTCTCTTGATTATGGTAAAACCGACTAATAATCAAGCACCTATTGTTACGAAAAACGCTGGTCTTAGCTTATTTGAAGGTCAATCACGGGCTATCACAGAAAAATTCAATCTGGCTATCTCCGATAAAGATAACTTTGATGACGTTCGGCTGCAAGTGATTGGCGGCTTGAGGCATGGCGAGCTTCGAATAATTGGATACAAAGTAAATCAGTTTATGGCAACAGATTTGGAAATACCCGTCATAACTTATCACCATGATGGTTCAGATACTTACAGTGACAATATTATCTTCCGACTCACCGATACTCAACACGACGTAAAGTTCCTGTTCCCAATAACTATTGGCCCCGTGGATGACACTGCTCCAACACTGGTACACAATACTGGGCTGACATTGGACGAAGGGGATCTAGCATTGATAGACCAGTACATGTTGAGTGCCACAGACATCGACTCCGAGGACAGTAAAATAAAATTCAAACTCATAAGCCATCCAAACTTCCAAGAGAATGCGGATAATTCATTATTTGAAGAGACCAGCATCGGTGTTTTGTGCCTGCGAACCAAAACTCCACCCGAAAGAGGCGAAAACTGGGTTCTTCTGGAGGACGGCGTTTATGAAACAAATGTTACTCAGTTTTCTCAGGACGATATCAACAATAGACGCCTTTACTATCGGCACCTTGGAGGAGAATATTTCAGTGATGAAGTCGCTTTTGTAATGTTTGATGAAGCTGATGATCCAAACGTTTCTCCGATAAAAACTTTTCAGGTCACAATTCGACGAGTCGATGACTTACCTCCATTTCTGTTCCCTGGATGTCCCTTGGAATTAATCGCTGACGAGAAGGGACTGGAGGCGCTAAGCGAAGATGTACTGCACTACACAGACAAAGATTCTAATGATGACGAACTTCTATTTTTCATTACAAAGGAACCTAGCTTTATTGACGATGGTCTGAACAGAAGTGAATCAGCTGGGGAAATTCTCCTTTCAAATACGAAAGCAAAAGTGTTGAGATTCAACCAGCTCCAGCTGCGGCACAAAAAAATCATTTTCAAATCTCCTGACTTGGAACTTGGTACCAAACCTAGATACGTGCAGTTTGAGTTTTCAGTATCAGATTTGTCGGGTAATACGGTTAGAAATCAGGCCTTCCGTGTTATTTTGACGCCGGTTAATAACCAAGGGCCTCGCGTGGTAGTGAAACCTTTAGAGGTAGACGAACTAAACCAGGCGATTCTGGGGAGTGCACATTTGACTGCGTTTGATGAGGACACACCCAAACATGAACTGACCCTCACTCTGGTTTCTCCCCCACGGTATGGCTTCCTCATCAAAAATGACCTCGAGTTGCAGTATCTGGACACTTTTAGCGTCCAGGATGTTGCAGCGTCCCAAGTTTGGTACCGTCACGCGACTAAAGGCGAGGCGAGTGACGAGGTTGGATTGACAGTTGACGATGGAATACAAAGGCAAAACTTCCTTTTAGAAATAGGTATGATACTGTCATTGTGATATACGTGCTTATCTAACTTGCCAAGAGTCCCTATGGGACTGGACTAGTTCTGGGAGGGAACTGTCGAAGAGGTGTCCACCGCGGGAGGCCGACTTTAGTATAAGGCCTTTTATTACCCCCTTGCTGGTTAAAAAAAAAGCTAATGAGCTCAAGGAGTATTTGCTTTTGCTGGAACTTATCGGGTAACTAGTGTTTGGCTGTGGGGCCACTTTAGCCAGACAGCTTAGGGTTGGGGTCATTTAAGTAAAATGATAAATCACGATGAACTAACCAAGCAGATACATGGATTAAGAGAGAAATCTTCAAGAGTGCCCAATTACTATCGAAAACCAGCGGAATGTAGTTTTCTCTCTAGCTTTTGGAATATTTTTGAACATTCTTATTATCGATGATACTTAAAAAACGGATTCTGACTCTGATCTGAGACAATGCAAAACTAAGATCTCGTTATGTACTCGGCCTTGTGAAAGACTATGGAATCACGCAGAAGATCATCGAGAAATTTCAGTTTATGTTACACCGACTTCTCTACGCTGAGATTAAGTATAATACATTAAGTACAGTACATGACCTAAAATAGGAACTGTTCTATATTCTTTAGTTTTTTGTCTTTTTTGAACTGATCTCTTTTCCGTGCAGTAAGAACATTTCTTTTAATGCTGAGAGTCGAAAATCCTCGAGCTGCTCGTTTCCGGATTATGAATGTAAAATCTGGGGTTTTAGGTACCCTTTCACTTTAACATAAGAACACAAAGGTGCAGTAGGGCACTCCTATAATGAGTTTAAATGTAAATTAAAACCATGTGGTAACTAAAGATAGACATAGAGCCTGCGGCGTAAATTTTTGTCGTAGTAAATTCTTTCTGGCAAGAGTTTTTCGCATTCGGAAGATCACACGTGCCATCATTAGTTTTGAAATACAAGCAATGAAGTTATTAGGAAACGAAACTGAAGAGAGTGTTTTAAGAGCTGTAAATATCCTTTTCTAAAATGTCAAAGCTTCGGGGTTTTAAAGTTACCACAACTTGCTTGAATCGGACCCCTGGTGTCTAAAATGTCAAGAGTGGAAAAAGATTTGTGTCTTGCTTAAAAGTCGCATTCGTGCCATGATCAGATTGTTGTACTCATAAGAGAGTAGAGTCAGTGTTTATCTACCCTGATTTTGTAGCCTAAAATTTTCAAGTTTGTCATTACCAATCTGAGTTAATCTTCTCCCCTCTTGCCTATCCTCGTCATTATTTATTGCTTTCTACTTATCTCTTTTGTATTTTTCGCGCTATTAAAGGTTTTAATCTCGTAAAATGGGATATTCTAGGACGCTAAAGAGACTGAATCACCTCTTAGCTTCAATAGAGTTTTAGTAGGGAGGTCTGAATGTTACAATTATCGCAAATCAACATCGAAACAAGCGTCGAGGATCGTATAGGAAAGTTGCGCGTGCAAGATTGTGAGGCCGGGGAGGAGTGCTTGCTTTCATTCTCTAAGAAAACGACCTTCGACCGCAAAGCTATGGTTAAGAAAATGAATAAGAATAAAAGAAAAACGTCCAGAAAATTATGGTTACATGAACTCTCTAAGCTTGTATGAATGGAAAGCTTGAATAGAAACATAAATAGGCTACTAGGTATCCTCCTTCGTGTCACCAAATCTACTGGTTTGACTTAGTACGATTTTTACTCGGCTTGACGTGTAATTCATGTTGCTTTGTTCCGTTGTTTTATCTCTTAGGGATCATGTTTCACCATGAAACCGAAAACAATGAAAGGTTTTTTTCATTTTGGCCAAAGATCAAAAGAAAAATAAACAAAGCATGACTTGGAGCATGATTTATGGCTCTAATCATTAGAATCAGACGAAGATGACCATCCAAGCTGTAGTCTAAATAGACATCAGCCAAACCTCATCGTGTGAGGTTAGCTTTCGGTCTTTTTTATAGATTATTACAATACAGAAGGTTTTCAGAGATAAAATAGCGACGTTCAAATATGTCTCCGAAGAAGTTATCGCCTCAGTTGTTCATGAGTTATCATGATAATCCTTTCAAGTAATACATCCTTGCATGTAAGAGGTTTTCATAATTTTCTATAGTATTTCTTGGCGATTTTTTTCTTAACAGTAAGCCAATAACCTCTTGAAACCTAAGTGAGATGAATTCGCATTCCAGGTCATGTTCTTTCCCTTCTGAAAAGAGAAGACTTTCTTCTGAAGAGTTCCGAAAGAAAGAAAAGAAAAATTTGCGTACCAAGGCGTGCAAAACATTTTCTGAACAAGAAAAAATCGAAAGAGGAATTTGTTTGTTAAACAACACGGAGAGACGTGCTGTATATCTTTTGCACCATCCGTCGTCCATGAAAGCGAGGCATGATTGATTACCGCGACATTCGCTCTAATTTGATAAGTGTTCCGGCAGAAGCGCGATTAAAGTAATCAGGAAATGTTTTTTTTTGTATTAATGAGCATGCTCCTTCTATTTGAGAAGCTTGCGTGCCCTATTCCTGTCTATTTTGTTGGCACTACTTATTTTAAGCTGAGCTAATCAATAAAAACTCAGCTTTGGGAAAAAAAAGGACAAAATTCAGACGTCCATAGTGAAATTCGCGCATAGTTTGCCTCTCAAGTATCGGCCATTTTTGAGAAACCACGTTTGCTTTTTTAATAGAAAGAAAGATTTATTTTCTATGATTTCGTGCAAACTCCCTCTAGGTTTTTTTCATGCGGGGCCTTAAACTCCTAAAGCTTGTTAATCCATACTAAACGGATTAAATCAAACACGAGCAATATGTTAACAGAGGCTACAAATAAATAAACACTTTATTTGAATTTCTATTTAACGGTTTTTATCGCAAATTGTCTCGGAATTATCGATCGCATTTCAATATGTTGTCTATACTATGTAATCCCCCCTGATAAAGGATTTCGAAGACGTTTCCAGAATGCTTTCTAGTTTTTTTCCATGACTTCTTGCAGAAGTCTTACTAAATGGAAAAGGAGTCTTAATCAAGTGGATTTGGACCGGACGCGCTTATAGTTAACACTTGGATTGGCAGTACTTCTTCACGTCCTTATCAGACAATTGACGGGCTCTGAAATTTGGACCGGTTTCAATCCGTCCACGTTGAAAGTCTATTTCATAAGGATTAGAAAGTTCCACCTCATTTGTCTGAGAAAAATCCTGTATAATCTGCTTTTGGGGAGTTTATGGATTAAGCACTTTGAAAACAGTTCTTTGCCGCACAATGTTTCTTGTTTCTGTTCCCTATTACAAATTACCCTAAAATAAAAAAGGAAAAGAAAATGGTTTTAATTGTCGAGCCAGACAAGGATTTTTTATTTATGTTGGGAGATCTTTTTTTAGCATAGATGAAAGCACGGCCTAAGGCTGAAGGGAAATGTTTCCAGTCTCGATCTCTCGCTAGCTAATAAGCTGAAAAATATAGCGAATCGTTGAATCGAACTTAGGTTTTTAAGCCTTGTTTACATACCACAGGGATAAAAATTGGGTTTGCGTGAATAAACTGAAAACTGTAGGAAAGGTGTCTTCTTCAACCTTTTATATCTCTGGCAAAAGCAACATATGATGATTGATGAAAAATTTGAATGGAAAATAAAGTGACATCTTGGTGAAAGCAGAATCGTAATCGCCAGTACGTGTAAAAATTTTACTGACTAATCCTACACGCCCTAATATCAGTCTACATATTTTCAATACTCTCCTTTACATGTTTATTTTGGTATTGAAAAGGAAACTTTGTTTAATAACCAAGAGCTTTTTCGTTGACGATCATTTTCTTTACTCTCTTGACCTTGAGTTTTGAATCAGTAGTGATAGTGTGAGTAGATATTAGATAGCAGTCACCCCCTGGGCTAAAGGGTTTGTCAACAACAATTGGTGCGGAAAACTAGCTCCGGTAGCCCTTGATATCAAACCTCGCTCATAAATTTGTTATCGAGTGCATTTATTAGTCTGACACAAGAACCTTGAGCCGCATTAGCTAAAGCAAAATTCTCCATTGGAGGTTTCCTCGGCAATCTGAGTTGTTGGTCTCATTTCCACTGGGCGGGGACTTTTTGAGTGAATAAACTTCCCAGGGAGGAATGTCATAGTCTGTAAGTTTTTCTTTTTTTCTTACCCATTCAGTTATCATTCCTGAGCGCAAGAATGTGACTTGTCATGTGTACAATATGACAGTGACTGTAAAGGAAAATTCACGGGAGGCTATCAAAATTCACTCTTCTTCTCAAAGTCCCCGCGACACGGAGATTATACTTCGCATCGCTAGCCCACCCCGGGTAGGGCGAATTTTACGCGATGGAAAGGTGAGCTACGAGTTTAGTGTCCAGGACTTGGAAGCTGGGGTTGTCTATTACGAGCACATTGGAAGAGAGACTGGACTCCAAGGAGATGTGGATCATTTTAATATGACGTTGTTGAATGACACAGAGACCTGGATTCGAGAGGGAAGAAGATATGAAGGTAACTTAAAATGTTATTGTAATGAAATGTGCTTTATCAGATTACAAGTAGACTCGTTCAAATCTCCTGTTGGTGTGTCTGAAGTAATTTCGTGACTATGGAAAACTGCGCAACTCAAGCCAGACAGCTAAATGTTCACAATTTTCAAGTGCCATGAAAATTACATGAGGTCTCCAGGAAAGAGGTCGAATACGAAGAGAAGATAGTTGAACGAGAATTGTACAATTTTACCTACACAAAACAGGTCGCCTTGTTATTCCAAACATAGATCGTTTTTATTGAATATTATTAGATGACCAGTTCAACACCTTCAGTTCGCGTTCGCTATAGTTGCTCTGATATCAAGCACGTCATTTAAATGCAGTTAAAGATTAATATGTTATTTTATTTTTATTCTCACAGCAGTGACTGTGGTCACAAAGATTCTACCAGTGGACAGTCAGCCGCCCGCAGTGAGTAGAAACGAACCACTTGTTGTGCTTGAAGGTGGAGAAACCAAACTCACGTCACGCCATTTGACTATCGTCGATCCCGATACGCGTGACAGTGACGTCACTTGCACCATTGATATACAACCCACAGTGGGTTTCTTGGAAAATGTCACGCCATCTCGGGGATCAGAGATCAGCAACGCGGGAAAACGTGTTACCTCTTTTACTATTGACGAGATACGAGCTGGACGCATCAGCTACGTGCAAGACAAGTATGAGAACAGCGAGCCAACCATGGATTGGGCGGCTTTTTCGTGTTCTGATGGTAATAACACATCACCGCGTTACTTGCTGAATATCGATATCATCCCGCAAAATGATGAAATACCGCAGATATTCATCCGAGAATTTAAGGTGGATGAAGGTGATGAGATGATCATTGACGTAGCTGTCCTGAACGCAGTCGACACTGACGAACCTCTGGATGAGTTGGTTTTCTTCGTTGTCACGCCGCCAAGTCACGGCATGATCACGGACACACGGAGGGGCGCTGTGGCACCAGTGCCCAGGTTCTCCCTGACGCAAATTAAAAAATCGACCTCTATAGTGTACCAACATGATGGAAGCGAGAGTACTCAGGATTCTTTCGTTGTGAGCGTCACGGATGGCAAATATAACACAACGCGTTCAATTCCTGTTATTATCACTCCTATTGATGACGAGGAACCCACATTGTCAGTGAATATTGGACTACAGATCGAGTTTGTTGGCGAAAGCAGACCAATCACGCCAAACAACCTCAGAGCCACAGATATAGATTCCTCAGATGAGAACATCACATTTATAGTACGCAGTCCCCCGCGGTCGGGATATCTGAGGCTTATAAACCTTAATGGGTCTGTTCAAAACTTAGGTCGGTGGCAAAGGTTTACTCAAAGAGACATTGAAGAAAGACGTTTAGTTTACTCTCAGGATCCTCATATCCCAAGCGAGAGAGATCAGATAAAATTTGACATTTCTGATGGTAAAAACACACGATTAAATCAAATATTTTACGTGCAAATCAGCGCTGGCGATAGAATTCACCCAACTGTAATTAATAAAGGAGTGCAGTTGACCCAAGACTCTCGCGTTATTATCTCGACAAACTTCCTCAGTGCCAGCGATACGGGAAGTCCCAATGAAAAACTACGGTTTTTACTGAAAAAGCAGCCATTAAAGGGTCACTTGGAGCACTTGGACTTTCCCGGACTGCGACTTAATTCCTTCACCCAACTTGATTTGGCGGGAAATAAAATTGTCTATGTACACACGAGTACCGACGAAGCTAAAGCGGACAGTTTTGATTTTGAAGTTTCTGATGGCACTAATGGCGTGGTTCGCACATTTTTGGTGACGCTGTTAAACATCGACAACAAAAAACCAGTTCTAATCCATCGGAAACTTGTGGTCAATGAAGGTGAGAGTATACTGATTACACCTTTCGAGCTGCGCGCGGACGATCAAGACACGCCTCCCGCGAATCTCGTATACACAGTCACGCGCGTACCTTTACACGGCTGGCTACTTAACCGCGGGATTCCTACGCACGTATTCACGCAAGAAGATATCAACCTTAATCGAATTTCCTATGCTCACGATGGTACAGACGTGGTCAAAGACAGCTTTAAAATCACGATAAGCGACGGAATTCATAACAAATTTTACATGTTTCCAGACACCGAGAATGTGGTTCGTGAGCCCCGGGAAATTCAAGTGTTTGTTGTTCCCGTGGACAACAGAATTCCACAACTGGTTATTAACAGAGCGGCCACCAATCTTGAAAACTTACCGGGCAACAAAATTGGGCTGGTTATAAGGAGCGCTTCGTTACGCGTGGCGGACCTGGACAGTGATAATTCTGAGCTTCTGTACATTGTCACAGCTCAACCATCAAACGGAGATCTTGTGGCACAAGGGAATTACCATAGCAACGGCAGCATCACAAACTTCACTCAGTCCGACATTGACGCCGGAAACATTTCGTATGTCTTACATGAAGGTTGTAACGCCACAAATGACGGTTTCAACTTTGACGTTTCTGATCCTGCCGGGAATGTCCTGCGCTTTCAGCGATTTTCTCTTACTTGGGCGTGGGTTTCATTTGAACGTCAAAAATACCACGTTAGCGAGACAGAAGGAACCATAAGCATTGGGATCATCAGGAAGGGTTTTCTAGGGGACCCGTCCTTTATTCGCATGGCTATAAAGGGTCTTACAGCTACTCGAGGCCAGGATTTCTCCTTGGTTAGCCCTGCGCACGTTCATTTTAGCCCTGGTCAGAGGAAAGCGGAGTGGAAGTTGATCATTGGGGATGATGGGATTTACGAAGCCAATGAAACGTTAGAGGTGGAGCTTAGGAGTCCTGAGATGTGCGTCATCAGGCAACCTAAGACAGCTCACGTGACCATCTCAGACCCGGAGGATGGTAAGATATGATCATTTTTAAAAAAATATGTTTTGCACAGAGCAATTTACATTTGATTGTCGAAACAGGAACCACATTATGGACTCCTGTCGAAAGTAATCTGGTATTGAAGAATTTTCACCACTTCTGTCTTTGAGTGATGCAATTTCATTTTTCGTTCGTAATTTGTTGCCCTATTTTTTTTGGTATTTTCTAGTTCCATCGGTTGAAGTTGTTCAAAGTCACTTTGTTGTGGAGGAAAGTGTCGGAGAAATAAGAATTCCCTTGAGGCGCACAGGAGACACCAGTCAGCGGCTGTATGTCAGTTGTGTGACTACCTTTTTTGGGGAGGAAGGTAGGCGAGAAGCCAGGATATGGCTGAGTCTAACGGGCCAAGGAGCTCACACTGCCTCTTGTCATCTCGATTTCTATTTAATGAAATGACTAAAATTTTAACTATCACTTCTCCCCATAAACCGGATGCTTGTCCACTACAGGTTACTCCCCTATTCATCGTCTCTCTGTCCCCGTTCCCCCCTCCCCTTAGCATTTTATCAGGTATTCCTATTACGTTGCCGGTTTTCATTTCGCACTTATGGGTGGAGATGAGGGGGGGATCATAATTTGATCCTGGGTCTTCAATAGATAATCCAACAGGTCTGTTACTTCCTCTACCGAGGGAAAAGTACAAAATAAGTGAATTGAATAGTTCCACCAATTATGTTTTTATGGATCTTCACAAAAGAATTTTCTTTCAGTGAGCTTGTATTTAATATGATTCAGGTTGGGCCACAGGGACGTTACCTACGTCTATATTGTCTTACTCCGACTTTATCACGAGGCCTGACAGCAAACACAGTGTGATTACTTTTGGAAAGGTAAGCACTGTAGAACCATTATCTAATTTTTTAGGCTGCGCAGCCGGCGGTTTATTGAGTGCTTCATGACAATGTAGCAGTCAGTAGAGCCCAAGCGTCTCTCTGACTTACCGCTGATTTATTCTGCCGTCCTGTTCAAATCTTCAAAGCGGACGCAACTCCCTTAGCTACACAGGCTAACAGAATTTACTACGTAAATTCTGTCTTGCAAAATCGTGTGCGATTCCTCAGACTGTTGCCTTAGGATAATAAAGAATCGGTTTAGTTTCTAAGGCGGTCAGTCTTTTATTTCAGGATGGTTATTTCGTAGGTTGTACCGCTTGAAAGGCTACGCGGCAACTTTTCACGTCTTTCATTTGCAATCATGCCTAAGTTTTTTCCATCCTTGACCATCTTAGTCACTTTTTGTTTTATTTTCGCTTGTTTGGGTTTTTCTGTCAAAAAAACTTTTACATTAAGGTTTCCATTCATTAAAGTGCAATTTCTGCGACGCGCAACCGACTCAAAATGTTCCGTCAGAGCTTCTTTAATTTGATTTTCCTTCTTTTTTTTTCTTCGAAGGGTGATACTGTTAAATACTGTCCGGTCACCATTATTGATGACTCTCTTTACGAGAACGAGGAAAAATTTTATGTGAAGGTGATCTCCCATCTTGGCAGCAGAATAAATAGTGAAAGGAACAGCAGCATTATTGTCATAGCGCCGGATGTAAAGGACGGTAAGGGAACATGCTGACACGCGACACGATAATCTGAACAATTATGAAATAAATGTTTGCATGTTTTCTTTAGCTTTGCGCCAATTTTCGAGTCTAGGTAGGGCGAAGACTCGAGATCATTAACTGCGTTACTAGACACGCAAGCTGTCCTCAATGACGCACCGCTATTTTGTTTTTCATTTTCTAGAGGTTCTAGATCTTTGTGCGCCGCCGAAAAAACATCTTTCGTGTTCCGACACAAAGATAATATCAACAAGCCGACATTACAAGTTAGAAATAGAACCACAAGTGCGTATAGAAAGACAACATTCGGCGTGGCTTCTTGGAATTCATTCCTTCTTTTACGCGGCGTTGACTGAGCTGGCACGTTCCTGATAGGCGGTCCTCTTTGAAGGGAAAAAACACGGACGCGCTCTAACTTAAGACGATTACAAGTTACAATTAAGGGCTTAAGGCATCTTTTGAAAAACCAACGTCTAACGTCTGGTTGACAAAGATTATCCCAAAAGCAGATTAATTATGTAAACACAAGTCTGGCTGTCAAGTACAACAACATGCAACATACTTGATGGAAGTGACACTTCCTTCTAAAAATATTGTTTGAATCCTCTTGAATCAAAGGTTAAACGGCGTTTAATTGTAACATCTGATACTGTTTTTTCTGTCTCGTTCGCCCAATTGTCGAACAATTTTTGGAATGTATTCATCAGCCTAACGACTTGTTGCCGTTTATTTAGAGCCCAAGGTATTCTTTGATCGCGGGCGTTACTCTGTGGATGAAAGTGTCGGCAAGATTGACGTCAGCCTGAAGAGGACTGGAACTGACCTCTCGAAACCATCGTCTGTGTTCCTGAGGTCGAGACAAATGGATCCAATCTCCGCTCGAGGTATGAAGGCACAGACATGAGCTACTTTAGGAAAGTAGAGGGCTATAAATGAGCATATAGATTAATGTGATATAGATTAATTAAGAACAGCGCAGTTATTTTATCCTTTGTAAACAATATGGTTTTGAGTTTCTGAAAGTCGTTCCAGTTCTTTGTGCTCGACTGATTGTAATGTTTTAGTGTTAATCTCTGCAATGTAATGTAAAACAGATGAATTGAAATCAGATGATGGCAATCGACTTTAGTTGTAAGATTGAAGGCCATTTCCTCGGTGGTAGCCAAGTTATCGGGCATGCTAGACGAATTTTGCTTTCTTTTGCAGTGGAAAATATCGCCCTCGTGAGCGAGCAATGACTATGAGCCTGAATAAGGGCCGCGACAGAATTTTCACCTCAATATGGAGGGTTCGTTTTCACAAATTTAAGCCCGATCACCGATTGATTCGGTCGCAAAAAGCAAATCTGAGTGCGAAACATTGCACCACCTTTGCGTTCGAGTCGCTTAGGATTTTCTGTGGTTGTCTTGTAGCTACTGAGGACTACATCCCCGTTATCCAGATGGTTTACTTCCCACCTTTCTCAAAGATTCAGACAGTACAGGTCACCATCCGAGACGACCAAGGACTTCCTAAGGTGGAGGGGACGGAGGAATTTGAACTTGTACTTAGAACGCCTATCAACGCTGGGCTTGGGCAGGCAAGCGAGACAGTTGTTGCAATTGACGACTCAATTTCAGATTGTGAGTTTCTTTCTGATATATACTGTATGTATATGTTTTTGTACAAAAAAGTCTAGCTTACTTATCTGGGGTGAAGAATTCCTTTGTTGACTCTTGGCTTTGTGCGCACGAACTTGAGGGACCAGTTTTACCACCTAACTGACAATATCCTGAAATTTCTGTTCGCCGCTTTTTAATTTTGAATTGTCATGGCTCTGTGATCAATAAAGGTGAGGTGTCACAAGCTTAGCCCATCACTGGAGGGGCTTATTCCGATAGCATGAGGCAAACAGAGTATCGCCACCCTTATTGATCAGGATGCCATTCCATTTCTAGTTACCCCCTAATATTCGATCTGGTTTTACTGACAATTATCAGGTACCGATTAGTTCTCCTACGGGAAAAGAGGTTATATAAGAATAAAGACAATCAAAGCAAGCTTAGGCTTCATGCCTGATTAATCCACTTGCAGTCCAGTTCAAGATAATGATTCTTAAATTATGTTATTTGTTGTGATGTGCTCATTAGCTTTTCGAGTAAAAGTTGCGGCTATCTTTTTTCTTTCCCGTCTGATGTCTTCGGTTCCTTCCTAGTGCCCACAATACAATTCGAAAAGACAACATATTTTGCCAAGGAGGAATCAGGAACGCTAAACGTTGTGCTCATGCGTAGTGGTGATCTTTCATATACGTCATCAGTTCGATGTTACACGCGGTATCTGACAGCACAGGTGGAACGAGATTTCAAAGAGAGACCGGACACAGATAAGTCACTGGTTCTGTTTTACCCAGGGGAGTATCGGAAGATTTGTCCCGTGACTATTGTAAACGATGTTGTATTCGAAGGGAAGGAGATGTTTCGGCTAAGATTAGGAAGCGTGGACAAGGCAAGCCGGATAGGAAAGAGGAATACTTCAATAATAAGCATATTGGACTCTGCCGATAGTAAGTGCTAAGAACGAGTAAACAAGTAAACAAACGAAAAATATTTGATTTACAAGTTCGAATGTCATTTAAAGCTAACCATTATCTTGAGAATATTTAATTAAACAAATTAGAATAAAAAAAGGAAAATAGATGGGACAGACAGAGCATCCCGATAACTGTTAACCGAGCTCAGGCTTCAGTTAAACCAATCAATTCCATATCTAACTTTATAGACACCTTTTGAGTTTTTGGCACAATTGCGCATGAATTCTGTAGAACTTTGGTTGTAATTTTCTCATTTTGTTTTGCCTTTTTCAACTTCTAGAATGAAATGTTTTGTACTTCTTTCTTTTCCAGAGCCTGTGATTAAATTTACCAAGGAGCGTGTATTTGTCGTAGGCCCTGCTGTAGCTGGAGCGAACAGCGAAGCTTTGATTCCAGTTAAAAAAACAGGTGACCCCACCGTGCGATCAAAAGTCAGAGTTTACACCCTTGATGGATCAGCAAAGGCTGGTAGAAGTTATCAACCGATGACCGAGGTAATTCCTTATTAAAAGCAAGCTAATGTATGGCGCCGCAAGTCGCGTGCGAGAAAAGGAAATTTAATGGAAATTTGGTGAGTTTGAAGGCAGCGCGGGCGCGAAGCTTTCTGAGGCCATTCCTCACTCGCCAATTTCTTTCTTCAGTGCTTCAAAGGGTTACTCGTAGACAGCGATGGAACCTGCTTCTCGGCTGTTTTTCTCAAAGTAACAAGATAAGCCTGAGATTGGTAAATTTCTTTAAAAAAATGACAGCCCTTGTTCATAATAGCTTTTCTTGTCACCAAATCTATATTTATTCAATTAAGAATAAATTTCTTCACTTCCCTTCACAGATTATCGAGTTTTCGGGAAACAAGTCAGCTCATGTGATAGCTATCAAATTACTCTTCGACGCTCATCGAAAGATTCGCTCCGCGTTCAGCGTCCATCTGAGCTCTGACATGACCGGCGAAAGTAGCCTGGGGCTGAAGAAAGTTATCGTTTACATTGAACAGCCGTCTACAAATCCAACCGTCACGTTTCCGTTGTCGCCTAGAATTGTGTCATTGCGTGACTATGATGACGTCAGTGGTGCAGGATCCGAGGTTATAATGGGTTATCCGCTGATCTGTGTAACGGTAAGTTTCCAGAAAAATCATAAAAAATCAAAAAGGTTTGTCTGTAGTAGGATACTGAGTGTAGTGAACGTAGTATGTATGTATGTCGTAGGTGTAGTCTTCCATTTTTGCCCTTAGTCTACGAAGTGGTGTGAAAACAAATGTTCCGTACTGTGTTTAATAATCCTGTCCTGAAAAAGCATAAATTTTCAATTTTTTTTGGTATAGGCCTGTGATCCAAAACACCCGCGCTATGCAGAAACTGGCTCCATCTGCTCCTCACAAAGAATCAATAACAGGTTGACGCAATTCCGTTGGCAAGTTGGTGACCATTCTAAGGACCTCACCAGTGACTCTTTTTTCGCAAGAACTGACCTCGTGACTTTAGACAGCTCATACTTAGTCCCAGGTACTCGAGTGCGATGTGTTGCGCGGGCAGTTAGCGACCGCGGTGAGTTGGGCCTGGAGTCAACTAGCCCTCAAGTGAATGTAAGCAGAAAAGACGGACTATGTACACCACATGACCCTCATCGCATGGGTTCCCAGGAGATTGTGGCGAGTATTTCTTTCACAGGGATGACGGATGATAAATATTCCAACAAAGTCCATATCAAATTAGCCATTCCTCATACCGACGGTCTGATACCAGTTATATCTACCAAGAGGTTAAGAAACTTCAAACGGATCCTTCGTCCAGGTGTGCTGAGACAGGCGCAACACAAATGTTCTAACCTTTTGGATGTAAACGAACTGATCACCAACTTTGGTTTTGTTTCTCCTTCCATGAAAGATCGTGAAAGTATGATCGAGGGCGAACCTTATCAATTTAGTTCCGAATTAAGAAGTAACAGAACAATACGCTTTTATAGGAATCTCGATCTGGAGTCTTGTGTTTGGACTTTTAACAGTTATTATGATTTATCAGAACTCACACAGTATTGTGGTGCTTCGGTGACGTCAGATGGACAATCACGTGATATCGCACAATCCCAGATCACCGTTCGGGTACCTCTATATGTGAGTTATGTGTATCGTGTACCAAGGAGCAGAGGAGACTGGGTCCATTATGACCATGCCATGTATTTGCGCCTGTATCTAACTTACGACACCGCTGTGCTGTTGAATAATGGCATTCAAACTCCTGAGGGGGGCATGTTTAAAGGAGACTTGTGGCCAACAGCCATCTCTGTTCGCGAGGAAGATAAGAAGCTGGTGGTGAATTTCAACACCAGAACAAAGTTTCGAGGAACATACCTGATTAAAAATCCTGGTAAGTTTAATTCAGCTTCTTCATCGATGAAGTGCCTACAAAAAAGTTATCGGCGACAAAAACAACAGACCCGCGCGTTTTGAGCTTAGGCATAAAAGAAATAGGCTTCATACGATGGAGCTTGTACTCTTTAATTTCTTATCTTCCATCAATAGCAAAAACAATGCATATCGGTGCACATACCCCCCCTAAGAATCTTAAACTAGGTAAGCTGTAGTTCATTTCCCTCCAGGTAGCGTACAACCTACTCTTTAAATAAATTAATAGCCCATCTTTCGTGCAGAAAAAGATCCGTTTAACGCACCCCTTTCATTGGTCATTTACACCAGTCTTATTGAAAATGTTATTTTTTTTCATGATGAAGGTACCCAAGCCATGGCAGCTGTTATGTCACGTGACCGCCCCCACCTGAGTTTCGGTTTGAGCCTGGTATCAAGTGAACAAACGTTCGACTACCCCAAACAGACCTGGCGATTTCAATCCCAGTTTGCCTTACGAGATTACACTGGTGTTTATTTTATCAAACTGATTCCTTGTACAGTTGATGAGGTGGTTATTTTAGAAATCTTCACGTAGTATTTACTATATGGCACCAAGAGAATATCAGCTGTATATTTGCAGTCGATATTCTCTTAATGGCGCATTGTTTTTGGTAAATGAAAGGCACAAAAATAATTGATGTAAATGAGTGCCTGGGTATGTTTTTTTGTTTCTATGCAGGGAGTGAGTTACTCAGAACCGCCGACCTGCCATCCACGTGATCCGGTGACGTTCACTTTACCAATCAGGTTCCAGCAGGTTCCTGACCCAGTCCCCGGGCAATTTACTTTAAATGCTCAGTTTCTGCTGCTGGCCAATCGGGATCAGTGGTTGGATGGAGACGTTAATGGGATGAAGGATTTAAACGTGGATGCTGCCTTCTCCAGAGGTATCTACCCCTTTAGATTCATATTAGTAAAATTATCCGTCTGCTCTCTATTTCTCTTTTTCTCTTGTTCATAAGACCTAAAATTTTAAATTCAAAGCCGACCTAGATCAGCGGACTTAAAATCCCTTCGCACATGCGTCACTCTTAGATCTTAATTCTTCATATTGCTGACTTATTAAACTATGTGTCCCTGCGACATGTCGCAAGATACCCGGAGAAGCTTTTTACAGAGAGGTACTTTGTTCTTTGGTTCTCCACACCCCTTTGAAAAACGTTCATTTTATTCCAAGTATCGTTCCCTCTGGATAACTGCGGTTTGTAAATGGTGATAGGGGCAAGTTTCCTTCTCTCTTTCTTCTGAATGAAATTATATTTGAAACCGAAATTTTATTACTTGTGTGTTTCATTGTTTTGCATAGATTCGAAAATCTACGGTCGCATCTCACTACTCGAAGCCAGAGGATTCGGCAAGGGTAGGAAGGGGTATGCTTTAGCGGCAGAGAAGGTGTACCTGTGTACAGGGGTCGGAGAGTTCGTTCCTACTTACGACCCACTGAAGAACAAATTTGGATGTATGGCGCAGTCATTGTACTTGGAGCATCGGCTAAAAGTTCTGGTAAGTTTTTGATGACTTTTGCACAAGGAACATGAGTAGGCAAAGGCATTGGAAGAAAAAATGCTTTAATTAGTTATGCAAAATAGATCAATATTCCTGTATTGAAATATCTTTTTATTTCACATCAAATCAGGGCATGCTAGTACACAGTTCCTTAAAAAATTGGTTGAAGCTCGAGAGAAACCCACCTCTTCTTATAAACGTCATTTCCGATTTTCAGCGAAATCATTGCTCCACCACGAGACCTTTTTGAATGGGTTCTTCGGTTTAAAAGTGAATTCTCTTTATCATTCAACAGGACAGAGAAGAACCGGATACAATAGATACTCATCTCTCTAATGTGCCTTTTAAAGCAAAATTTGCTGAACAAGAAGTCCCAGCCACCAACTTCTCAGAAGACCCTGGATCTGATGGGTTTTTAATGAACAGTGCTCCTTTGTTCGAGGTATGTCGCAGATTAAATTTCGATTTTCCCATAATTGTGGTTGCTTTGTTTTGTACACGGCATGACATTCCAATGCTCAGACCTTACCCTGACTGTCGCGATTTACACCAGCATTTGCACCAGGTTATCTTGCATCAACAGTAACACGTCGATTGTTTCCCCTCGGCAGGTTCCCAGGAGCCGGAAGTGGTTCATGCATGCTATCTATTCCGTCACATCCGGAGTTAACTCCAGACCTGCTCGATCGATTGGTCGTTCCACCGCTGACAGGAACGAAGTTACTTCCCATATCTTATCAGAGGTAAATAGCCGCTCGTTCAAGCTCTCGCATCGCTTATACCGCCGCGATCTCGGTGATAATCGGCAAATAGGAGATCACGGGCAAGGGGCAAATATCAAGATGATACGGCTTATATCTGAACCAACGGAAACGGAAACAGCGCGAAATACGTCATCTGCGGATCCGCCAAAAGAGGTTAAGGAGACAGAGTTAAACAGAGCTCACGATACTAGCCTGGTGAATCCATTGGTTATTGGCATTGCGGTAGTTTGCCTTTTGCTTTTGGTCGCTTTGGTTGTTGTGGCTGTCTTTTTCAGACGCAAACTGCTGACTCAGCAAACCCAGAATTCTTCAGCAGTTGAGTCAAGATCGGAAGAAGTTACCATCATGCGGAGGAGGGGTGTGGCAGTGTGAAAAGCTGAATTCTTACAAGCCAAGTGCATTTCATCCAGTCATCGTTGTATGTATATAAAACAGCTATTAACGCGCTTCTGAAGCAACCGAATTTTAACCTAAACGCAGTAAAAAGTTCGGCACCTAAATTTACCTCTATACTGTTTTATATTCACATCTTTGAATCAACGACAGATCACGCAAGGAAATCATTTAGTGTCGTAATACTAATATGATAACTTAGCAACAGGTGACGGTGCTTATTTCAAAAAAAATATTTTAACCGACTAACGAAGTCAGAGATCGTGTTCAGAAGACATCTGTTCCTCTGGCCTCTCTCTCTGGGTTTTCGTTGCTCCATCCAAGGGTTAGCGCTTGGTCAACTGTTAAAAATTCGCCTTGATGGTTTATCTGCCTAATATAAGTTCTTAAACAAGTTGGTGAGTGTTTTCTCTATTGCCAAAGCAGCTCATCGGAAAATTTCAGAGTTGTGGCACCACTATGGCAATAAACGATTCGAGAACGAGGTATGAGGCGTTGGAATAAAAGTTGTTAGATATTTATTTTTCTTTTGATACAACTTAAGTCCCGTATCACAGTTAATAGTTGAGTCAGAGAAGTGCACAGAAACAAAATGTCATGTCATTCCCGTGCTTTTCTGAAGCATTTTGATCAAAAATTGTAAGATAAAAGATTAACAATTGAGGTACTAATATAAAGCAAGAGTTTTATGATTTTTTTCATTTGTGACCTGCGCATAACCTGATTATTGTAAACTGCAAGCTAGAGCTAAAAAATATGGGAAAAAATGAACTTTTGTTCTCATCAGCGATGGAGAGGAAAAATAAAGTGGAACATGATAATATAAAGGATAAAAAAATTTGGTGGAAATGTATTCTGACCACTAAATTAATGTTTGTTTAATATTTATATAGATAGAATTAGCTGTCTTTTCTTCTATATCTTTATGAGAGTTATTTAATTAATCGCTGGATTCTAGGAGAGGATTTTTATCACGAGGCACATTTTTACTTATCATGATATATCTTTCACCGCGGCCTCGTTGTTTACGCCCAGGTCTACGCGGTCATTTTAACAAGGTATGGGGCTGGCTAGGAGCGGAATGAGCTCTTGACTCGTTGATTTCATGTTATGGTAGTTTCCAGATGTTACTACAAGTTGTACAAATAAACAAATCTTTCACAGTGTCTCTGTCTTTTAACTGCCTTATCAAAGCCTTGTTAGACTGCTAACTTTTCTGACGGGTAACCATTTCAAACATAAGGGCTTAAAAAAGCAATAATAAACGCAAAGTTAACTCATGAAAACTAAAGAGTTACAGTCTATTTGAAGTCACAAGACTCTATCGCGTATTAACCTTGTCACCCGTTATGCGCATTTTGTGCTCGTTGCGCAGCGGGGAGTATGCGTAACGCTTAAGGATATGGTTACCGGAGTTAAATGACCGTATTTGAATCTTGATGGTCGCGCAGTTCACGTGATACTCAGCAAGGCTATGTGGTGAGCTATTTTTGTAAACTGCTGCACAAAATTGAAGGAATGAAAATAATAAAACAGCAACTAAATACGCAGGTATGAATGATAAAGTGTCTCTGCAAAAGTTTCTCTTTACTTTTGATTGCTTTATTTACAATCAAAATACTCATCTTTCACTCTTTCAATTTATTGATGCTTGAGAAATTAATTAACACTCTGAAAAAAATTATGAATCATAATAAAATTATCTGTTATTTTGTTCAGTCTGTTTACACCCATTTCGATTTGCTGATACTGGAGAAGTTCATATACACTGTTAATAATTTAACAACTAGAAAACCAAGAGAAAGAGAGAAGTGTCCTTCACAATGGTGCAATTGAACTTTCAATTGAATTGAACAATGTAAATTTTATGTTAACACGAAAATCCTAACACGACTCTAATTTGGCGACATATGTTCCTCAAGATTTGTTCGTGCAAGTTATGTGTAACCACGTAGGACCGCAACAGTGTTTTGTGTGTATGTTGACAGGGAGGGGGTGGGGTGAATAATTTAGAGAGGGTGATTTTGGATATTTTACCAGTATGTGTTGTATGTTGACAGGGAGGGGGTGGGGTGAATAATTTAGAGAGGGTGATTTTGGATATTTTATCCGTATGTGTTCTCCTTGAAAGAGAGTCTTAAAGGGGTTAACCCTTAGCCGTTAAAAGACCAAAAATTTAAGCGTTTGTCGTAATAAAAAAGTAAGCCGTAAAATTTTTTCTGGGGACCACAGTGGAAAGATATTAATCCTTGAGATAAATTTGCCAAATTTGAACCGTTAGCCGCAAAAGCCCTCACCCCTTTGAGACCCTCATGAAAGAATGTGGTTTGTTTTCTTTTTTCAAAATGTCACTCATTATTCACTCTTGTTTTCTTAGTATTCACATTTACATCCCATAAATAATTTCCCTACTTTCGGGACAATTCTTTGATTTATCAAAAGAGACAAATATATTAATTTTCTTATCATTGGTAGACGATCTCGTCACCAGAGTATCTTTTCCTCTAACAGGAGAGAAACCCTGGAAAGAAAGTGGATATCTGGGTTGTCAGAAAACGGAAGTGGCCAATTTAAGTTATTCTCGTCTGGCAGTCTCCGAGGATTTTTCCAGAATATGTTTTAAATTTACGCCAGCATAAAGTTTCCGTGGGAGAGCAGGAAATAGAATCCATCTCTTAGAGACAGTCAATAATCCTGAACGCTTGTTCCAAGCCAGCGGATGTATGCAGGTACGTAAGCTGAGTCATACTAAGGACTGAATCATTAAAAATATTCACGGCTATCTTCGCGCTTGTTTTTCCGCTCTTGTCGTCAGTGTTCTTATTAGTTCTCCTTTGTACAAATCCCAACTTTCTAAGCATTGGATCCGGTGTCGAGCATCAGGTACAGTCATATAATCTTCTCGCTAAGGATGAAAGTGTAACAGATCATTATAACTTTACCCCAATAATTTGTGTACTTTTTAAATCATTCATTGTCAGAAAATGATGGACACCATTAACTTTTTCTTGGCAAGAAGAAATGTTCTCATCATACAGTTGCCACACCCTTGAATACAAATATAGAGAATCACATACCAAAGCTTTTAGTTGAACGAGAGTGGTGATGCTGGCGTTCATTAAGAAGAACCTCTTGTTGATCATGATACACTCAGCTCCTTCACTGATCTAAGATGAAGATGATCAAGCCATTTATTAATGTTTCGTTGGTTGGCAACGATAACGGGGGCAGAAAGGACAGAATTTACATTTATAACTTTGCCAAGAATCAGGTTTTGAGGATTTTTTTCCTATGATTTAAGAGCAGTTTGAAACCACTCACCAAGATGAGGCTTTTTGTGGAGGGATCTTGATTTTCTTCAACTGCATCAGTCTATCGAGGAAACGGGAGATAAAAACATAAAATCCACTGTTAATTCTTGACTGGAAAGGATATAAGTCCTCTTGTGTAAGCGAAATAAGTACATGTGCCAAGATTGTTCACAGATATTTGAATGAAATACTTTTGCCTACCTCTGAACTTATCTTGGTGGCAACTTTAGGCATCATGGACTCCAGGCCCTGTTTGAAACACATAACGAGATAATAATCAAATGAATAATAATAATAATAATAATAATAATAATAATAATAAAAGATATAGAAAATGAGATAAGTGGAATTGAAAAGCTCATTCTTTTTTCATCAGCTTAGAATTGAGATATGTAGTTATGTGTCTGCACAGGAACTCAATTTGTTTTACTTTTTCTCTCATTTTCTATATTTAATAACTACTCTTCGGTGTCCAACACTAATCCATAACACAACGTTCTGCCAATTTAATCCCCCGCTACGAGTACAATAGCACTTGATCCAGCCTTTGGTTTCGAGAGCGAACAGCGTAAAAATTATCCACCTTCAACTCCCAGTTGGCTTGTAAGCTTAGTTGGTAGAGCGCTGCACCGGTATCGCAGAGGTCATGGATTCAAATCCCGTACAGGCCTGAATCTTTTTCAGGCCTTATTTTCACTACTGCTTAAGCAGTCTTTACTGAGAAGATCAGTTTTCATATGCGCTTCTTTCTTCGCGATTGCATGTATGTTTTTCATATATTCTCAGTCGTAGTAATTCTCTTGACAAGTTTTCAAGCCCACAAATCACTTGCACAATATTTCAAAACATTTTCTATTTATTTCATTCAAATAAAATGCCAAGGTCTGACTGACACACACTCTCTCGATGACTTATTCATAGACAGAAATATTATTCATCATAGTTGTAAGATCTGCGTTCAATGGGGATGAGATTTACTTACAAACATATTCCCTGGTTTTAGAACAGCGATTTGCAGGAGCGCTGTTCTCGTGGGAATGGTAACTGAAACGTCGGACACCTTTTTGGTTATTTTGTCTGGCTTCTTAGGACATGTCATGCCACATGAATCAAAAATCGGGTCCTGCGGTAAACCAAAAGAAGAATGCGCGTAAACACGGATTTGCAAGATAATATCATGAAGCGCTACGTTTCTTTTAATTTTGCGATTCGATCGTTGCGAAAAACAAAGTCAGACTCAACGAGAAGAAGATCATAAAATATCAGTCTGGCAAAAAAAAAAGTAAAAAAATGAAAACTTATTCCAACTGGTAGTAGGGAATCAAAAATGACACTGTATGAGAAACTTTGTAAGAAAGCAGGAGAAGTTTGGTATAACTTTGTTAAGAAGGAGGGTAATTTACCAAAAACATTTACCTTTTCAAGTTGTCTTGAAGTGGGATGCTCACCATCGTTCTTTTCAGCAAACATAATTCCCGAGTCGCCTGTAATTTTTATATTTGGGTTCATAGAACACACTGCAAGAACAATATTACCAACGGGTCAATATAAAATCTTCATCGAGCAACTTGTGGTATGTTCTCTGTCGATATAGAAGGACTTTTGCGCCTTGAGGTGGAAATTACATGCACTTTGATTGGAAGGCGGCAGTCTAACTAACCAACTCCACCCGAAGGGGGTGGGGGTGCCGACCAATGTGGTCAGTAGTTGGTAAATATAATTAGAAGGGGAAGGGTTTCAACCGGAGACGAGAGGTCGAAAAAAGGGAAACGTTCCTTTTCTGAAGAAAAGCCTCGTTTTCTTTGCCTCTATTCTAATAACTCTTCATAAAAACATTGTCTCGAACATACCTGAGGTTCTCATCGTTATTTTATCCAATCGCGACTTGTTTTTCTTAGAAAATGTTTCCGTTAGCTGCCGGAAAAGAATGAAACGTAATCAGATACAGGGACTTTCTTTACCCTAATGAAGACATATCAATGAGGAACACATATTGTCTCACCTCTAACAGACTTGTGGGGTTTTTACCAGGAGTTGACCCTAAGGAGAAAAGTTTTATGAGGAGTTATTTTCAAGGAAACTCCGAGAAGGAAATCCAAACATTTAATTTGATAAAGAAGTTGTACACGTGACAAATGAGAGTTCATCTATGGGAAATGGAACTGATTTTGGAACAAAATGCCTTTCTTTGTCCCACAGGACCAAAGGATTTCAGATAGTCCTTTCATTTTGATATTTGATGCAATTTCAGAAGTTTTATTTCTCACGAAACTAAGGAAATACAAAGGCACAATATCATTATCAAAGAGATTCAAATCGATGTAACTTACTTGGAGATTTCCTCGTCACAGTGGTAATGCTGGGAAGCTTTGTTGTCTTGCTCATATCTAACACTTCCTGCTTTCTAACAACCTTACACCTCCCCTGTGAGAAACACGCAACATGTCAAGTGGTTAGAAAGGAACGACTGAACATTATTTGTACGGGGAGGGGGGAAGGGGGGGAAGGGGGGGTGGAAGGGGGAAGGAGAGACGGCCTAGGGAAGAGGGAAATAGTAAAAATTGGGTCGGTGGTCGGGAGAGATTAGGATATGGGAAAGGATGGAGAGAAGAGAGAGAGATGGCTGTAGTATCTTTGAAGGGAATAAAAGAAGAAAAAAAAAACTCTATTCCGTTTGAGCTCTTTACCTTTCACAGGGAAAGAAAGTCTTAATGTTGGTGTAAGCCCCAGAAGCAAGGCAACAAACTTGGTGCGAGCAGATTGAGATATCTGACTTACTTTAATCATAAGAATGATAACTGTTCTTACTGATTTCACGATGTAGAAGAATGGTGTATCACTACTGTCTTTAACAATCACTGCTTCTTTACTAAAGGAAATAAGTAAAATTTACAGGTAAGTAGCTAGAAAGATAAGTAATTCACGAAGATTTAATTATTTCTTCAATGTATTCAGCTGTTCATATGAAAGAATGATCAACAGCTGAGGAAAATTTAGATTTTAGTCATCATCACTACGTGTCATAAAAACGAATGCAACGAATACATACGCAAAGTATTTGGTCATAATGGCGTCTTTGTCGTCTAGAAACTTTTCCAGCGGAAAGTTTCGAAAGAGTTCGATTGACCTTAATTGGAAGAAAAACAGAAATAAATTGCCTATAAATGGCTTAATTCTTGTTTCCTTAACAGTTTGCTATGTAAAAAAAGGCATATTTTCTTCGCTTTCTTGAACGCGATTAAGGTCAAAACGTCGTCGAGTCTGCGTCCGACAGTTTAATAGAATTGCATAATTGCACTTTCTCTAATGTTATTACTGAATTGACACTTCTTCAAAGACACAAGATCAGAGAGAAGATGATATTCAGTGAGTTACACCGGCATACTCGGAGAAAAAGAACTCTGAGTGGTCCCACTAGATAGGGATCGAACCAACGACCTTCCGATTAGTGCTTTGAATACTCTACCACTGAGCTCTAGGGGGACTCGTGGCAGGTTCGGCTTTTGCACCTGGTCCATTTACTGCTTTTTCTGGGGGAACTGATTTTGATGAATGCAGTGAATTGCCTCGGAACCTTACTATATAAGGAAAAAGTTTCCGGCTTTCACTAATCGTTAATAAACAAGGATAAATGCTTGGCAAATTCATAAGCTCTTTCAGTTTTCGCCTAGGTACTTCGTTAAAATCATGATTTCAGAGCTAAAGTTTCCATGTGCTTTTGAAAGAGTTTCACTCGCGGGTGTGATATTTAGAAACTTAACAATTCATAATCGATTCAAGGAACTCATGATTTTAGAAATGAAATATTCTTCCGCAAAGTCCAACAACTCTGAGATTAATTATGCAAAATGCGTTGTTCGTTTTATTCAAAGTTTGCCTTTTACCTGAATATTTGTCACAGTTTTAGAGCGTGCGTGATCACTTATTGTTTCAAAATGTGCGTTCAAATTTATTGGGATGACTGACTTTTGGCAAGTTCCTCGTAAGTCAACATTACCTCAATGTTTCAATCGGCAGTCCGCTGTCCGGGCTTGTATTCATCAGTTCCATGAAATCCTGCAACAATATTTCAATTATAACTCTCGCCACAAACGACACTTTTTTTTATCAACAGCCCGCCAGTAAAGACGCTGAGAACAGTTTTGTTTACCAAGCGGAGAGTCTCACTGATATTGTCATTCACTTATATTCGTTGTCCTCGTAGTTATGGAGTCCTGCGCTCAAACATTATTATAATGAATGATTCGCTCAAAGCCTAATCAAGTGTTTGTTGTTCGAATGACTAATTACCCGTAACGTTTACACATGAATAAACAAGCCCATTATAGCTGTAATCAAGGAAGGAAACGCGGAAAAACTCACAGTCCTGTCTTTTGCGTTTCCATACCCAAATAAATTATTACGAAATTCTTTTACTTCAAAACGTGACCTCTGAGTGAAAAGCAACGGAAGAGGTGTATAATTAAAAACTTATCAACTATTATTCCTTTCCCAAAACAAAAGCCCCAATAATCCTCTTGTTTCTCGTTTGTTATCACAGATTCATTTTCTCCACTGAAAAGAGCTGTCACTTTGTTATCCTTTTATGACTAAGACTGTTTATTTCATTTACCCGTCGGCAGAATTTTCACAAAGGAAGCGAAGGGATTTTTGTGATTTGCGAAATAGAATCAAACAAAGGACTTTAAAGCAGTAAAACCACTTTGTATTGTGTACGTGCGTTATAACATGGGCTTCTGTTTGTTGAGCCAAGTTCAAGCTCGTCGAAACAAAGTACCTTTTTCCCTTAATCATTTTAGCCCATCATGCCATTCTTTTCGAGTTCAACAGTAATAAAAATGTGTCTCTCTGATTTGAAAATAATTAAGCTTACGTTTTGGTACCTTACCTCTTTGTCTAACACGAGAACTTCAACAGGTCCTTTGCATATCAGAGAATGTTCTCTTTCTGTACCGTTCATCAGTTCCACAGGCTTAGAGAGAAAGACGGAAAATTAACATACTAGTTCAGACATTTAATTTCCTTCCACTGCAGTAATTCTGAACAATTTCAAACGTTACAAAGTCAGGCTTTCGGCGTTTTTTTAAAATCTTTTTTGACATAATCCTAATTAGTTTTAAGCTGCCTCAAATATTTTGGCCAGAAACAACAACAACAAAAAAAAAACATGAACACAAAAGGGTCGAGAATTATATAGGATATAGAATACTTGCGTTTTCTCATTCTATTCTTCCAAGAACTGAAAGCTCCCTTCCAGACCCTCAGTTTGCGAGGACGAGCAAAAGCAGAGCGAGCGATTAAAAAAAAACATGGATAACCCAGCCTATTTTCGCTCGTCTCAACTGAGCGCGAGGCTGGCCCACGCTGTTAATAAAATTGTCAGTATGTATACCTACCTACGTATACGGTCTATAACAGTTTTGACAAACTTACATCGGTTGTATTTCCTTGCATCAGCTCCCCGAAAGACATCTTTGTAACACCAGCAGCCAGATCATAAACACAAACTTTACTAACTAGATAATGAAAAAATGATATTTAAGGGTTAACAACATAGAGTTCAATGATGTTGAGATCAGTTGAGATGAGACGAGCAACCACAATGAACTGAGGGGAGTATTACAAAGAGCCGATGAGACCTCAAAGCCAAAACAAGCAAGTTGCCCAAAGCGCAATAACGTGAGCTATCAAGGCATGATGAGTACCGGTGAATGTGTCTAATAAAACATTTGCTTAGAGCGGTTATCAAGTGTACGTGGAGGGGAATACGGATCGTGGTGGTTTTGCTTCACTATGGTCAGTGCTTGGTCTGAAGATCTCGTGCTATTACATTGTTGATAGCTAGTGACGGACTTTACATATGAATGCAGATTTCAAATCGAACAGAATCGATATAGAAAGTCTTCTCTGAGAGAAACAGCCCATACCTCTCCCTGAGAGGACGTAATAAAATCTCTCCGGTATTCTCCCCTGACAGGCAAGTACTCGACCATTGTCGTATCTGAAATGACGATGGAAAGAAAATAAAAAGAAAGAAGGAAGTGGCATTAGATCACAATGCAGCTAAAAATTATTGTAGCGTTCAGAACAACTACTGGAATTGCAAAGGCAATACCTCTGGTTCCAAAATATTGGACGATTTCCAGGATAGTTGAGTGAAAGATAAATTGAGAATCACTGGGGAAACGTTTCCAGAAAATTTTAGCCGAACAGGTAAACCTCGTGTTTTTGTATTATTGTTTTTTATGAATCGAACTCCCATTGCAAGATCAAAACATTTTTGATAGTTTCTTGCAAAAGTTGAACTAGGGGAAAGCTAAACGAATGAGAAAAAAAAAAGATCGAAATACATTTCCTTTCAATAACTAATTCCTGTGTGGAGATGCAGTCAGGTTCTACGAATAGCGTGACCATTGGTTTCCTCCTAGAAAACTCACCGTTCATATCCAACGAGGCGGGACAGATCACTTTCTCTCTCCAGCGGAAATATCATGAACGCACGCGTACTCCGACAAAGTCTCTGGATCTAAAGAGGAGATGAGGTATTACAAGTTGAGAAGAAGACAGTTTTAAATTAAAATTAATAAAAATTAACCTGATATCAGGTCGCAGACAAACCCACAAGTCGTCAAGTACCTTCTTAAGTCCTTCATTTGTTCGCACTCGAGGTATGGATGTTAAAATCTGACGGAGTTCATCGGAGATCTAAGAAATATGAAACTGACAGTTAAAAATTACCGTAAAAAATTACCATCTTAATCTCACATTTGTCCCGTAAAGTTTAGCGCAGCGGTCAAACGTTGCGTGTCAATTTCCTACGCAAAATCTCGAAGGAAAATAGAAATACAAAATGCCGTCAGGCAAAATACGCGAGGAAAAATTTGTTAGGAAAAGGAAAACTCCGCATAACGTTGCCGACACAAAGCTCATCTTTTTGATTCGCCATTTTGTTTTGCGTTTCATCAAAAAATCTAGACGGTTTTAAAACACCGTGACTTACTGGCTGGTGCGGTTTATAGACCTTGTGCGACAATTTGATTCTGACAGCCCGAAAGCACGCCATCTTGCGTGCTATTACAACGTGCGCACATGCGCAAATGTTTAATCGCTCTGTTGAAACTGATGTCTCGATGTGCGGCGATTGTTACATGTGTTGTTATTTCAGTGTCGTCATTGAATACGTACCTTACTTTTCCCTTTGAATGCTCTTGTATCAAAACCAATTCCAGAGTTTTTCTGACTTCCTTTTCTTGTTCCTGAGTCAGCTGAATCTTGTCTACTTTTGGTACTTCCATCTGGTTTCTTGTATCTTTGCATAAATAAGAAAAGAGCCTTTTTTTACTGTACCAGATTCAAACGAAAATTATATTCATTGGTTTCAAAACGTCAGATCTTTAAAATCTTAATTCCATTATGAAGATTTTTGAGACTTCTGCTTCGCTTCCTGAGATTGGCTTATCTTCTCAGATCAAAGTTAGAGGCTAACATGAAACCGAATGTCTCACTTTTACACAATAGAACTTAGGCTTAATTGTTTTTAAAGAATAATATCCACTCACACTGGTGTATAATAATTATCTCTGAAGGAAATCAAAATTGACAGTTTCAAGTCTCACTGAGCTGTTTTTTTCTCGCCCATTCCTACTGTACTAAATGCGGTATAACTTTCTTAACTCACAAGCTCGTTCATAAAACCTCGATCATTTTAGTGCGAAATCTATTTAACAATGAAAATCAATTTTCAACTTAACTATAGCGAAATGAAAATGTTTACTTTTTGCCAGTTAAGGAAAAGGTGTAAATGGCATAGAACGAATCAGTATTTATTTTCTCTCGACATTTGATTTACACAAATCTGAAAGGTCACTTCTATTGCACTTGTGGAGTGCATAAAAGATATTGGCATTGAAAACAATCAGTTATTATCAATATCCCCGAAAAATGTGAAATAAAACAACAAACTTAGGGATGAATCCAGAATTTACCGTAACTAAGTGTTAGATATTACAATAACGTCTTTACAAAAAAAATATAGATGAACATATTAAATGATTTCGTCTAGTAGGATTTCTAGTAAGTCGATGACTCTAACAGAAATTATTTTACCTTCTCCATCTCATGCAAGACGAAACTAAAACATGAACCACCCGTGCTGCCCAGATGAATTTCTCCAATGGCTACGAAACAAGAGAGAAAAAAGACCTATCAGTTATAGGATTTGAAAATAGATTTCTCTGAAACGGTTGTTATCGGCGAAAGTTTCATAAAAACTTCCTGTTTCGTTTACAAAAAATTCTCTCCGATGAGCAACAGTAGACATTGTTATAGAGGTAATTGAGTTAAAACTGTCTTACCGTTTTCGTCATGTTAGAAGACGCTTCGGGACTAAAACATGTTCAGAAACAAGTTTTCTCAAAAAAACCTTTGCATTGACCTACTAAACTGAGCTGAGTGTCGGTAAATATTCTGACCTAGGAACATTTATCGAAGAATATTTGCGCAGGTGAATGTGCTTTGTGCCAATTTCGTGTCGGTTTGTTTTGCTTCACGGAAACTGTGATTTTAATTATGCAAACTGTTCAATCGCTGTTTTAAATACGGCAAATTAACACGACTTAGGTGGTCTTTCAACTTATCCGCAAGTATTAACAAATATTATAAAACGCCCACACGGCTAATCTCTGTTGTAAACCGCAACAGCAGATGATCACGAAGCCTTATTTAACAATAAGTCATTTACGGTCTGTTTTCCACCCGTTGACTTAATTGTCCTGTTTGACGAAGGAGCTATTTAAGAATACGATTTGTTTCAAGAATGTAAATCACGTTAACGGTGTATTCCATCAGAAACCGCAGAGAAGTATGCATTTAAACAAAACCTCTAATTATCAGTTTTCTACTTCATTTTATAAACATAGAAAATCTGGCAAACTTACCGTAAGATGTGATTGACTTTTCTCCTAAAAATTCACAGAATTGCCATTAGACTTTTTTGATTTTATCTTAAAAAATGACTTTTACATTATTAATTGTTTTTCGAGGCTCAATTCGGCTAGGTTAAAGGAGGTGTCTAGCCGAATATCATTATGTTTCATTAAAACTGCCTGCCTCTCCTACCTAAAACGCATATACTCTCACTGAGTAGGGGACAAAGATGGTGTTCCTTGAATTTAGGTGCCCTCCCCCCCGCCCCACCCTTGAAAGAGAGGCGCACCCATGCATATCAGGGACACTACAATAGCATCTATAAGCGACCAGAAATTTCTATACAGCAGGCACATAGGAAAGAAGGGGGGGCCAGTGTCAGCAGTGATTGGACGAGTATTATAGTGGGCCAAAGGAGGATCTCTAAAACACATTCTGACGCTATTTGGTTCATTTTAGAACACTTTTTAGAGGAGTGGTTTTTGATACTTTCAAGCAATCGTAAGGGCAGGCAGTTGTTGCTCTGTCTTGTAGATTTGCATCGTCGTATAAATTACTCGCATGAGTTTCTGTCAGTTGACAAAGTTACAACGAACTTTTAATCTTTGTGACCTTTTCTTTTGCCTCCCTTTCATTCTCTCCGCCATAAAAATCACAAGTACGACGATTGATCAAAGTTTTTGTTGCATGTTAAGATGCAGGACTCTCAACTCGGCGCGTTTGGCTAGTAAATCCCGGTTAATGAGGTTGTAAATTTTATGTCAGTGAGTTAATTCGGTGAAGAATTTAGCTAGTACTGACCTGAATGGTATCGAGCCGTTGGTGAGTTTTCTTTATAAGAGCCGTAACTAACAGAGGAGCTTCCAAAGCACTTTGACTGTCACGGCGAAATCTTTGAACTTCCATGACTCTTTTATGTATTTCAATTGCAGTCCTTTGTGCTTCGTGACTTGGTTGAATTGTACCAAGTTTACCTTTACCGCGATCTTTTCTCACCAGAAACGGCTTCGGTAGTTGAGGAATGAACTGCTCGTCACTCTCAAAGTTAATGTTGATGTTAATGACCGATTTTTCGTAAGCCATTTTGAAGATCAAACTGTTTTCCTATGGAGAAAATTAAAGGAAGGCTATTTAGTACTGTACAAAATCGAAATGAGGCCCTTATGAAGGGTTTCACGGGGAAGGAATTCTTTAGACAGGAGATTTAAGCTCTTAAGTCTTCACTCGACTCGTAGATATATCAAACAAGTTTTTCTTATGTACATATTAGCATCAAACTTCAAAGTTTACAAAGCAAAGTGTTACCTAAAGTTCAGTTAGTTTGAATGTTATTTACCCACAAAGTCATGAAATCAGCCGGGTACATTGAAATGGAATGCATGTTTACACGAGTCGTTCAGCTTACCTTCAAGCGTTGCAAATCGTTGTGGTTTCGATCGAAGTTTTTGATTCGATTTCACAGCAGTTACCAACCATAAAATCCAAATTAATGATGTGCCTTTCCTTTACACTCGTCAAAGTTCTCATCTTGTTTGCAATTTTTCCTGAATTCACCATTCAATTGCTCATAGCAACGCAAACGAAATGATACACCATGAACATAAAGGAATCCGCGATTTGGTAACGAAATCACGTTTGAACCTCAATGGATGATTGAGTAGCTTTGTCAGTGAGGTCAAGGGCTAACTCGCAAGCGAATAAGCACTGTCTGTTTACTGTTGACTTTAGTTTTCATTACCGTAATTATCTCGAAGCCACTTCGTGGTGCGTGAACACAAAGGATAGCTTGGCGAATGAACTGTGTGGAAACAATACTACCGTCTGCGTACCGAATCTCAGGGGAAACGTCTTCTTTACCGATCAAACAAAGAAACTATGATTTTTTTAAAAGTATTCCCTTTGTTTTCGCGATGTTGGTGGGTAACTGAGAAAAACATGTCAAGAATGCCCAGAGAACCTTCTGTGACATAAGCCAATTAAAATACGATTTATGTTAAATTTGAAATTTAAAGTAGTTTAGACAACTAGGAATGTTTCCCAAAATACCAGTGATTCGTCATGAAATGTATGAACCACATTGAAAATGGTTCATGAAGTGAGTAAGTGTGCTTGTTTTGCTCGTTTTCTTTCGTCAATATGTTGACCAACACGTTTTGATAATGATTTGTTTATTTTCTCGTTTAATGCGCGTTCGCGCGTGACTTTTAGAGTACGGTTTGTACGTCACACGAAGTGTAGCTTGAGACACGCGCCTAAGTCGACTTCTACACATTGCGTGGAAATGCAGAAAATCTCAGAAGTCTTTTTTAATTTAATTTTATTTGTATTGCATCTTTCCCTTGTTATTCAGTTTTGCTTTGGCGAGCGGACGAGATCTGAAGTCCTTCGTTTGCATACATGACCGAATTAAATGAAAATTGCTCAAAACAAAAGAGGAATTGATAATGAACTTGCTTAGTTATTTAATTTCCTCCGTTCTTTTGTTTTGCAAACTATTACCAAAATAGACGCACTGCGGTTTATGAACACTAAGGTAGCTGAAGAAAGAAAAAGTCGCCCTCCAGGCCATCTCGTGAGGCTGAGCTTATCAAATAACCTGTGTTGCTTTGCTCAGCTTTCACTTCAGTCAAATTATTTCCAACACTGAACGGATTATGCCGTTCTATCTGGGGTAAAAAGTAGATCAGTCGATGTTTGATTTTTTCTCGACTCTTTCACTGATGACGAAAGGAGCAAAAGATTCATTTTACATGAAGACTTAAAGGTTCTCGCATATAAGTAAACAGGCCCAGGGACATTAAGGCTGAGCTGTGTATGATATTGTAGGAGGTCTGAACTGTCCCAAGGCTGAGTCTATTACTTTCAAATCTTCTCCGTTTCCGTCCACTTTGGGTTTTAAACCTCTCTATGTCTATTTCAAATGTTTCACTTCGAGATTGGCAAAAATATCTGTTATCGAATAACTAGCTGAGTATCCAGCGTCCTCGTGGCCTTTCCCTTTAGCGACTCACCCTGGTAGTTTGTTCCCTCTTTTCAACGGTATGTATATTTAATATAATTCATATACGACCCTTTCTCAAAATCTTTGCCAGTCGTCGGGAAGTAATTTTTTATCAGTGATTAAAAGTAAATTGGCGAGAGAGCACCGAGGCCTTTTAATGAAGTCACGCGAAGGATTTCAGCCAGATACATCACCAACTCATTAACGTTGGTCGAACAAACAAGCAGCGCCCCTCCGGATCCGTAAGGATGGCTGTCAGCAAATAGGAGGGGACCGTCTTTGGAGAAGAGAAAGACCCCAGATCTGGAATCTTTGATGAAGATTACTGCTGATTTTTCGTTAAATTTCCGCAGTCTTTCAAGCTGATACGAAACCGTTGCTGTCTCCGTTTCCGAAACAAAACTGACTGGAAGAGAGAAGCCGAGGTTTTTTATTTGAAGCATGTCCCCAAATTCTTCGACTACATCCTCCACCGACAAATAAATAGCGCCTTGTTTCTTCAAGTTAATAACCATATCGTAAAGTCTATTGCCCTCAGCGATGCAACTGCTGTATAAGTTTATCCAACTTTCGTCAAGGAGGTCTGTTTCTGGGAGATTAAGATTACCACAGCAAAACGCCTTCGCTATCAACACAGCAATCACAGTACAAGCATTACTACCATTTCTACCGCCGTAATAGGACTGACATATTTCTCGCGGAAAGTGGTAGAAGAATACTGAAGTGTCTCGAACTCTTTCGCACCTCACAAGCAAGTTAGTACCCTGTTTTTGTGAAGGATAGTCCTGTTCTGACTTTCCAACTCTTAAAATTTCACCTGAACTTGCCAAAGCCCCATTTCGAATACTTTCAACGTAGTTTTTGCGGTTTGCATGAAGAGAAAATGTATTTTTACTCTCTACCTCACAACCAGCTTTTGGTTCTAATGGTAAATATATTGAACCCCCCGATAAAACTTGCGACTGAATGTGCGGGTCAAGTGTCAATAAAGCATAGATGATGAAAGAAATGTACAATAACAGAGGCATACAGCTTGTCGTTATGGTAACTATTTGAGCTGGTTTCCAGTCCGCCTGTAGTCCAACGAGCGAAGATTTATCATTCTGAGAAAAGCGGTTTATGATTGGTCCGTACCAGTTTGTTAGAGTTGCCAGCGTGTACATGGATCCTGTGGACATAAGAAAATGAAAAGCTGAATAACTGTAAGACAGGTTCTCCTCGTCTGTTTTTGTATCTTTCAGAAGTCCAAGCGTGAAAGAGTCTCTACGGCTGCGTAAACATTCGTAGACTATTGCTGTGTGCATCAGAGACAAAGCTATGATACTTTTCAAATGTACTCTAGTGGAAATTTTTTGCCTTGAGAGAAAGGTTCCTTCAAGATTGCATCCGCGACCTCCCTGTATAGTAAGTGCTAAAACCATGACAAAGACTGAGTGAAATATCACTACTGCGCATGGCAGGATTACAGCTGCTGTTTGAATGTTAGTTCTTATTCGAGGATGCCATGTGATGCCAAAGGATATGAAACTTGCTCCAAGGATTAGCACTATGAAGATATCATTCCATATACAATTTTGGGTTGATGCTACAACAAGGATGTACGCAACAGTACCAAGGCTGACGGCTAATAACAAGTAGGAATTACAAATCAACAGTACGAGCATAACTTTAAAAGATGTTTTGCGTTTGGATCCCTTTTCTTGCTGTTCTGTGACCCAAGCACCCAAGGCCTCTGCAAGGTCTACCCACAGAAAAAACTGAAACATGATGAATAGGCTGCTACCAATTAGCACGACATACGAAAAGTAAACGATAAAGTAACTGTGTTGAGGTATATAGAGAGCTCCTATGCTAATAGCAGCGAGAGACAGAAGCTTGAAAACCCAGCACTCATTATGCAGATGTTCACGAATAGCAGGGAAGTTTGGTAGAAGAATGAAGGCAAGAATGAAATGATACACTGTAATAACCAGAAACAGTCGATAAAAAATCTCGTAGGTTAACACTTCCCGACAAGTTTTTTCATCCATGATCCTCTGGCATGTAAACAAGCTCTTTACCATTGTCGTTTCCAAAAACTTCTCGTTGATGCCCGGTGCTGAAACGATGAATGTTGCTAAAGTCCACAGACACAAACCACATTCGTAAACAAGATGAATTTTATCCAGCATTCCTTTAGAACCGTTCGTAAACACTCAATTTTTCGAAGAAAAAAAATTGGTGGGACATTGTTCTGAGTTGATAGTCTGTCAACTTGATTCACTGATCTCACTTAGTTATTATGTCGTAACCTTCCGCAAAGGCTCTGCGAGCAGTAATGAAGATTTCGCTTCCTGCCATTTTATAGCATAAATAAACAGACAAAAATTTGGCGCAAAAACCTGAGCGCATTGAAGTGGGAAGTGTACCTGCTGTTCATTGCATTGTTTGGCAATTGTTTGCGGGAGAAACCGATATGTTACAGTTATTTTTGAAACAATGTTTGACAAGTTTTCTAACACCTTGCTATCTCGTCTCAAAAGAAGAAATAAAAAGGCGACATGTTTCAAAATAAAACTACAAGAGTATCTCTGTTCCATGCAAGTTGGTTGTAAAAAGAAAAAAATATTTTGTGATAACTTGTCACTAAAAGATTTTTCATCGTTAACCAGCTCTTTAAGTGTGGAATTATTATCAGCAGGTGGTTCTCAGTAGATCGTACACCTTTCTACACGCGTCTGCACATGAAAAACAATGTGCCAGCCGACCAAATGAGCAAGCTTTCACGATGTGCCTACCACTCTTGAATACGCGTATAGTTCCAAGTTTAGGGGTAAACTACATAACTATGATTTTACATCGGTAAAACGTGTCAAAGATTACAATTCCCACAAAATTACTTAGAATTGCAGAAATGGAAGGGGGGGGGGGGAGGGGAGGCTCTACCAGTGAGTTAGCACTGCAGCTCAGTGTCAGAGCAGTGTTACAGGTTTAAGTCTGAAGTTTTTTCCCTCGTGTGGAAAAGCATTTTTCACACCAGATCCCAACTGTGGCTGACTCTTGAAAGTATGAACGTTTGAAGTTTAAGTACGTGACAAGGTAATTTCTTCATAAGTCTGTTACTCCAAAAAAAAATTTATGCCTTACAACCCTGGGGAGAATCAACGCCCAAAATTGACTTCACTTAATAATTGCAATTAACAATAGGTGCTCTTTAGGTTTTGATATATTTTTAAACACAAATTGAATTCATCAGGCAAGATCAGCTATGCAAAGGTTTATTGCTTAGTTTCCTACACTACAGCTAAAACTATCACTACTCAAAAGCTACATGGGTGCAAAGCGAGAGTTGTAGTATTTCTTTACTTTGGAAATTGCTGTAGAAGTGCGCTCTAGGAACTATGTACAGTGTTCTCATCCGTGAAGACTAGAATGTCTATCCATTTGCAGACGTCATAGCAAAGGCAGTACATTCTCCTCAGTTATTTAAAGACCCTGAGTGTTGGTCAGGTCAAGGGCTTGAACCCACGACGTCCCCCTTTTCAGCTCTTAGTTTATCAATTAATTCAAAGTAAAACTGGCCAATCAGTGTTTACAAACCAGACTAACACATACAACTGACAGTTGAAATGAAATTGTCAAAATTAATTCCACCTAATCGATCACACCACACAATCGGGAACTAAATTGTACATCTGGCCTTGTTCATTCTGGCCTTGTTTATCAGCATTTTGAAGTTGAGCTACGCACGAACTTTTAGTGGTTCTTACCTTTGAACTATTGGAGGACAGACCCATGGATGACGTCACGATAGACACAATTTGTTTTTTGTGATGTAAAACAAATAGATTCCATGTTTCCGTTGGCACAGCACAGTACAGTACAACACAGCACAGTACAGTACAGTACAGCACAGTACAGTAACAGATCAAAGAAAACCCAAAAATGTGCTACACCTGGTTGCGCCTCGTGTGCCAGTTTTTTGTTTCTACTACATTTTGACGTCACCTGTGATTTATCTCTGAACAGACGCATGGTAACATGGAATCTATTTGTTAAGTCTCAAGTTCGGAAAAAAAGTATGTTTGAATCACAGAGTGAGCTTAACTACCATTATAGTCGTATGCACTACAGTTCCAAGAAAACTACTTCAAATTACACTGTTTTAATCTATGAATTTGGCTTGAAAATTTAAAGGTTCGGCGTCTGAATCAAAGTCGCTTTTAAGTCGACATCTGAGTAAAACGGCCAAGCTGTATCAGTTAGAAATGTTTATTGTTAAACTCAGAAAACCGTGAACACTTTGATTTGGTTCTGACATCAAGAATGACCCATCATGACAAAGAGTTTTTTTAAAAAAAACTCCAAGCGAACCTCAACACTACAAACTAATTGCTGTTGCTGTTTACGATTTAGGCTGACGCCAGATTGAAAAAAAAAAAAAAATTGATAAACAGTAACATTCCATGGACATTTCTCGTGTATATGATTTTTTGAGTTTAACAACAAAATACCTACTGCTCACATAGGGTATAGGAATTTTGATTATTTTCCCATTTTAAAAGTAGAGTGAGATCTCCCTCTTTCAGATCTCTCTCCTCAACGCTTCCGTCATCTTTCTTGACATGAATACTAAAAAAAAGACAATGATAAAACGAAGAAGAGATTAATGTCATTGTTTTCTATATTAGTGTTTGCCAATTCTTTTTTTTCGCATTCGATCGACTGGCCGACAAATTAGAGTTCTTCAGTTAACTACGTGAGGGATTATTATACATTGTTAAGGAGGAAGGCACGCGTTTCATAAGAGATCGCAAACTCAAAGAAGCTTTCCCAACAAATTGTCATTTGCGTCATCTAATTTCTTTCCCATATCCTAAACGTTCAAAAATAGAATGCACAAAAATGCGAAATGAAGATTTTTGGGAAAGAGCTCAGTGTTCAAGTTATATGGGTTTCTGTTTACTAGGTTAACCGCAGTGACGTCACTTTGAAGGCCACACCTACAGTCTATTGAATGAAAAGAGGCACATGATTGCCTCTGAACTTGTGGAAAGAAAGTATCGAGACACTATCTTACAGATGAACAAAAAAAATTCTGTTTCGTTAGTAACTGAAATACACCATTCGTTGATTTATAATTTAAGCGAATTGTAACCAGCGTAATCGAAAAGGTGGTCATTTAAACCAATGACTCTCTGGAATTGTCTGAGGCAATGTTAACAAACACTTTTGATTATTGCCCTCTCAGGGCGTGTGCCTGTGTTAACATACCTCCTGCTTTTGTCTTTTAATTTGATATCTCCTATGGCACCATTCCCCAATTGAAGTTTCAAAGTAACCTAAAAATACAATAAAACAATAGACAATTCATATACAATTAAACATCATTTACCCCAATGGAGGGTTTTTTTTTTTACGACTTTGCCCCTATTTTAACCAGCTCGTCCCCGAAATCTTTCAACCCGTTTCCTTACGGGAGAACGTATTCCGTTTCATCAGAATATATTTCGATCAACATAAAATTTCACAGCGAAACCACACCAAAGTTCGATCAATATGGAAATTAGCAGCTGTACAAACTGACGCAGGACTACTATAAAAAGGTTAAAAACTATTCATCGTATGAAGCACCTCTACAAGGGGCCGATTAGTGCCGAAATAATTGTTATGAGTTTCTGTAAGGTTTGTTTCAACGACACTCTCCTTAATATGATTGATAAACCCCCTAACGCCAGTTTACACGCCATCAAAGTAGTAAGTTACATGAATCTCTGGTTCGAATTTTATAGTTCATGCGGAAGTGTTAAAAATAAATTCATAATCAAATCAATGCTACTCTTGATATGTCCAAACTGCAAAAGTCACCCAACTAAGACTTTCCTTATCAAATCTGATAATAATAACAGTAATAATAATAATAATAATAATAATAATAATAATAATTTAATAATAATAATAATAATAATAAACAGAAAAAACATACTGCCTCAGATATTTTGGAGGTAGTGAGTTCCTCAACTTTCACAGAAAAGTAAGTATCATCCCCCTCTTTTTTAACATAACAGTGGCGTCCTGGTAAAGAAAAATATAATTTTAGTTGCATGAGACAGAGCTACTGCAATCCTCATGTCTTAAGTCTCATTGTAAAGATCAAAAACAAAAGAAAAAAAGAGAATAAAACTCCAAGTTTATATCTGGAATAAGCTGTGTCAAGGGTGAACATTCTAACCTTGTCTCTAAGTGAATGAGGGGTAGAAAAAAAAAATAATTCTGTTTAGTAGTTCAGCAGCTTTCATGCAGGGAAACAAATATGTATTACAGTAGTATTAACACGCAAATTGTGAAATGGAGAACAATATAAAAAATTACCTTTTTAGACAAGCACCAAAGCATGTTTTTTTTTCTAAATTCAGATAGTCAGTTGCCAAACTATTGTTTGCAAGAAATAAATTGGATTTTATATAAACGCCGCCCTTGAATAAATGCAGCACTCAAATCATGAAAACTATATTAAACGCCACGGCATTTGATTGAATAAATACAGTATTGAATACAAAATAAATCAAACTTCAGGCCAATTCAGAATTCATAACATCACATAAAGGCAAGAAATTTTGTAGAAAAGCTTGCAATTCATGTATGATGCAATGCGAATTTTCTGAAAGAATGACTGATACTCTTAGGTGAGCCTCAAATATAAAACTTGATAACTTATTGATCCTTTAAACTGTAAGAGTGACTAACATCTCATTTCTCCCTATATCACCCCTGAGTCCCACATCAAAGTCACAAGAATAAAGGAAATGATCACTAACGAAAGAAGCTTTTGATTGGTAAACAAATTCTCCTTGTCAGCACCTCAAGAAATGTATAAAGAACAGTATGGAGAATATGCATACTGATGTTAGGGTGTAAAGGGTTCAGAGAGGCAATAACATGTTATGATATATTAGAAAATTTACCAGAGGGAGATTGAGGATCAATTTCCATGGGGACTGCATCCTGCTGGTCCTAAAAAAATTTCATTGATAAACATTTTAAAACTTTTTTTTAGCATCAATGGTGCAAAATAAATGTGTGAAATTATAATGTATATCTCCCCCATTCAATATTTTGTAAATTCCCTATTGGCTAATGAAGAGCATTTTATGTATCACATCTTATCAGACTTACTACTTGAGCCATAACTTTTTATAATTCAAAGGCTTTAAAAGGTACTTTCTCTGAGACTGAGGAAGTTTATTCCAGAGTTTTCTTGGTTCAATGTAAGTTTTCACGGTATCATAGAAAGTGCAGACAGTTTAGAAGCATCATTGCTTGGTTTAAATGATACACCTATATAGCAAATGCTTTTCATCAACAAAGAAGATTATCATTTGATTCATTTTTATTAAGTAGCATGGAAAACAGAACAAGTTTAATTAGAAATTTCCTATGTATCCAATATTTTTTTAAAGAAGCCTCAAACTTTGGTAGACTCTTCTGATCCACTCAAGAGCCTGAAAAATTGTAAATCTTGATTTTTGTGTTTCATTGTATGTTCTAACCTATAGGACCTGAAACCGTGTCACCTTTTCTTTTCATGAATTGTCACACTTTTTGAGCCACAATAACATACTTTAAAACTGCATGGTCATCCATTTAAATAACCTATAAGGCTATGTTCCTATATGATTATCTGCAGTTGCAAGATGTGTTAGGAAATAAATTTCAGCTGCTGAACAAGAACATGATTACCACATTCTTACCCTATTCTCTCCATTTGAACTGACTGGAGTCTTCCCTTTTTTCTTTCCTAAAGACACAAATTCAAGATAAAATAAAGTAAATTTTATAACCAAACAAATCAATCTTTTCACCAGACACTGAATCACTTTTGGACCTATGTGCATAACTGCAATGTCTGAACTGGCCTTAGCAAGAGTGTAGGGAGCAAAACAAAATTAGCACAAAGGAGCAAAAGACTCCTCAGCATCCCCTTTCAGTACAATGTCAAACTTGAAGTGCTGTAAAAAATTTTAAGATAACAACTAATAAAATAATAAGGTGTAAGACTGTGATTAAGGCTATTATTTAAGTATAACGAATTATCTGAATGTATGTTACAAACCTGAAAAAAGTAACATTCTCTTGGAAACATTTTCCTTTCCTCTTGGTAAGAAAGTGGTTGGTGTTTCTGACATATTTCTTTTTTTCATCTTCTTTCCTCTAGTCCTTCTTAGATTTTCCTTAATAATTCTGTTCTTAATTGGAGTTTTTGTGGACATTATTGTTGTAAAGTTTAGATGTGGCTACTATATCTAGGATATAGAGAACATCAAGACAAATAATTAACAATCATTCACATAAAAGAGTGACAGGATCAAAGGATATAAACTATTTGCTAGGTTGTGTAATAAGAGCTTTATATTTTAAGAAGGGTCTTGTAACATTTTGAGGCTGAAACTAGTAGTGAAGGTGGTGAAGAAACTAAGTTTCTGTTGGAGACTGCTCACGATGATGTTGCAAACGGCAAAGTTTCTCATTAATGATGGAAACTACATGTCTGCATTGATACATTTCGACTTGTAATTGCTTTCTGATTATTTTGTTTTTCGTCTACTGTACTCAATGAAGCAAACTGAACAATTCAAAACCACAGAAACGTTTCTACTTAATTTCCGCCTTATCACAGACGAAGGGAAAAAACCGTTCCGATTCAATGAAGTGATAAAACGATCTGCATTACTGCATTCAAATTAATGCCTTTGAAAGGGCAACCGTGATTTCCGCATAGACCTCTTACTTAATTAAAAAATTAAAACAGTTCTTTGAGAAGAGAAAACAACAGCGAAAACAAGGGATTGCCTTTGGGACTAAAGCTTTTTTTCTTAATATTCTGAGGTTGTATTGACATCCATCCACGGCGTTTGTGAGCCTTGTCGTACATTTCAAGGAAAAAGTCGAACAACAGCAACATGGAGCTCGTTAACAGAAGAAAATAATGGCGAAAACAGTTCATTACCTTTGGGAATGAGGCTTTGTTTTAGAATATAAAGGAATTAAAAGAAATTTTTCCATTTCAGATGACAATCTCGAAGATTGGCACGAAGTTGATTGTTCTGTTTCAGAAAGAGCGTCGTTAGACTAATCACATGAGAATGTCTGAAAACGATTACCAGGTCTTCTAGAACGACCACATCTAAACAAGTTAGCTAGAGGAGATGGTAAGAATAATTCGGTTACCAACCTTCTAATGCTGAGTGAGTAAATTCCTCAAACTGAGTGAGTAACCTCCTAAAAACGACCGAAAAATTAGAAATATAGATCTAAAATTTGAAAAGCCCGCTGATCGAATTTTTAATGAGCGTCCTTTTACCGGTAATTTGCATATCAGTTACATCTCACAATTTCAGTAGAAACCAGTCTCTCACGGTTTTTGCATGATGAGCTAGCGTAGCTTGAGGCGGTTCTTACACGATCGATTTCTTATTCTTATTATCACGTTCAACTGACTTGAACGTCAAAATGAAAGTTTGTTTGATAAATAAGATGTTTTTGCGATGAATTTGCGCCTACTGACTCGTTTCTAGGGTTGTGCCTACCTTTTACCGTCCCATGAGTTACAGGCATTTTGGGCTTCGAGGTATGGAATAGTACCTACAATTCCTTAAGCTCGTGTTAAATATGTTTACTATGATATCAGGCTATGCTTGTGAGCCTCTAACTAATTTCCTTTACTCTTTTAATATTTGATTTATATGTGAAAATTAATCTCTATTAATTAATATGAATCTAGACATCGATAAGTGAGAGGCCTGGAGTGGGTACAGGCAGGGTGCATATTGGTATTTTCCCTTTCCTTAAGATTGAGTAATTTGTTCAGCATACAAGTCATAAGACTTGGGTAGAGCCAATGGCTATTCACCACGCTAACGCGTCCTAACTGCGTATTTACTTTAGTATATTACCGCTTAGGTATCTGTGCAAGTCTTATTAGTAATCTAGCAAGCAAGCAAGCAAGCAACAAGTTTATTTCTAGCTTTAAGGAAGTTTTTGTTTTCCTCCCACCCACACCATCGACAGTTTTGATTGCATCTTAATCTCATTCGTGTTTGTAATTTATTCTTGATTACTGAACTGTTGGTTAAGTGAATTCGTCAAAGATCTTTTATGTAATAGTCTAGTGAGTTATTTATGTAGGATATATACATTTAATAAACTGTCTGGTCCTAAAACAAGCCTCTGTCCGTTGTGGTGCTTAGAAGAACACTCAGGAACACTTGGTGATGGTATAACCATCATATCTCACATTAGAAGAAAAATTTAAAAGTGTTTTCTCTTTATTTAGTTCTTATTTAGTTTAATCTCAGCCTCAGTCTTCCTCTCTCAAGCTGTCTGGCTCTGTAGTCCCTGGTGGAGGGTGTTTGGCCTTCTGAGCCACCTTTATTAACTCTGGCTAAGTAACTCATCACAGTATTCTGAAAGATTGAAAAGTGAGAAAATTTGAATGAACCTACATGCTAAGAGCACAAAACAAATGAACATATATATGCATAATGTAGTTTTTATCTGGAAAAATTTGCAATGGCAGGTCCCACAATAACTGTGACTTGTTGGTCATTTTGGGTGGAATCCTGCAAAAGGGCTAATGCATTTCTCCCCTGTCTTGTTGAGTTGCAAAGATTTCAAAATAAAAATGCACTGAAGATGTATTTGGATACAAAGAACTCTGGGTTAGACTCAATTTTTCCTTAAGTTTTAGAGCTTTCCTATACATTATCATGTTCAATTTCACCTGTCACTGACATATATAGCATATGAGGTATGATTTTGTTGTTAAGAGACTAAAAATCACTTTGACATTTTAGCCTATATTAGCACTGCATTAGACTAATAACCCCTTCATAAACCTGGTCATGGTCTTTTCTGGAGCATTGTGCCTTACTTCAAGAGCAAAGAGATTGGGTCGCATTTCCAGCCCTGTATTGTAAAGATTTTGAAGGAAGAATTAACTGGACATGTGAGCTGGGCAGCAGTATGAGTAACTTTGCGTTAAAGTTTATTCTCAGTTTAGTTTTATAGCTTTGTGGAGAGTATTCCTGCCTTACAGTTGTCATGTTCCTTTTTGCCCCACACTTATGTAAAACATCAGCATGATGTATGCTTTCATAGATAAGAAATCAAACCCAAGTTTAACTTGCTCTAGTTAACCAAGTTTGGGCTAATCACACCTTCAGAATCTGGCTACGGTCTCTACTAAATGTAAATTAAAATGTATATAAAAATTCCTTGATTTAAGAGCATAGCAATTATGCAATATTATTTTTATGGCAGTTAGTTTCATCTTCATCATCATCATTATTGTTATTTGTTATGATATATAATAGCTGTGAATTAGAAATAATGGTGATTTGCATTGACAGAAAACTGAATTGAAGTCCTCTATCAGACGTATAGTTTAAAGTATATTTCTTGTACAGCTACACTATACTTTTAGTACAACTACGTTGCGGGTCATATCAAGGTCACCTACTGGCCCACATGCTGTATTCCTATGTGGTCAACTTACGAAGATTTACAACTTTTGATATGACCACCTTTCATTGTGATTGATGAAAACTCCAATAAACCTTTTTGGCTTGTATGTTTGTTAACCATTTTCAGATCAAGTGATAATACTCTAGAGAACTCTTTCTTTCAAAATAATCTTATACATGTGTATATATATAATTTCAAAAGATGAAGCTAAAGATATGTTCACAGTATGGTCTTCATCCTACAATTTGCGTGGAAATCATATCCTGGCCCTTCCCAACCCAAAAACAACGACTTACGGTCTGCACTCTTTTTCATACTTAGCTAGCAAAATATGGAACTCTCTCCCAAACACTTACAAAACATTAAATTCTCAAGAATTCAAGCAGGAGATCCTCCGATATGAAGCTTTTCCACAATAGATCAACAAGTTATATTTCCCTTTGCATGCATAATGTTGTATATAGTTTATAAATAATATTGGAATTGTAATATAGCATATTTTATTTTATTTTAGCTTATTTTCTCGAAGATATTAGCTCTACAGCTACACTGTGAATTTCGAGCATAAATAAAATATATGTATGTATTTGTATGTATGGGTGTATGTATGTATTATGGGTGTATGTATGTATGTAAAGCTGAGAATTCCCATTAGACCTGGAATGGGTAACCACTCAAGACACACAAGCGAAAGAGGTCTATTGCTCTCTAGTCATGTTTGAGGAAAAAATTGTATAAACTGTTGCCTTAGAGTCATGATAAACCTAAAGGCAGCCTCAAGTGATGATTTCTTCAGGATACATTTCACATAAATTTGAATGGCTGAGTATTTTTCCTTTTGCGTCTCTGTAATTCAGATTCTTTCTGGTCATCATTAGAGTGATGTTTTTTTTCAATTCTTGTAAATAGCTCAATAACTCCATCATGCAACCTTTTACTGTGTCTACAAATAACACGAGTAAGGAGTAATGTGTCTCAAGAGAATATTGCTGATAGAAGTTATTTATTTCTCATTGTGATTTGCCAATTGTAGTGATCATCACAATCCCATAATCTATTTCGTGAGCGGAATCAAGGGATCCCAACTCTCTACTAAGCTGCCTGCACCTTCCAACTTCTATGCAAATTAAAAATTGGAGTTGATCGTGGGTCTAACAAATCTCATATCTACCTAAACCAGCCAAGCTAACTAAGGTTAATGATGACGAGACCGAGAAATGAAACGGATACATACCTCTTTGATTTACAAGTCTGGTATGTCACATCTGCTTTGTAATTGTCAGTTCTGTTTTTATGTCAGTATTATGTAATACAAATCTTGATTTAGTAGCTTTCTAAAGGATTGAGACGTAGATGCGCATCCAAGTGGATAACAATTCAAACTTGAGACAAATAGCTTGTACTTCACGTTGCAAACAGAACTTTCCTTTGCTTGTCTCTCCGTTCGTCCATTTCGCCAAACACACACTAACCTGGCGTATCGTGGCGTAGTGGTGAGGAGCATCGCGTGACGATTCAGACAACGAGCGCGTTTGTGACTTTTTATGTCTATATAATCGCCAAAATGCTAAAACTAAATTATTAAGAACCATTTCCACCATCGGCGGAAAAAAAATCAAAACGCAAACGGAAATCAGAACAAAAGAGGCTGAGTCACTTTAGATACAGTAGTGCTATGTTGTGAAATGATTCAAATTATCCTGACACAACATAGCCTCGATTTTGCCTTTTTCCAGTTTTCAAATTTTGCTGATCTCCCGAAAAGAATCAATTTCTCTCATGCTTTTCCGTAACGTATAAGACAAGAACAAAAAGGGAAATCTCAGAGAGATGTTAATCTTCTACCGCTATCGTGAATATAATGTGAAATGACCCTAAATATAATTTTCCGTTAAATGCGATTTGTCTGAGACATACTGCTCCGCGACTTCAGAAACTAGAGCGATTTGAACTCATTTTCAGAGAGATTTTCTCTTCTCAATTTTTCCTAAGGGGCTATGTGATTGCATGCTTGCTCCTTTTGAAGAGTCCGAAACGGGAGAGACGTTCACACATCCCTGCCATAGTGTGGAATGACTAAAATTACCATGTTACTTGACGACTTCAGAGACAACCTTAACGACGACGAAAGTTCTCGAAGTGGGAGAAATGGAGCGGTGTCGTTTTGGGTATCATTTCACAGGGTAGCGGCGAGAGGTCAACATCCATCTGAAAATGTCTCCCATCGTTCTTCTCTCTGAAGTGGTGGAGTGGTACGACACAAATTTTATCTTACAGAAAATTAAAATTTGCCGCAGTCATTTCACAGTAGTGTAGCAGCAAGAGTTTAAGTAATATCTCTTTCAAAACGGCTCTCGTTGTTCTTGTCGATCCAACGGAGAAATTTTCCATTAGATACCATTTAAAATTAGCAAGCATGCGGGTCACGAAATGGCGTCCAGTCTTTAAAGAACGTAAGGTCTGATATAACATTTTAGACCGGAAACTAATAGGGGACCTGAAAATAGATTACAGCTTGCACGCTTTTAGAGTTCAATTTAAAACAGCCAATCAGATCGAAACTTGGCAGCAACATTACTTCGAGAATGCATATTTAAACCACACGTTGGCAATAACACTTAACGAAACGGAAGCGAAATGACAGCTACGATGAAACGGATAGATGCTGCAACCATGAAATGGAAACGTTATCCATCAAGTTGACCCCATGTCACTGAGGCCCAAAAAATCTTGCAAAAACAATGAACGTACCCTTAAGAATATACAGGATCAATTGGTCTAATCATCAAATATAATTGCCAAAAAGGTAGGGGGAAGCGCTAAAAAAAGCAACCTTTAACCGTTAACCACTTATAATGGCACCCAGTATTAAGTGCCAAACCCCACGTAAATCACTCATGAGACTTATTACGAAGTAAAATGAAATCAAGCTGAATGTCAATCATGTAGGATGTTCCAATTCTGTGAAAAAACATCTTAAAGTTTCCTCAACTACTAAGCTGAACATCTTAGCTCACGCTTTTCCTTAGGACTTTTGGCTAAATTTCCCGAACCTAACGGCCTTATCAGAAAGCTAGCTCTTATAAACACAAATTAAATGAATCAAACTGTCTGTTGCTTGTGCAAGAGTGGTAGAGACAATTATTACTTATTAATTGTTTTACGGGATATCTAAAACTGAACACCAGCTACGATAACTGCAACTTCTGCGAACTCGAAACATTAATAAATTACTCGCTGTTGTTCTAGAAAACAATTAGTTCGATAACGTTGCATTTATTAACTTTGACTAGTCGAGAATACGAGAGTGTGAATGACAACGCTAATACAAGCTCATTTTGAGGAAAAAAAACAATCTAAGCCAAGGAATTATCTCGCGGTTTGTTTTAATTCGATTCACTTATTTAATACACGAAACTGTCTGATATCAACCCAACGCTCGGGAAAGTCGTTGTCAACCAATGCAAACACTTTGTTTGCATGTGATATTAATCCGTGCACAATTTTACCATATTCTCACGCCCGCTGTGTTTTCGTTTCTTGCTGCTTTCTTCTGTTAAACGTAAAAGCTCCCTAAATTCTAAGAAGAAGGGCTTTGAAATATATTCTTGTTTAAATTAACATGCATACTAATAGAAGGTGGACAAATGGAATAAGATATTAAATGACAGACATTTTCCTGTTAAATCATTATCTATGTGCCTTTTAAATTATCAAGAAAAAAAAACACCCAAGTTGTCTATGTTGGCCTAAGTAATCTGTAAAAATAAAGACATTAAAAGCAACGTTAATTTTGATTCAGTTTGAAACAAATATTTATCTATATTAATGGTTAAAATTGAGGAACGCATTTGCTGATTTTCACGAACCCTGACTAGTTTCAGACTTTGTGGACTGAGGATGACTAAGTTTGCACGTAAATTAACATGAGTATCTCATAGATCTTCTTTACACCTACCTTATCTATATAACAACACGTAGATGGTGAATTCTTAAAGTAAATGCAATTTGGACGTCGCTAAATTAATTTTTCTCTCCAAAGTTCTACGTGACGGCCATTAGGTTTATTTGGAAGTGTGGTTTGGGAAAATTCTATCCACAGCCAATCAGCTTGAACGAAATACAATTATCGTCAGTTCTACCTGGTTGAATATACAACACGTCTAACAAGAAGTCAACAATTTATAGATGTTTAGACACCTGGGTTAATAATCGTAGTTTTAGAGCAGAAACGTCATATTTCAAGTCCCCTATTGCAACAGAGCACTATCCTTTGCTTTTCCAGTTGTACCAAGCTGACAGGCTGCAATTAAGATTTACGAAAGAGGATCAGCATCATGAAGAGGTAACTCAGTTGCTCAATAACCTCAGCTGCTTTTTCAAGCTTTTGGAGAACGACGCAGGACCCTTCTTACGCCGGCTAACCTTGTTATTTCCTCCGGGTTAGTACAATCCCCCAAAAGAAGACAGCTTGAATGTTGTTCATTTAGCACATGCATTTCAAATAAACTCTTAAAAATAATATTTTTGTCTCGTAAATTTGTTTACGGAATACAATGCAATCACAGTTTCAATCATTTAGTAAACTGCGTTAATTCTTGTGAAAGTTAATTTTCATTTTGACACCTTACTCAATCTAAATTTATAAAAATTTGCATGAGTTGATTGTTAAAGGTTACCTTTATTTTTTTTAGACATGAGGTTCGTGTTTGCGCTTGGTATTCTGATCTTTCTTTCCCCCGATGGAAAGGTAAGTTCATTTGTTTTCCAAGAGCCGTATTGCACTGTAATTAGTCATCATCCCTATGCGTGTCTTCGGCCAGCTTTCTGCCTAGTTGAAATGGCACCTGGTTTTATGTGCAATCCATTCATAATTACCAACATTTACTGAAAAACTGTTACTTTGGTTTTACATCCACGTTAAGGGCGAGTCGCCGAAAGGTGAGATTTCATTTTTTATTTCTAGAAACATTTCAATTTCACGTATTTCCTATTTTTGACTCACTTCTTTGCCTAGAAATTCTATAGGCCACAAATTTTGTCAACCCAGTCGGTTTTGAATATGCACCGCCATAGTCATCCCAAGATTACTTTATTCAAGACTGCTTCTCACTAAGAAGTAGGGAGTGCAATATATTAATATAAAAATATAATAAATGCAAAAGAACCCAAAGGCTGTTATGTTAAGCTTCTAGCCTTTTTTGATGTTTTTTTTAATAGAAGTTTTCACATTTTGAATATTTCTCTCTTAGAATGTAAGCCATGTTCCTTACAATGGCAACTGGCCTACCACCACGATGGAAATGGAAATGAGATTTCAGGATCGAAATTTTCGCTGATTTCTGCCGTTTTATCGGGGGCTCGAGTCCGAGTGGTGATTGATAAGTACAGCACAGAAGCCGATAATGTGCATGTCTTCGGCCATCACGTGTTTGCTCAACTGCTACAGCACGTTAGCAAAGCCTCTTGGAACAAGTTTCAACATAGTGCCTACTGGTGGTGGGTGATCATGTTCACTAACGGGAATAGGAAAATTACGAGGTATAACGTTGGCTTAAACATATATCGTGGAACCAGCAATAAAAAAGGGAGCATCTGGTGATATGTGCAGACATCAACTTTCGTTTCCATGCCATCATTCTCTCACTTGGCCGATGGCAGCTTAGTGCAGGGTAACCTGAGTAACCTGGTAAAAAGCGTTAAGAGTGGCCATGAAATTCGATGCGTCACTGATAAGAAGTATGCCTTTCCGCTTCAGAATGTCGCGATTAACAGCCAGGGTGTCGGCTTCGTCTCAGGGCAAAATGTCGACTCCATAAGCATCAAAAGGAACGATAATTTGATACAATTTCAGAGTAACGTGTACTGATGGTTTACTGTAGTAACAACACGTGGATTGCGCGACATGTCACGCTCGACTGTTGGAATCCATCAGTCACGAGGTCACAACCAGGAATGGTTTGTAGACGAATGCTGGAAGGAAGTCTTCACCCATGATAGCAAAGGTGCATCTCTCTCAGGATCGCGCCAGGCACTAACATCGGCTCTCATGGCCGGTCGTCGTGTCCGTTTCCACAATGGAAATACTACACAGTAGAAGCTGACAATCTGTCCTTGCAAAATTCTCATATGAAAGCCCAGGTACTTAAACACGTACGCACGGACCGGGTTCCAAGATGACGCATACTGGTACTAGTTAATGGTCGCCACCACCGGAACCGTCCGTGCCACGAGGTACAACGTCGGAGAACATTAGGATCGCGGAGATTCTACACACAAGCTGGCTGTGAAGTGATTCGTTGACATCAGGTCTTGGAAATACGTTTTGTCAAACGGTCCAACTGGTAACATCGTTGGCGAAGACCGAAGTGATCTCGTGCAGGCACTCAGAGATGGAGCAGCTGTACGTTGCGCGCAAGAAAATGAAAGTAGGGGTTACGTGTGCAATGCTCAAAACCTAGCTATGTCCCCAGATGGAAACCATGTGGCTGCTCAAGCTCTCAACCACGTCAGCATGCGGTCAGCACCCGATCCAGACGAGGTTATGATTAGCCCTAACGCTCACTGGTGATTTACAATTGTGTCCACAACTGGCTGGAGGGAGATGTCTTGCTGGACCGTTGGTGAGCATGTGGATCGCGGACAAAATTGGCCAGAAGTGGTTTGTCAACTATTCAGTTAAATCACAAACGTCCTCATGTGCGAAACTTTGAACTGGCAAACGAACTGTACCTGCAGTAAAGCACCAAAAATAACGAACTCATTGATTCTAGTTTCCGCCTCTCTTTTGAGCCAACTCAAAAGAAACGTTGTGATTGCTTGATTACTTTTGATTGTAGTGGAGTGACACAATGACTAGTTGATGAATAAAATGTGAATCCACCAGAAAACCAAGCTGACTGACCAAGTACACTAACACTGAGCTAAATTTTGAGTTTGACCTTGAGTAACTTAGTTTGATTGAGTAGTCCGAGAGTTAGCAAGGATCCTGTGTATCGTTGACAGGTCTTGAGAGAAAAAAACGCATAAGCAACTTTATTTGAATTGCGTGAGAAACTGCGTACATTTCATTATGGTCTTGACTTTATCATCGAACACATAGAGCTCCATTTAATGTTGGTGGTTAAGATTGGCTATAGCTTTGCCGGTCCGGTTTTGCCAAGACCGCTCTTGCCCTTTTAGCCACTCCTCCTTAGGCCTTGACCGAACCGGAAGACATGTGATAACTAACCTGACTAAGGAGGCTTCCGCGTATTTAAGAATTAAAACTTGAATTAAACGTGTTATGCCCTGCCTCTCCTGCAAGGTTTGCTCTTGTCCCCAATTTCATTTTAATGTTTTCCGTTCAAATATCTGTGGTTGTGGTACAAAGGCCAAAATTTTTGCCCGAGCACATGGAGTTATCGACATAATTCAAAATGGGGTCTGCCGTCGGGTTGTGGGCCAAAATGATCTGGTAGGGTTATCCCTCTTTTCCGCTCCATCCTTGATAAAAGTAAATCCTCGTCGACCGTACAGATGAAAATGAAATGTGCGGAAGAATATCTAATTAAAAAGAAGAGGGAGTCAAAGACTTAAAATCGACAATGGCAGCGCTCGATTTGGAAACACCCGTCAGACCGTATGCGAAACTCATGAAAGTGGTTTTTCCTTCTTTTTGCTCCATTCTTGATCAAAATACACCTTTGTAGACCTCACAAACAAAGAGCGGATGTGCTGGAAATAAACGGGCCTCAAAGACTTAATTTGGCCATATTTCACACATGGCTGATTTACCATGTTTGGTGTTGTTACGTGTTTGACCTTTCTTTTTGTTACGCCTCGAAACATTTTGATTTACCCACTGTCGAATTTGATGTCGTTTCCCATGAAATGAGCCAATAAGGAAAATTAAATATAATCGTGTTTCCTTGCAAAACTATTCATTCCGTGGTTTACGAAGGGCACAATGTGCGAAGGCGTGCTCGTGAAAAACTTGTCAGAAGAGTTTCGGTAATAAACTTTATTTTACGTACATAACTTTTGTACTTAGCACGAGTGTTCACTGACAACTGCATGTGAAAGTGCCTCATAACAAATTAACTATTGGCCATGAACTAAAAGGTCAGACTAGCAAGCATTTTAAAGAAAGAAAAATAGGCTCGCCATCAATGGAATGGGTACTAAGTTCAGCGTTAGTTAGGGTTAGAGTACCAAGAGTACTCAACAAGACTAAAACCTTTTGTCGTCCCACACGTATTTGCATCCTTCCTAATACCATAACACTATTGGTCAGCACCTTACATTGCTGTTAGTTTGTAATATCCACTATTTTTGCTAAGTTTGAACTACATCGGTGATTTGAGCTCGATAAACCTTCTGCCTGGTTCTCCCATGGAAGCAATCTTACAGTAAAGAAAAAGTTACACTCTTTACCCCCAAAGAAAAGGAACGATACAGGTTATTCAACGTTTCCTGACGACTTTTTCTTTCTCATTTAAAAGTAATAAGATAATCTGGGTAACACTGGTTATCGTAGAACACAACGAATATGCCTGGATTTGCGGGGTCATTCACAACAGTGTCATAAACATCTGTGGCGTCACTTCCCTTGGGAGGCGGAGTTATCATTCCCTTTCGTCCGGTTGTGTATTCACCAGCAAGGACACTTGCAAGATACATGTAACGGTTTCCTGTCGCATCAGGTGGTGAATAGGTTGTGCTTGCTGAATAGGACGCATCTCGAGCAAAGTAAACACCATTTCCAAAAGCAGTGGCTAAAAATTATAGATTGAACAAGTTACTAACAACGACCTCCTTCTTGCAAGCACTTAATTTTTACACTTTTTCTTTATGGTAACATGCAAACGTTCCATACAATTTCGAAATTAAAGAATACTTAGGTTTGCAATGGATGGTTAGAGAAATAATTTTTGACGGCTTCTTTTAACTTTCAAAGTCGAGTAATCACGAAAATGTATTAATGGAGGAGGCCCAAAGGCCGAAATAGACCCTTTTTCCAAATATAAAATTGGCCTCCTGCATCAATTCTCAAAATGAGTCGGTCGGAAGCATATCCCAGCTATTTATTGTATTTTAGGAAATTAAGAAAATCAACTGATGATTTTTGAAAGGGATAGTTACTGGCAGTACTCAAAAAGAAACACTCCTAGAAACACTTATCTTTAAGGAGACCGAAAGGTTTTTTTTTGAACCTGTATGGGACACAACGTCATGTATTTAAAAAACAAATGACTTCGGAATTTTTAGAGTAGCAAGAATGTATCTATTTCATCTTTGCAAAGCTAATTTGATAATGTTAATGATATTGCACTGTAACGTCTCCAGACCCGCCAAAGTATGCCATGTAAAAAATTAATGAAAGTATACAAATTAATGATTACCATTTTTGCCACAGTAGCTTCTGTTGAAACCGAATTTGTTGATGGAGGGGCAGCTGCTTCCCGCTGTTCCATGGAAGAGTAGTTTTTCATTGCTGCCATTCTTAAGTTCCATCTGTTCCCTTCTGACGACATATGTGCGGTACAGGCCGGGATTTTGTACCCTTTCTATCTTGACAATGGTAACGGGGGAGGTCTTGCACAATTGGTCTGCTACCTTTTTGTACTCGTTCGTCTTAGGGTCTAATAGCACCAGGTGTACCTCTTTCTCTTTTCCAGAGCCATCCTTTGGGTGCACATCCCACTCTAAGGGTAATGGAACACCTGATTGAAAAGATTTAATTTGACTTGAGATTCATTCTTGTCAGCACAATTCAATGTGCAAATGGAATAACTTACAAAACTACTTTGTCATTAGTTTAAACACCATAAATCTAAAATACGTATTATTTTTCAGTTTAGCTGCACTGTACCTTTCCCAATCTCTTTCCGAACAACGACTCTCACTTCTCCACTGTCAAGGCAGGTTTCCTTCATGTCCTTGAAAACAATCTCGCATTTTTCTTCATCTATTAATACAATAACAGAGTCTTTGCCCTCACCAAAGGCTTCTTCAATCTGCAAATTAATGCTGGGCTCATAAGGCTCTGGGGTTTCATCATCATCATCGCTGTCATAGAAGAACCATTGTACGTTTTTAGAAAGGAGCTCACCAACACCTCTTGCATGCTCTTCCTCGATCTTCTTGTTAAGTACTTCGTAAATTGTGGTGGCTACATCGAGAACGTCTTCTGTATCACCTCTTACAGATATGCGACCTATGGTCTGCTCGATGTTAACAATGACGTCGTATTTAGCTTCCAATTTCTTTACTTGTTGTATTTGCCCCTTTGAAAGATTACATATTGCTTCACGCTCAATTACTTTCAGTGTGCAGTGATCAGCCGCATCCTTTTCTATTGTCTTGATGACTGTGTCAATGTCTTGCTTGGTGCTTGCAAAAATTTCTATGTAGCTGAAAGGCTTTGCTTTTCCGCGAAACGTGCGCATTGATGGCATAGAATGTGAAGACGCTGAGCCACTTTGTCCTAATCCAATCCATCCAGCAAGCTTTGAGAGCAAACCTGTTCCACTTTTTGCTGAGGACAAGCTCGCTTCCATTGCAGTCTGGAACACACTTAACATTTGGGGCTGATAGATCACAATACGAACAAGAGCAATGGATACAGGTTCCTCGCGAGCAAACTTGAAAATAGCAGCCATCATCCCCTCTGCAGCCTCTTTGGCATCTTTGTTAATGTTCCCTGTTCCAACAGCTGGGAATGAAATCGAGGTCAATCCATCCGAGTCTGCCTTTCGCAAACACTCCAAAATGCAGTTACTTATGGAACGCATGCTCGAAATCCGATCTGGAACCATGTGGTAAATTTTTCTTACTTGTAGATTTCCGGCTCTAGAAGCCACCACGGTGTCTGGCTTCTGGGGCCCCATAGCTGAGCATTCTGCTTGAATAGTCGATCCTCCAGCAGCTAGGATAGCCTTTCCCACACCACCTCCCAGTGCGACATCGAGCTCGTTGTTCGACAAGGTCGCGATTGCATGAGTTACTTCTTTCGTGATGTTACCAGTCTCAGCTTGAACGAATATATTGCCAATCGTTATTTCAGGTTGCAAGGGATCTAATAATATAGGCTCTTCGTCCGAGATAACATCTACACCATCAGGGGTATCTTTTTCTGATCTTTTGTCGCTACCACCGCGCAGTCCCCGACGTTTCTTCTTTCCATCTTTCGGAGCTGCTGTTGCTGCTGGTGGTTGCAGTGGAGGTGGACCCACACTTCTTTTTTGCAGTTCGGTTTGGAAGGCTTGCACTGATTGCAAATCCTTATCATAAACAACCAAATGGACTTCCTTCAAAGGGCTGCTTGGATTTTTCTTACTGAAGGATAAAACTTCATCAAAGGAAGCTTCAGCCACGCAATCACGGGGAAAGTTGAGGTTCCCAGTCCCAATTGCGGGGATGGAAATGGTCGAGAGACTCTTTTTTTGTGCTTCTTCGAGACATTTCTGTATGATACCCCGCAGTACCTGTAAATAAGATGTTTAAGGCCCGTTGTATATGTACCTTACAGATAATCATAAAGATGGCAAATTTTCTAAATTTCACATTATTTTGCAGCTGAAATAGCGCATGAAATCATGAAAGAATTCGAAGGCGTTCCGTAACACAATTCCTGTTATTTCTTCGTTCAACTATATTTATCTTGGCCTCTTTTTTTAAGATAATGGGACTCGAACCGTGCTCTATGTTTGAATTTTTTGTCACATGGTCATGGGCCTCTTCTGTCAAAGTAGGCGGGTAAGGAAGTAGAAATAAGCAGACATCAAAGTTGCCACTGCAAGAAAAAAAGATGATATCTGTGCTAACCTTTTCGCCCTGTCCTTTCTCCCATCCAGGACATGAGGTGTGGAAAACGTGCTTACACGCTAGATTTGCTCCGTTTGTAACCACAATCTCTCCGGTCTTTACCTGGCCAATCTTTTTACACTCTTCTTGCAGCTTGGGGCCTGCAGCGGCACTCAGGGCCTTAGAACTTGCGTTCCCACTCAGATTCAGGTTCGATGACGTTGTGTTGACGATAACATCAACCTGAAGAAAGCCAGCAAGAGATATTCTTGTCATAAATTAGAATCAGGCCCTTAATGAGGACAAATGCAAAAATATGTTTGAACAACTGCTTCGCGGCTCGGTAACTGACCATCACTATTTATCTCCACTTCAGTGAACCATTGTTAAAGATATCTCTTTAGAATCAATTTGATTTTGAAGAGCATAACGTGCCTTACCTCTTCAGAAGACATATCGCCAATGACAAGAACCAGCTGTAAGCCTTCGGCTGTCTTGATAACATTCGGAGCAGTATTGGAAGAAACTGTTGCCGAGGATGTATTTGGAACTGATGTGGTTTTGCCTTTTTTCTTTCTTTCTTTTCCCTTCCTTTTTGAGTCTGAAGATGATTGATAAGTAGGTTCGTTAAGACATCTGGAATCCAACTCTTTTGCAAAGGCCTTTACGACATCATCTTCGATACTAGTAAACTGAATCTCGGACAGGAGACAACTCGGGTTTTTTCGGAAAAAAGTCAGCATTGATTCTACCATGATTTCGGCGCACAGTTCAAGTGGAAATTCAAAGATTCCGCTACTAATGGCAGGAATGGCTACCGAATTATAGTCCTTCGCAGCGTCTAGGGCACTCGTTACTGCGTAGCTTAAAATCTTTTCCTCTCTAGGAGTTCTCCCCATTGATTTTTCTTGGGCTGCTTTTTTCTCCCATTTTGGCCCCACAGCATGAATTACTTTTTTGAAAGGTAGATTTCCTGCAGACGTGACAGCCACCTGGCCGTCTAAAATTGGTCCTGCATCAGTGACAAACCGATTACATTCCGCCTTGAAGGCTTCTCCCGCTCTCTCAGATATGGCTTTTGAGACACCACCTACGTGCTGAAGCTTTGAATTAGCAGCACTAACAATAACATCCACGTTGCGATCGCAGATGTTGTCTTTAAACACCAGAATCTTCCTTCCGTCCGGAGTAAGAAGGTCGTACAAACTCTCCTTCTTCTTTTCTGCTTTCTTTTCTTCTTTCACTTCCTTTTCGTCCCCTTTGTTTGGTAGAAAGTACTCGACTACACAATTATTTTCATTCTCCAACATACCCAGTAATTTTTTTCCTTTGCTTCCATCAAGCATTTTACGCATCCCAGGTTTGCTGACAGGCATCTTTTGACTTTGAACTTTAGATGCGAGATCTTGAATCAGCTCCTTAGCTTTGTCAACTCCGCAGGTCGTACCTGAGACGACCAGATCTTGTTTACCTTCATCTGCCAAACTCTTTATTCGCGTGGAATGTTCTTTCAAATCTTCTTGTATTTGCCGCAGTTCCGGTTCGCGGTACTTTACAAGAAATCGGCGACGACCTTTTGGAAGCGTCACTACGGTACTGACAATGGTATTTTCTGCGAGGAAACGCTTAACAGCCTCGACAGCAACCGGAACATCCTCTTTTAGGCCCACGAGACATATCTTCTTATTGCCTCTATCAAATGATAGAGTTAAAATGCGTTTTTCTGTTATCTCTTCTTTCAGCTGATGCCACTTTCTGCTTTTCTCCAACTGAACTTGATCTTCATCCAGGTCGACGCATTCTTCAACTATCTTGGTTTTCACTAGATCGTGAGCTTTCTCTGCGACATCACTTTCCGTCCCCACCACTAATACATTTTCGTTTCTTTCATCAAAGGCTATCATGGCTTGTAAATTGCTGGCCGTGAGCGTATCTCTCATGAATACTTGACAGGGCGTACTCTTCAGCAAGGCAAGAGCATTCAGTGACATGTTCAGCTTCACGTCTTTCATTTTGGCAACTGCCTCCCAAATGGCTGCTCGCACCTTATCGACGGTTTCAGGAGGACCTCGAATTTGAAGCTTTTCCTTTTCAAGGAGAATGGTGACTTCGACTTCTTCATGTCGACTTTCCAGTTCCTGAGCAAATTCGAGATGTTTCAAGAATTGCAAGCGCGTATATGAAATTTTGACTGTACACTCTATTTTCGATGCCTCTCTCTTAAGCTTTTTATCAATTACAACTATTATTCCTTCCAATTCTTTGGTAACTTCCTCAACTTCTTGCTTCTTCCCGATGAAAAAGAAAACGTGCTGCTCAGCGATACAATCCATTCTTACTTTTTGCTGTGCTGGGCTTTTACTTTTCTTGAAGTTGTCGACTACACCATCCCAAGCCTCAGGAGGGACACGCGTGGAGCTTTCAACAAACTCAGCAAGGAAATAAGTAATAGCCTTACATGCCTCATCGAAAATGTACTTGTTTCTTAAGGCCTCATCTTTGGGCGTGACCGTGACGCTGTTGATGCCCTCATCCCAGGTTATCTGAACATCGTGGCTGTTCTCAACCTCTGTCAAATCAGCTTTGTAGTGTTCCAAAATGAACTGCATTTTCTTTCCATCCACATTGATATTTTGCATCAATTCAACATCATTTTCAACTGGTTGAGGTTTCCCAAGCAATGAGCAATGAGAACTGACATCCAGCTTTGCACCGCCAAGGAAGTGACTCCCCGTCACAACATTGGAAACAACTGAAATAGATGTTCGAGATATTTTTAAGGTAATATGAAAACATGGGAAACTTACTGCTTAATGCTTTTGTCGTGGAATATACTTACTGCTATATGCTTTAAAGATCGTAATTATTTGGGACTGTGTTTAAGATATCATTAAACAAATTGATCCTCGCAGTATAACTCCTGTTGAAGTCATGAAAGGAAGATAATTCGGAAAAAAATGCTTCGATGGAGATTTAGCCTTTAGATAATACTTAGGCACTTCTACCAACTTAGAAATGAGGTCACGCACCAGTAGCAAGGTGAAGTTTTATGGTTCTTTGTTCCCCGGTAACAAGTCCGATCAAAAGCAATATTTAAAAGAGTAAATCATATTTTAATTTACGACTAAGATAAGAGGTAGCAAAAACGCCTTCCCAGCTCAGCCGCAATTTTTAGACAGTCAGCACTACAAATGTCACAGAAGGAAAATACCGATCGAATTTCATTCGAAAAATGGTCCCGAAACTGGTTCTATATTTTTGCAACCTCGACTAATTTCTTTCAAACTCGATTGAAACATACACCATTTATGGTCGGAAGTTCAATCCAAACTAATGCCGGATTAGCCCGGAACTTTCAAATGCAGGCGCGCACGACGCATAACTTGTCCTTTCATTCATAACGTAGAGGAAATATCCAGACCCAAGCGATCCATTGAAATTTCTGATCATTTTACGCGCACCTACGCCAATGTCATCCATTGCGTAACTCGCACTTAGCAATAGGTATTCATTGGCGAAACAGGAAGACAACCAAGCTACCGATTTCGAGAACACCTTTGCGACATAGAAAGGAATGAAAAGGACTATATAAACACACACAATGGCAGTCAACGGCCTTTCCCTACATCTAGGCAGTTTGAAAACCCGAGAAACTCATGGAATCAACAAACGACATTCATTCAACTAAATTATTTTTACTTCTCTTGTACCACATTCTCACCAATAGCTCAGCTCCATTTTCTGCTATATAAACACACACAACCCACAATTCCTCCATTCACTTTGACGAGGGGCTAACACTCGAAATATCAGCTTTAGAAATTCTTTACGTCGGCCAATCTACACAGTCAACTCAGTTTTAATTAAAATTAATCCAAATTATCCTATTATGCTCCCCCAACAATGCAGCACCACGGTTTCGTTAGAGATTTACCCCCTATATTCATTCCAGAAAGCACTTACTGACTTCAACCTGATTGCAGCTAGCCAGTATGATCAATTCGTTACTGGCTAGTACTTCGTTACTAAATGCTTTTGAAGTGTTATGTCCTGTAGGTTGGTAGACCCACACTACGTGTTTTCTCTTGAGGGCTGGTGTTCGACTGAGAACATTAGGCGTTTCTTGATACACCAGACAAAGATAATGGGGACATTTTCAAAAGTTCAAATTGAACTGACAGTAACTGACTTTCTCTTCAATAAGGTTATTTATGTTACACACCTTTTGGGTCTTCGAAGAAAACCAACGCCCATCCTTCCTCTAGATTGAGCTCCACACTGCTTACGTCACCACCATTGTTCTTTGGACTCTCGAAGTAATAACGTATAGTATCCTCAGTAGTTGTTTCCTTGTTAAAACCTGATACTTGTACGCAGTGACAAACTGGAAGTTGTTCTGCTATCAGGGTTTTTCCCTCTAGAGGCCTCACAGAGATCTTCTTTGTAACAGTGTGAAAATCTACGTATTTTCGAAACGATAGGTATTCAAGTATTAAAGAACACAGATATTATCTTATCGAAAACCAGACATAAGAAAGTAAATTTATCGCGTTCTAAGAATACATTACGACTGTGAGAGCTATTTAGCTGTTATTAAGGCGATCTAAAATAACATGAGAATTTTTCTTTCCAAAAAAGCGATATGGAGATCGTGGCCGACTCCATCCCATAATAAATTCACCGGCTGAACAGATCTAGAGTTACCAGTTATGAGTAAGATCGTAAATAAAACACTATAAATGATATGTCAAGGGACGATAGAGATATAAAAACGCCATTTAAACCCCACATTTACGGCTAACTTAAGTCAATTTATCCCTTCCAGTTGTCATTTGGGTTTAACTTGCAGGGAATTTGAACTTACCATAGGCCTCATTGAAGGTGACCACTGCACATGCTTCACCTCCAAACTCGACTTTCAGGACAACCACTCCACTCACTGCTTCCATGTAAAACTGAAAAAGATCCTGGGTGGTTTTGTCACTGAGGCCTTTCACTAAAAGTCTTTTAGAGTCAATAGGCAGTTCCCGTGGAGGTTGTTTGAGAGTAATTGTTAGATTCGCTCCATCATAGGTTAGACTTCTTTTACTTAAGACTCCACGAGCACCTTCAGGCAAGAAGAAAGAATATAGTTGACTGAGTCAAACAAACAAGCAAGGGAAACAAACAAGAGAAAAGCGAAACAAAATGCACAATAGTTTTATTTATAACTTAAGCAACTCGTACCAAGTGTTTACTACGAGGAAAATTTCAGTTTTTTTTTCATCCTTTCTAGAAGATGTCAACATTCCCAGCGGCGTATAATCAAGGGCAACTTAGAAATGAAGATATCAGTTAGTTTGTATGTAAATGTTGCTCCGATTTCATCTAGCTCATCTTGCTTGAGCAGAGCTGGACGAGGGCGAGACTATACGTAGGTATATGACAGTATATCTGGACTTACTTTCGGCCGTGGTAAAGGTAATAACAGCTGTCCCCTGGTCTGAATCATGATCGACACTTTCTACTTCACCTCCTCCGGAACGCTTTTTGTTCTCGAAGAAGTTTAAAATAGCCTCTTTAGTTGTTTTCGCACTAATTCCAGTGACCTCAATGGTGCGAGATTCTTGAGATACTCCATCGTTATGTGGCTCAACTTCAGGGCTACGCGCTGTGATCATGACATTCAGTGTGGCTCCGTCAAGGATATGCTTACCTTGTCTCAGGATACTTTTCGTTGCTTTAAAAGTAACAAATTTCAATCATCATCGAACAATCTTACGTCTGTAAATTCTAAGTCAAATACTTGAAAATTTTCCATACTCACTTTCGGCCGATGTAAAAGTAATGATAGCGATTCCCCGGTCGGGAGTATGAACAACGTCTTCTATCTCTCCTCCCCCAGAGCGCGTTTGGTCTTCGAAGAATTTCAAAATTGCATCTTTAGTTGTTTTCGCAGCAAGTCCCGTAACCTTTATTGTTCGTGATTCCTGTATTCCTGCTGTGTCGAGCGTGTCAGCTGCTGTGTTGGTGGGTTTCACAAGCAGTATGGCTCCCTCAAGGATGTGCTTGTCGCGAAGTAACACACCTTTCGCAGCTTGAAACGTGACAAAATGTAACAATTGCTTATCAGAGCAAGGAAAACTGTTTCAGGATTCATAATCCATACTTAGAAATGCAAGATGATTAAGAAGTATCTCAATATCTTGGCCTAATTGAACACTTATTGAGTTGTACATGTATCTCAAGCAGTTATCGCAGGATCGCTAAATGAGGAATGCAATAGAGCCAAGAGGGAACTTTGTCAAATGTTTAAAATGTTGTTAGAGATGGCTTCATCCTACCTCATTAGAATTCAGAACAAAGTGCAACTTACGCGAAACTACTTACCTTCAAAATCTTTGAAAGTCACGAATGCCACATTTTCTTCCGGCCGAAAAGTCACAGCTTCTACCTCTCCACCCCCAGAACGTCTCTCATTTTCAAAGTAGTTGCGAATGGAGTCTTCAGTACTTTGCGCAGTAAGGCCAGTTATCTGGATGGTTTTGCTTGTATTTTCAGCATTATCGAGCAACTCGAGACTGACATGAAGTGTGGCACCATTCAGGATATGCTGATCGTGCTCGACAACTCTTTGTGCAACTATAAGAAATAAGATCAGTATTTTTGAAATCTTAGATTGTAAATTGTTCTTTGGCAACAAAAAGAGCAGGAGCAGCAACATCATCAACTACATACTCTTTATCTACAAACGATAGCAACTACTAATACGTGCTTAGACTTAAATAATAAAATGCTGAAAAATGTACTAAGTGATGAGCGGCGAGGCCGCGAGAAGAATAAAAATGTCACCAAAGTCTTTCGTTCCAAGCCTCTCACGGACTCGCCTCTCGTCACTCTCACGCAGACAAAACTGTCAGCTGCGCGTGCTATACTGTTACCTTCCGATGACTCGAACTGTACTCGTGCTACATTGCCTTTGATTTTCACTTCTTCTACAGCGCCACCTCCCGACCGCCTCGAGTTCTCAAAGTAATTTAAAACAGTGTCTTCCGTTGCATTTTGAGGTAGTCCTTGAACGAAGACAACACGGGTCTGCAAGATCACGAGAGATACATTTGACTAACCTTACATTTTCGTAAGAAAATCAAATGAGAAATCGGTACAACGACAAATGCAAGAGTAAGAACAAGAAAAAGAACGATGTGTTTATTTGTAAGAGAGACATTTTTCGAACGAAAAGTTTGCAGGTAATATCAAAGACACTGCATAAAGAATTTGAAGCTTTGAAATTGTGCAGTGTATACAGGAGTGATTCCTGCTAGGAGTGACCAAAAAGGAACTATTCGACTGAGTAATGTTTAACGCGAAATGAAACAAAGTAAAAAGTTTAAAAGGTTAAACTGTGGGTCTGACCTGGTTTTCTGATCCGTCCTTAGCCTGGAACTCGTCAGTGATTGAATGGTATGAAACTTCCACTTTTTTTCCATTTAAAGTGTGTGTTTTACCTATGACCTTCTTTGCAACTGCCAAACAATTAAGAAAAATTGAAACAGATAACCTTAATGAAGGAAATAAAAGGAAACAAAATACGAGAGCTCGAGTGAAGGATAATGCAAACAGGCCGTTGATACTCAGTCATCGGTTACCATGACCGCATAATATACGTGACCGCTTAATAGAGGTGAAAATAGCAGGAATACATATTGAGACTTTGAAAACAGACCGCTCTATACAGGGTCTGGTTAATACAATGCCGCTTAATACAAGTTCGACTGTACTCTTTATCTATAAATGATAACCGCTGATTCGTGCTCAGAAGTAGAGAATAATAACCTAAGCAATTTATTATGGCCTTGAAAGAGAAAGAATGTAAAATTTGAAATTAAGTAATCTTGAAAAGAGTCTCTTTTTCTCTCGGCAAGTGATCACATGATCGGGTTTATGCCTACTTTAAGGAAATGTCACCCTAATATCTCAGTATATATGAACTAGGATGATTTCATAATGACGAAATGATTCTTTGAAATTCCCAATAACAGAAGAAAAAAGCTTGAAACAATTCAGGCTTTAACGGGGTTGGAGCCCTTTCCTCCTTGGGCGCTATAAACAACAGAGGTACGTAGCCTCATCTTGGGAGCGAGGCAAGTTTTACAGGTTTCTTCGGTCTCGTTAATGAATCTCCACGTAATAACTTATTTCTTATCTTGTACATCACCCGAAAATGAAAATGTGATTTAATTCAATTGTGCTCAAAGAACTTTGCGAAAATAACAGGGCCTTTGAAATTCGCCTACGTCCCAAAGTGTGGCTATGTAGCTCAGTTCGTAATAGTGCCATGTAACTACGTGGTGTGAGCTATGGTAAAAATCCCATCGTAGCCGGATTTTTTTTTTGTTTTTCTGTAAATTCTTCAGTTGTAGAGTAAGAATCATTCCTTCACCATAGGAAGCTAATCAATTAATATCATATATTTAAATCCTTGCCTTTCGCTTTTGCGCAGACAAAACCATCAGCAACATGTTAGACAGTTACCTTCAGATGACTCAAAGCGCACTCGTGCTACGTTGCCTTTGATTTTTACTTCTTCAACAGCGCCGCCTCCCGACCGCCTTGAGTTCTCAAAGTAATTCAAAACAGTGTCTTCCGTTGCATTTTGAGGTAGTCCTTGAACGAAGACAACACGAGTCTGCAAGAGCACGAGAGATACATGAGACAGAACAAATACTTTCTTGAGAAAATGAAATTAAATTACAGTACTAAGACAAAAGCTAGAATTATTATTATTGAACTGTGAGAGTGTTATTCTCCATAATTATAAGATTAATCTTTGCTGGAAAAGGTTTACAAGGAATATCAAAAATACCGATATAAGAATTTGAAGCTGTGATATTGTGCAGTGTACGCACGAGTGAATTTATGCTATGAATAACTTAAAGAAACTTTTCGACTCAGTAATGCTTTATGCGAAATGAAACACAGTAAAAAGTCTTAAAGATTCAGCTGAGGGTCTGACCTGATCTCTTGATCCGTCCTTAGCGTGGAATTCGTCAGTGATTGAATGGTGTGAGACTTCCACTGTTGTTCCATTCAAAGTGTGTGTTCTACCTAAGACCTTCTCTGCAACTGCCAAAACAATTAAAAAAAAGTAGGTAACGAAGCTCATAAAGAAATGAACCAATTGATGGATTGATTACTGAAAGGAAAGGATTGCTGAATTGTCATCAATATAGAAAAAAGTTATCTGATTCATTGTTTTTCTTTGTACTATTCTAGTGCATGACAGGATATATACCATCTTTCATTACTCGAAGAAGGATCTTGCTTTCTTTCCTAGGCCACTCAAACACAATCTGTAATCACGACGAATTTACCGTGTCTTATAGTAAAAAGAATCACAATGAGTCAGTCATTAGAAATGCATAAGAGAGCTTTTCAGGTTGGGAGACTTTGGGGGGGAAGGGGGAGAAGGGGGGTAGGAGGAAGGGGGGAAGGGGGTAGGGGAAAGGGGGGAAGGGGGCAGGGGGATGGGGAACGGGGAAGGGGGGAAGGGGGAAGTGGGAAGGGGGAGGGAAGAAGAGGGAAACTAAACGAGGATGGGACGAGATCATCAGCAATTTTACAGAATTTGGAAGGAATTGTGGACAATGGTAATCAGTGATAATTTTTTATCTAACCTTTATGTAAGATATCAAATAGCAGCCCTTATCAGATTTCAAAAGCAAATGTAACTTGTACTTAACGACTTACCACCAATATCTTTGAAAGTCACGAGAGCCATATTTTCTTCCGGCCGAAAAGTCACAGCTTCTACCTCTCCACCCCCAGAACGTCTCTCATTTTCAAAGTAGTTGCGAATGGAGTCTTCAGTGCTTTGCGCAGTAAGGCCAGTTATCTGGATAGTTTTGCTTGTATTTTCAGCATTATCGAGCAACTCGAGACTTACATGAAGTGTAGCACCATTCAGGATATGCTGATCATGCTTTACAACACTTTGAGCCACTTCAAAGAACAAGTAGTTAGGTGAGTATCTACGAAAGTTTAGAGTGTAATTTTTTTCCTCCAGCAAGGGCAATAACAACAACAATAACAACAACATCAACTATATTCTCTTTATGTAGAAATGACTACGAATGATAGGTGCTCAGATTTAGAGAATAAAAACCTAACAAATTCAATAGGGCTTGGAAAGAGACAGAAGACTACAATTTAAAATTACTTGAGCTTGAAAAACGTCTTCTTTTCATCTTACACATAATTGCATGATTGTTTACGCCAGGTGTCAAAAAATGTCGTCCCTAAAGATCTCACAACCATTTCCATTCAGCAAAAGTGATTATAAAATCGAATTAACATTATACATGTGACGTATATGGCCTGGGATAATTGAACATTACAAAATGATCCTCGAAAATGACAAAATCACAGAAAAAACAAGATTGAAACAATTTGGGCTTTAATGAGGTTCGAACCCAATTCTCCTTGCTAGCAGTTGGACACAAGAAACAACTGAACGACGAAGCCCTATCAGACAACTCTGAATGCTATGCAGTTACCTTCAGATGACTCAAACAGAACTCGTGCTTCATTGCCTTTGATTTTCACTTCTTCAACAACGCCACCTCCCGACCGCCTCGAGTTCTCAAAGTAATTCAAAACAGTGTCTTCCGTTGCATTTTGAGGTAGTCCTTGAACGATGACAACACGGGTCTGCAAGAATATGAGAGATACATGAGACAGACCAGACATTTTCTTCAGAAAGTCAAATAAAATTTCACCGCAAAGACAGACGCAAGGATAAGAAACGAGGAAAATGTGTTTAACAGTGAGGGCGATATTATCTCAACCAAGCTTGATCCTGGCAGGAAAAAGGTTTACAAAGAACATCAATATACCGCTGTTAGTAGTTAAAGTCTTGAAATTGTGCAATGTACGCACGAGTGAATTTATCCTATGAGTGACGTAAAGAAGCTTTTTGGCTCAGGGATGCTTCATGCGAGATGAAACACTGTAGGCAGTTTAAAGGGTTCAGTTGTGGGTCTGACCTGATCTCCTGATCCGTCCTTAGTGTGGAACTCATCAGTTATTGAATGGCGTGAGACTTCCACTGTTTTTCCATTTAAAGTGTGTGTTCTATTTAAGACCTTCTTTGCAACTGCCAAACAATTAAGAAAAGCTGAATGAATTACTGAATGAATAAAAGAGAAAAGAAAAAAAGAAACATATTACAGAACTTGCAAGAAATATATATTTTTTCTAAAGATGAAACTCATAAAAAAATGGACCAATTGATCGATTAATCACCCAACGGGTAGGAATGCTGGATTGTCATCAATGTGAATATAAGTTCAATTGCAGATCATCCATCGGAGAAATCCAAGCATCTGCAGTAAGATTCCCTCCTGGGGGTCAGAAGTGTTAACTTTTTTGCCCTTATGCCCTCGCACCTAACTCGCACTTCGCGCGCGCCCCTCACTTATCTACGTTTAATTGAAAAACGTAAAAAATTACACCTGTTCTGCAGGCTAACAGTAAAAAACTCACCCTCAACATCTTTGAAAGTCACGAGAGCCATATTTTCTTCCGGACGAAAAGTCACAGCTTCTACCTCTCCACCCCCAGAACGTCTCTCATTTTCAAAGTAGTTGCGAATGGAGTCTTCAGTGCTTTGCGCAGTAAGGCCAGTTATCTGGATGGTTTTGCTTGTATTTTCAGCATTATCGAGCAACTCGAGACTGACATGAAGTGTAGCACCATTCAGGATATGCTGACCATGCTTTACAACACTTTGAGCCACTAAAAAGAACAAGTAGTGAGGTCAGTATTTACGAAATCTTAGAGTGTAACTTTTTTCCAGCAAGGACAACAACAACAACAATAACAACAACATTAACAGTATTTTCTTCATGTAGAAATGACAACGAATGATACGTGCTCAGATTGAGAGAATAAAAGCCTAAAAAATTCAATAGGGCTTCGAAAGAGACAGAAAACTATAATTTAAAATAAGCTGAGCTTGAAAAACGTCTTCTTTCATCTTACACATAATCGCATGATTGTTTACGCTACGTGTCAAAAAACTGTCGTCCGTTAAGTTCTCATAACCATTTCTATTCAGTAAAAGTGATTATAGAATCGAGTTAGCATTATACATATGACGTATATGGCCTGGAATAATTGAACATTATAAAATGATCCTCGAAAATGACGAAATCAATGCAAAAACAAGCTTGAAACAATTCAAGCTTTAATGAGGTTCGAACTCAATTCTCCTTGCTAGCAGTTGGACACAAGAAACAACTGAGCGACGAAGCCCTATCAGACAGCTCTGAATTGTATGCAGTTACCTTCAGATGACTCAAACAGAACTCGTGCTACATTGCCTTTGAGTTTCACTTCTTCAACAACGCCACCTCCCGACCGCCTCGAGTTCTCAAAGTAATTTAAAACAGTGTCTTCCGTTGCATTTTGAGGTAGTCCTTGAACGAAGACAACACGGGACTGCAAGATCACGAGAGATACATGAGACAGACCAAATATTTTCTACAGAAAGTCAAATAAAATTTCACCACAAGGACAGACGCAAGGATATGAAACAAGGAAAATGTGTTTAACAGTAAGGGCGATATTATCCCAACTAAGTTTGATCCTGGCAGGAAAAAGGTTTACAAAGAACATTAATATACCGCTGTTAGAAGTTAAAGTCTTGAAATTGTGCAATGTGCACACGAGTGAATTTATGCTATGAGTGACTTAAAGAAGCTTTTTGACTCAGGGATGCTTCATGCGAGATGAAACACTGTAGGCAGTTTAAAGGGTTCAGTTGTGGGTCTGACCTGATCTCCTGATCCGTCCTTAGCCTGGAACTCGTCAGTGATTGAATGGCGTGAGACTTCCACTGTTGTTCCACTTAAAGTGTGTGTTCTACCTAAGACCTTCTTTGCAACTGTGAAACAGTTAAGAAGTTTAATGAATTACTGAATAAATAAGAGAAAAGAAAAAGGGGAAACTTAACACAGAACTTACAAGAAATATATATTTTTTCTAAAGACGAAACTCATAAAAAAATGGGCCAATTGATTGATCAATCACCTAACGGATAGGAATGCTGGATTGTCATCAATGTGGAAATAATTTCAATTGCAGATCATCCATCGGGGAAATCCAAGCATCTGCAGTAAGATTCCCTCCTTGGGGTAAGAAGCGTTAATTTTTTTGCCTTTCTGCCCTTGCGCCTTCTTCGCACTTCGCGCGCACCCCTCACTTATCTTCGTTTGATTGAAAAACGTAAAAAAATTACACCTGTTCTGCAGGCTAACAGTAAAAAACTCACCCTCAACATCTTTGAAAGTCACGAGAGCCATATTTTCTTCCGGCCGGAAAGTCACAGCTTCTACCTCTCCACCCCCAGAACGTCTCTCATTTTCAAAGTAGTTGCGAATGGAGTCTTCAGTGCTTTGCGCAGTAAGGCCAGTTATCTGGATGGTTTTGCTTGTATTTTCAGCATTATCGAGCAACTCCAGACTGACATGAAGTGTGGCACCATTCAGGATATGCTGATCATGCTTTATCACACTTTGAGCCACTACAAAGAACAAGTAGTGAGGTCAGTATTTACGAAATCTTAGAGTTTAATTTTTTTCTCCAGCAAGGGCAACAACAAAAACAATAATAACAACATCAACTATATTCTCTCTATGTACAAATGACAACGAATGATACGTGCTCAGATTTAGAGAATAAAAACCTAACAAATTCAATAGGGCTTGGAAAGAGACAGAAGACTACAATTTAAAATTACCTGAGCTTGAAAAACGTCTTCTTTTCATCTGACACACAATCGCATGATTGTTTACGCCAGGTGTCAAAAAACTGTCGTCCGTTAAGATCTCACAACCATTTCCATTCAGTAAAAGTGATTATAAAATCGAATTAACATTATACATGTGACGTATATGGCCTGGGATAATTGAACATTATAAAATGATCCTCGAAAATGACGAAATCAATGCAAAAACAAGCTTGAAACAATTCAAGCTTTAATGAGGTTCGAACTCAATTCTCCTTGCTAGTAGCTGGGCACAAGAAACAACTGAGCGACGAAGCCTTATCAGACAGCTCTGAATGCTATGCAGTTACCTTCAGATGACTCAAACAGAACTCGTGCTACATTGCCTTTGATTTTCACTTCTTCAATAACGCCACCTCCCGACCGCCTCGAGTTCTCAAAGTAATTTAAAACAGTGTCTTCCGTTGCATTTTGAGGTAGTCCTTGAACGAAGACAACACGGGACTGCAAGATCACGAGAGATACATGAGACAGAGCAAATATTTTCTTCACAAAGTCAAATAAAATTTCACCACAAGGACAGACGCAAGGATATGAAACAAGCCGAGTTTAAAGGGTTCAGTTGTGTGTCTGACCTGATCTCCTGATCCGTCCTTAGCCTGGAACTCGTCAGTGATTGAATGGCGTGAGATTTCCACTGTTGTTCCATTTAAAGTGTGTGTTCTACCTATGACCTTCTTTGCAACTGCCAAGCAATTAAGAAAAGTTGAATGAATTACTGAAGAAATAAAAGAAAAAAGAAAAAAAAGAAACATATTACAGAACATATAATACTGATAAGTTATCCTGTTTTCCAAAGATGAAACTCATAAAAAAATGGACCAATTGATTGATCAATCACCTAACGGATAGGAATGCTGGATTGTCATCAATGTTGAAATAAGTTCCATTGCAGATCATCCATCGGAGAATCCAAGCATCTGCAGTAAGATTCCCTCTCGGGGGCCAGAAGCGTTAATCTTTTTGCCCTTCTTCCCTCGCACCTTTTTCGCACTTCGCGCACGCCCCTCACTTATCTTCGTTTGATTGAAAAACGTAAAAAAAATAACACCTGTTCTGCAGGCTAACAGTAAAGACTCACCCTCAACATCTTTGAAAGTCACGAGAGCCATATTTTCTTCCGGACGAAAAGTCACAGCTTCTACCTCTCCACCCCCAGAACGTCTCTCATTTTCAAAGTAGTTGCGAATGGAGTCTTTAGTACTTTGCGCAGTAAGGCCAGTTATCTGGATAGTTTTGCTTGTATTTTCAGCAATATCGAGCAACTCGAGACTGACATGAAGTGTAGCACCATTCAGGATATGCTGATCATGCTTTATCACACTTTGAGCCACTACAAAGAACAAGTAGTGAGGTCAGTATTTACGAGATTTTAGAGTGTAATTTTTTTCTCCAGTTAGGGAAACAGCAACAACAATAACAACAACATTAACTATATTCTCTTTATGTAGAAATGACAACGAATGATAGGTGCTCAGATTTAATGAATAAAAACCTATCAAATTCAATAGGGCTTGGAAAGAGACAGAAGACTACAATTTAAAATTAGCCGAGCTTGAAAAACGTCTTCTTTTCATCTGACACATAGTCGCATGATTGTTTACGCCAGGTGTCAAAAAAATGTCGTCCCTAAAGATCTCATAACCATTTTCTTTTAGCAAAAAAGATTATAAAATCGAATTAACATTATACATGTGACGTATATGGCCTGGGATAATTGAACATAAAATGATCCTCGAAAATGAGGATATCACAGAAAAACGAGCTTGAAACAATTCGGCTTTGATGGGGTTCGAACCCAATTCTCCTTGCTAGTAGCTGGGCACAAGAAATAACTGAGCGAGGAAGCCTTATCAGACAGCTCTGAATGCTTTGCAGTTACCTTCAGATGACTCAAACAGAACTCGTGCTTCATTGCCTTTGATTTTCACTTCTTCAACAACGCCACCTCCCGACCGCCTCGAGTTCTCAAAGTAATTTAAAACAGTGTCTTCCGTTGCATTTTGAGGTAGTCCTTGAACGATGACAACACGGGACTGCAAGAGCATGAGAGATACATGAGACAGACCAAATATTTTCTCCAGAAATTCAAATAAAATTTTACCGCAAAGACAGACGCAAGGATAAGAAACGAAGACAATGTGTTTAACAGTAAGGGCGATATTATCTCAACTAAGCTTGATCCTGGTAGAAAAAGGTTTACAAAGAACATTAATAAACCGCTGTTAGAAGTTAAAGCCTTGAAATTGTGCAATGTACGCACCAGTGAATTTATGCTATGAGTGACTGAAAGAAACTTTTCGAATCAGGGATGCTTCATGCGAGATGAAACACAGTAGGCAGTTTAAAAGGTTCAGTTGTGGGTCTGACCTGATCTCCTGATCCGTCCTTAGCCTGGAACTTGTCAGTGATTGAATGGCGTGAGACTTCCACTGTTGTTCCACTTAAAGTGTGTGTTCTACCTAAGACCTTCTTTGCAACTGTCAAACAATTAAGAAAAAAGAAAAAAGAGAAACATTTTACAGAACGTACAATAATTAATCTTTTTTTCCAAAAACGAAACTCATAAAAAATTGGAGCAATTATAATTGATCAATCACCTAACGGATAGGAATGCTGGATTGTCATCAATGTGGAAATAAGTTCAATTGCAGATCATCCAGCGGAGAAATCCAAGCATCTGCAGTAAGATTCCCTCGTGGGGGTCAGAAGCGCTAATTTTTTTGCCCTTCTGCCCTCACGCCTAACTCGCACTTTGCGTGCGCCCCGCACTTACCTCCGTTTGACTGAAAAACGCAAAAAATAAAAAAAAATTACACGAGCTAACAGTTAAAAACTCACCCTCAACATCTTTGAAAGTCACAAGAGCCACATTTTCTTCCGGCAGAAAAGTCACAGCTTCTACCTCTCCACCCCCAGAACGTCTCTCATTTTCAAAGTAGTTGCGAATGGAGTCTTCAGTGCTTTGCGCAGTAAGGCCAGTTATCTGGATGGTTTTGCTTGTATTTTCAGCATTATCAAGCAATTCGAAACTGGCATGAGGTGTAGCACCATTCAGGATATGCTGATCATGCTTGACAACACTTTGTGCCACTACAAAGAAAAAGCATTTAGATGACGATCCTTGAAATCTTAGAGTATAAATATTTCTTCAGCGAGAGCAAGAGCAAGAGCAACAACAGCAAAACTAAAAACAACATCAACTATATTTTCTGTATCTAAGAATGATAAGGACTGATACGTGCTCAGTTGTAGAGAATAACACCCTGACCTTTGGCCTCGAAAGAGAAGGAAGTATATACTTTTAAGTTAAATGACCTAAAATAATATTCCCTTCAGCTGGCACATGACCGTATAATTTTTTAAGCGGTTACAAGTGTAAAGAAATGTCGCCCCAAAATTCTCAGGACCATTTTCTTTTAGGAACAGTTATTATATCAAATAAAAAAAGTTAATATTATATATATATACACCTGGGGGTAATTAAAAAATGAAATTAAAAAATGTAATTGTAATGTAATGTTAAATGTAATTAAAAAATGAAAAATTGACCCTCGAAAAAGACGAAATGACAGAAAGATAAACTTGAAACAACCAGGCTTACATGACGTTCGCGCAGTATTCTCTTTGGGGTAGTTGGGAGTATAAAATAACTAAGCTATGCAGCCTCATCTTAGGAGCGAGGCAAATTTAGGTGGGTTCCTTGTTCTCGTTAGTGAGTCTCCACGTATTAACATATTTCACTTCCTGTATATCATCCGCAAGTGAAAACGTCATTTATCATAATTGCTGTCAGAGACCTTTTACAAAACAGCAGGCTCCCTCTTAACATGAGGCTCTGTAGCTCAGTTGGTAGCATTGCCCAATGAATAATTATTTTAGAGGCACGGCACGAACCTTTTCAGACCTCTCGCGGACTAAAATGCCAAACGCCAGCTACACATGTTATAAAGTTACCTTCAGATGACTCAAACAGCACTTGTGCTTCAGTGCCTTTGATTTTCACTTCTTCAACAGCGCCGCCCCCCGACCGTCCCGAGTTCTCGAAGTAATTCAAAACCGTGTCTTCCGTTGCATTTTGAGGTAGTCCTTGAGCGAGAACAACACCGGTCTGCAAGAGCACGAGAGATATATGTGACGGAACAAACATTTTCATGAGAAAATAATATAAAATTTCGGTACAAAGACAAAAGCAAAAATAACAGAAAAGAAACGATGTTTTTAACTGTAGGAACGATATTTTCAGAGATTAATTTACTCTTCCAAGGAAAGGTTTACAGGACCATCAAATACACCACTTTTAGACATTGAAGCTTTGACATTGTGCAATGTATGCTCGAATGAATTCATGCCAGGCGTTATCAAAAGGAAACTTTTCGACTAACTAATGCTCGGCGCGAAAGGAAACACAGTATAAAGTTTAAATGGTTAAACTGTGGGTCTAACCTGATTTTCTGATCCGCCCTTAGCCTGGAACTCGTCAATGATTGAATGGCATGAGACTTCCACTATTGTTCCATTTAAAGTGTGTGTTCTACCTATGACCTTCTTTGCAACTGTCAAACAATTAAAAAAAATTACAATAATTTACCAAATGAAGTGAAAAGAAAGGAACAAAATAGATCAAACAATAAGGTTTTTTTTTCTTAAAATCAAAATCATAAAGATATGAACCAATTGATGGATTGATCACTGAAAGGATAGGATTGCTGGATTGTTATCAATATGGAAATAAGTTCAATTGCTTTTCATCGAAGCGAGAAATCCAAGGATCTGCAGAAAGATTCCTCAGGGACTCAAGATTTTTTCTTGGTCCCATACTTGCGACAAGACATGCATCACCTCTCACTATTAGACAAGAAGAATGTTTCATCTTTCCTAGTTAATCTGAACAAAATAACATTTAAGGACTGGGAGGAACCACTCATCCACTTCAAGTTGGGAGGCATCCATTAAATGGGTGGAGAAGTAGTGGGAGCCTAACTTGAAACAAACACACAAAGCAATGCACTGGCTTTACTGAAGTACCATTGGTTGTGACTCACACCACTTTAAAGAAGGACACAGCCAGATTGTTCGCAATGTAACAGAACCAACGCGGAATTGTGCTGAATAAATACGCCAGTTCTTCATCTTTTCTAATGTATGATAAGAGCAGCCCTTACTAGATTTAAAAGCAAAATGTAACTTGTACCAAACGACTTACCATCAACATCTTTGAAAGTCACAAAGGCCACATTTTCTTCCGGCCGAAAAATAACAACTTCTACCTCTCCACCCCCAGAACGTCTCTCATTTTCAAAGTAGTTGCGAATGGAGTCTTCAGTACTTTGCGCAGTAAGGCCAGTTATCTGGATAGTTTTGCTTGTATTTTCAGCATTATCAAGCAATTCGAGACTGACATGAAGTGTAGCACCATTCAGGATATGCTGATCATGCTTGACAACACTTTGTGCCACTACCGAGAACACAAAATGAGATTGGTGTTTAAAAATGTTGTATATTTGGGCTCGTTATATACTACTATAGTGTAACGCGTGCACAGGCTAAGTGCTCTACACAGGCTAAGTGCTCTGCCCTCACGCCTAACTCGCACTTTGCGTGCGCCCCGCACTTACCTCCGTTTGACTGAAAAACGCAAAAAATAAAAAAAAATTACACGAGCTAACAGTTAAAAACTCACCCTCAACATCTTTGAAAGTCACAAGAGCCACATTTTCTTCCGGCAGAAAAGTCACAGCTTCTACCTCTCCACCCCCAGAACGTCTCTCATTTTCAAAGTAGTTGCGAATGGAGTCTTCAGTACTCTGCGCAGTAAGGCCAGTTATCTGGATAGTTTTGCTTGTATTTTCAGCATTATCAAGCAATTCGAGACTGACATGAAGTGTAGCACCATTCAGGATATGCTGATCATGCTTGACAACACTTTGTGCCACTACCGAGAACACAAAATGAGATTAGCGTTTAAAAATGTTGTATATTTGGGCTCGTTATATACTACTATAGTGTAACGCGTGCACAGGCTAAGTGCTCTACACAACTGCTTTATTAGAATACCATGAATCACGTGACTGCGGTCAAGGGTGTGCTAACCAATAGAATAAAGATTATGTAATAGCTAAGGTGTTTATCCGATAGGAACAAGCACTACAAAAAAATTGAGAAACAACAACAGCAATATACTAGTGATCTACAAATAGTAATAAGTATATAAACCCCTAAAGGCGGCTTGTACTTCGGCTTATAATGTCTACGGCAGAGATGTTTTCCGAAAGATGTATATCTGGTCGGGGAGCCGGAAATTTGTGAGGAAAATGTGAAATTTTGAGGACAGTCTCCCAACCAAGGACATCACCTTCACTTATTTTCGTATCGCTTTGACAACAAATTTGTTGACTTTTTTGTACTTTCCGAAGGAGCATTTGAGATCGGTTTTTTTAGTAATATTACTATCACTCTACTCCATAAAACGAGCACATTTCTTTGCGGTGCAAAGTAATAAAGACGAAAAAACGAAACTATTGTGCTGGGTTTTCCTCGCTGGCTTGTTTGTTTTCGACGGAAAAATCAGAGGAAAATATCGACGTAAACAGGGATTATTACGTTATAACTGTCATTGATTTTGCACCACGTGGTGTAATGTGGCCGATAGAATCACTTGAAATTAATGGATGGGTTATAACGACTATTATTAAATTTTCAACTCCGAATATTGCATTTCTAGTGTTCTGATTGGATCACTCGACTCCAGTTATCAGCTCATATTCCGAGTCAGCTTATATGAAAATGCATTGCGTCAACTTTTGCAGAGCTGAAAAGAGCTTGGAATATCCGAACGTTCAGGATTTTATGAAATTTGATACAACAATTTTTTCATTCGCACTTATTGGATACGAGATTGGTTATAGCCAACTCGGCGCCACTTGCCTCGTTGGCTATTTACCATCTCATGTCCAACGCGCGCTCATGGAATAATGGTTAATTATCAAAATATGGATCATTAGGTAATGCAATTCAAGAGTTTTTATTGGCTTAGCCATCATAAGTGTACGTGTCAAAATTAAAACGCAACCAAAAAAAATTTCGCGCACTGAAACATTCCTTTTGTTCTTACAAAATAAAGTTGGGAAGATTGGTCTATAATTTGGGGCTATTTTAACATATCAATTATTCCACTCGTGCTTGTTGAATTTGAGATGAATAAAGTCAACTCCTTGGATATCTATCGTCTCATATCCATGGATCATGGAATAATTGTTTAATACGTCCTCCGCTCTATGCGAAAATAAAATCGATCTTAAAAAGGTCATTATATTGTTTAGATTACCTTCAGATGACTCAAACTTCACTCGTGCTACATTGCCTTCGATTTTCACTTCTTCAACGGCGCCACCTTTCGACCGCCTTGAGTTCTCAAAGTAATTCAAAACAGTGTCTTCCGTTGAATCCTGAGGTAGACCACGAACAATGACAATACAGGTCTGGAAGAGCACGAGAAATACACGTGACCAAAGACCTACATGCCTTATATAGTGAAATATGAATTTGTATGTAATATTCTTGGGGCGACTCTTTGCAACTTATGGCCAATATGCCAAGAAAATCTGAAAAATTCCTTTAGAGCCGGCTTAGGCTTGTTATTTTAAGTTATATTTGAAGTCATGCTGTAAGAACCCACGGTCAACCTTTGGACTAAACGGTGCTTGTTGCGAGATAAATGATGGTAAGGTTTATGAAGATTTAGAAGGGCATTTAACCTTATTTACTGATCTATCCTCAGACTGGAACTCTTCCGTGAATGTTTGGTAGGAAACTTCCACCTCTGTCCCATTTATAGTGTGTGGCGCTCTTCCTATGACATTCTGTGCAACTAAACAAAGTGAACAAAGAAAAAACAAAATGAAAGTAAGACAACTACTTGTATTACACCTACAAACTGTAAATTGAATGTAACCTATAAAGAAACTGACGTATGTATCAATGAATGATTGATAATGAATTGTTAACGAAAGTGTGGGTCAATAAATGGCGAGGAAACATAGGAAACAACTGTTAGAGAATGAACGTAGTGAATGAAATGAATTTGTTTTCA